AGCTTGATGATGCCGGGTTAGTGAACTACTTTGGTAGTGTTAGATGGAAACTGGCCAAGGAAAACTTGGTTGTTGCCCGAGGTAAAAAGGAAGGCTCCTTGTACGTGATGTAAAGAAAGATCAATGGCGGAGAAGCCAATTCTATTCGAGATGAACCTAGCCACAAGCGCCTCGGTCACATGAGCGATAAAGGGCTCTAGATCCTGAACAAGAAAGGATTACTGACTGGGTTGAAAGGCCAAGCGTTGGAGAGTTGCACACACTGCCTAGCTGGAAAGCAGCACCAGGTTTCTTTTGTGAGACCGGATCAACCCAGACGAAGCAAGTATATTCTTGACCTCGTCCATACTGATGTATGCTCTATTTCGAAAAGATCTCTTGGAGGAGCTCAGTACTTTGTTTCATTTATTGATGACCATTCCTGCAAAGTGTGGGTATATTTGTTGAAGTCTAAAGACCAGGTACTCCAATCCTTTAAAAAATTCCAGGCTATGGTTGAAAGGGAGACTAACAAGAAATTGAAGGTGATCCGATCTGATAATGGTGGTGAGTATTGCGGCCCTTTTGATACATATTGTAGAGCGGCCGGGATTCGACTTGAGAAGACGCTCTCCAAGACTCCACAGTTGAATGGACTGGCTAAGAGGATGAACCGAACTATTGAAGATAATGTACGAAGTATGTTATCCAATGCTGGGTTACCGAAATCATTCTGGGGAGAAGCTGTCAGAACTGTTGTTGACTTGATCAACCTCTCACCATCACGGTCACTAGAAGGAGAAATTCCAGAAGAAGTCTGGACAGGTTGTAAAACAACCTATAATCAATTGAAGGTATTTGGATGCCGAGCTTTCGTGCTTATCCATAAAGATGAAAGGGCAAAATTTGATGTGAAGACAAAAGAATGCATCTATCTTGGTTCGCCGAGATATGAGTTCGGATTCCGACTTTGGGATCCAATCAATAAGAAGATAGTGAGAAGCCGAGATGTAATATTTCATGAAGATGAGACCATTCATGACATCTCGAAGCCCAAAGTCCGGGTTACTGTCAGACGTGAAGAACCCATCCCTCCTGTGCGAGCTGAAGCAGGGGGAGAAAATCAAGAAAATAAAGAAAATGATGATCAGCAACAAGCTGAAGATGACCAAGACACTGAGGTCTGAGTTGATGATGATAATGATGAACCGGGTTCTCATGCTGAAGAATAACCGAGATATCCAATTCGAGAAAGAAGACCCTATACAAGATACCCATCTGATGAATACACTGTTGTCACTGAAGACGGTGAGCCTTAGAGTTATGATGAGGTTGTGACGAGCTCAGAGAAATAAGAATGGGAAAAGGCAATGCAAGACGAGATGAAGTCTTTGCACGAGAATCAGACTTATGAGCTGACCGAGTTGCCTGAAGGAAGACGAGCTCTGAAAAATAAATGGGTCTACAAGATTAAGAATGAAGAAAACGGGCAGAAGCCGAGATACAAAGCTCGAATTGTAGTGAAAGGCTGCAATCAGAAGAAAAGAGTAGACTTTAAGGAGATTTTTTCTCCTGTGGTGAAAATGACCTCGGTCCGAACCGTGTTAGCCATGGCGGCTTCGATGGATCTTGAGGTAGAACAAATGGACGTGAAGACAGCATTTCTTCACGGTGATTTAGAAGAAGAAATATATATGGAGCAACCTGAGCGGTTCCGAGCTCCAAACCAAGAAGACTTGGTATGTCGGTTAAAGAAGAGCCTCTATGGCTTGAAGCAAGCACCTCGGCAGTGGTACAAGAAGTTTGAATCATTCATGACTGATCACAAGTTTAAGAAGATAGAAGTCGACCACTACGTATTTGTGAAGAGGTATGAAGCCAGATATTTTTTGCTTTTGTTGTTATATGTTGACGACATGCTTATTGTAGGGAAAGAAAAATCGATGATAGCTGCCCTGAAGAAGGCGTTGAGCTCGTCCTTCGCAATGAAGGACCTCGGCCCTGCAAAGCAGATACTCAGAATCAAGATCATCCGAGATAGACAAAATAAGCTACTGTGGCTAAGTCAAGAGAAGTATATTGAAAAGATTTTGAAGAGATTTAGCATGACAAAGCCAAAACAGTAAGCACCCCCTTAGCTGGACACATAAAGTTGAACCAGAAGCAATGTCTGAAATCTGATGAAGACAAATATGAGATGCTGAAGATCCCGTACTAATCCGCCGTCGGAAGCTTGATGTACGCAATGATTTGCACTAGACCCGACTTGGCGTATGCTGTTGGAATAGTAAGTCGGTATCTGTCAAACCCCGACAAAGAGCACTAGGAAGCAGTGAAGTGGATCTTTAATTACCTCCAAGGTACGACCAATTTATGCCTCTGATTTGGAGAAGGAAAAGTTGAGTTGCAAGCCTACTCAGATTCTGATTTAGGGGGAGATTCTAACTCGAGGAAATCGATGACGAGATACATGATGAGATTTGTCGGAGGAGCTATCTCTTGGCAATCAAGACTTCAGAAATATGTTGCACTATTGACAACTGAGACTGAGTACATTGCCGCTACTGAGTCAAGCAAATAGATGCTGTGGATGAAGAAGTTCCTCATGGAACTCGGCCATGATCAAGACAAGTACGAGCTGGGTTGTGACAATCAAAACGCAATCCAACTTGCGAAGAATTCAACCTTCATTCCCGCACTAAGCATATTGATATGAGGTATCACTGGATTCAGGATGTGGTGGAAGGTGGAGAGCTCGAATTTGTCAAAGTGCACACTGACCATAATTGGTCCGACATAATGACAAAGCCGGTTCCAGCAAAGAAATTTGTTGGGCTTCCTCCTTCGATGCTAAGCCCAAGTCCATTGAGGGGTTTCCTAAAACCCTAAACCCTAGATCTCACCCCCTCTATATATTCATTAATTGTGGGAGGAGGCTAGGTTAGAAGATTGAGAGAAAAATATTTGAGTGATTTGAGAGGAAAGCTTTAAGCTTTGTATTTGAGAGATCTCTAGAGAGAGTTTGAGTAAAACATCTCTAGGGAGGTTTGATTATCACCATTTGTTGGAGAAGTCGAGTTAACCATCACATTAGTGAATTTGATTCTTTGTAACCATTATTTTCATAGTGAATTTTTTGAACTGGACTAGGTCCTGTGGGTTTTTACTTCTTCATTGTCTCGGTTTTCCCACGTTAAAATCTGTTTGTGTTCTCATCTCTCTCTCTCTCTCTCTCTCTCTCCTGTTTGAGTTTTGATTTTAGCTGCGTTGCCCGACCTGGTGAGGTTCAGGCCGAGGTAATTGCCGAGATCTGAGATCCAGTATCTCATTGACTGACTTGCGCAAAAGGCTGTTCAGCCGACTTGAGGGACCGAGTTCCCAACAATGTTAAACACAGTTGCAACTCCAACGGTCATGAAAGAAGCATTATTTACAAAACTCGGTTAATCACGTGCATGGGAATAAGTACCAACACCTGTTTAATTTTTTTTTTAGAGAGCATTAACATAGAAAAAATTTGGATATCATAAAAGTTTAATAACAAATAAAATACTATTTAATTGTAAAATAAAAATTAAAAATTTATGACCAACAAGTTGAACTCGTTTTGACTCACTTTTAGGCGGTGAGAGTTGAGGTGGTTGGTGGGTTAAAAACCTCAATCCAACCCGCTTTGTTTTTGGTAGGTTAAAAGATTGACCCACCAGATTCAATCATATTACCATCTTTATGCTTCATCCGTTTATGAAACATTTGGTTTTTGTCAAATATATAGCACTCTAGCTATCATAATATACAATAGATAGATTTTGTTATAAGTCCAAATTTGAAATCAAACCTCTAAGCCCAATGACCTATGTTGCACCGACATCGACACGAGACATATGACATGACACGATATTCCTACACATTAATTCTAAAAAATGTTAAATGTTGACACGTTAGGACACGTTTTGATATTATATAATATTTATAATTTATGTAGTGTGTATTATATTTAATATTCAATAATTTAACAAAAAAATAAAGCTAAACTTATAATACCTATCAATTTTGCAAAGAAACATAAGATATCCCAAATATTTATATTAAACTCAATAAAATAGTAATCGTAATCCAACGGTTATAATAGTTGAAACTCAAAATGCAATGCAACGTAATCTCTGAACATTTTTTGAGTCTTTGCAATGAGTATTGGAGTGTCGGGAAGTGTCGAAAAGTATCGGACACGACACGTCATGAATTTTGAAGTGTCAGTGCTTCATAACCAATGACACTCCGGCTATTACTTGAGATTTTGTCGTTGCCCAACAATTTAATCTTTTTACATTTACTATTATTTTTATAGAGATATAATATTCTACCTATACTTTTTTTTTGTCTACTTATCTTCAATATCATTGGATTAGAATCTCATTCTTTCTCTTTCATCTTGAGATTCTGATACAATAATATTAAAGATAAGTAAATAAGGTAGGAAAAAATAGATAGAATAACTTATCTAATTTTTATATTATTAGATAATATTTAAAGGGAAAAATAATTCTTATATTACTTGAAAAGTGTTTTGCATATTGTAATCCTTCAATTTACGTGAAATTGTCTTTTTAATAAATATGAGATCTACAACTAGCTGAGTAAAAAAAAAACAATTCTCATGCCTTGAGAAAATTAAATCCCATCTTTAAATCAATAATACCTAAACACATAGATCCTAGTACTTTGAAGACAGAGAAGAGGAAAAAAGAAAGAAAGAAAGAATATTGGCATATAATATAGGAAAACCATTGATTTAATTTATTTAAATATCATCTAATGATATAAAAATGGTCGTAAAAATAGAAAAATTAAATTGTCCAGTAATATAATCTGAAAAAAATTAATTTATTTAAAAAGTGACTTTTTTATTCGTACTCCAACAACATTAAAAGTTTTTGGATACCAATTGTAACGCGTGGCAACCTATTAAAAATTAAATAAAAGGAAATAAAAAACCGAACAAAGGAACCAAAACGATTTAGGGCTTCCTCTCTCTCTATATATCTCACTACGAAAAGTTCAATACTCTCTCCGCTAGGGTTTTTTTCGCTCTCAATTTTTTTTACCACCAATCTCTCGAAGTTTCGCTGGATTCGTAGGGGAAATCTCAGATACATCTTCCGTCGGATTTTCGATAGCAATGCCGCTTCCGACGAAATCAATCAGGCCTGCTCAGGAAGGCGCCGCCGCCGTGAATTATTCGGAGGAGATGGTTACACCCTCCAACAACCTATGGGTTGGGAATCTGGCGCCGGACGTCACCGATTCCGATCTCATGGAACTCTTCGCCCAATACGGCGCACTCGATAGCGTGACCTCGTATTCCGCTCGCAGTTACGCGTTCGTGTTTTTCAAGCGCGTCGAAGATGCCAAGGCCGCCAAGAACGCTCTGCAAGGGTTCTCTCTTCGTGGAAATTCCTTGAAGATTGAGTTTGCTAGACCGGTTTGTTCTCATCTTTGTGCTCTGTTAGATTTCACTTTCTCTCTGCGGATTCGTGTATTTATTCTTCTTCTTCTTCTTCTTCTTGCCACAAACACCGTATCGTTATTATTACATGTCAGATTCTTGTTTTTCTTTGTTCCTCTTTTTTCGTTGCTAATTATCTCCCGAATTTCCTCGATATGCATGCTCGTTGAACAAATCAAATCCCTATCTTCAACAATTTTCGTTTTCTGTCTCATATGCATTTGAACGAAGAAATCTTGAAAACTCGTTGTGCATGCGATTGGTTGGTGCGAATACTGGGATTTTACGTTGAGCCAAATCCCCGAATCCAATCACGTTAGGCGGCGAGTGAATTAGTCGTGATTATAAATAAATTTAAAACACACAATTTTCTGATATTCGAAGCTAAAAATTTTCGTTTTGTTGTTATTTGAAGAGCGAATACTCAAATTCCCGAATTTGGATCGGTAAAAAATGTTGCTATAACTGTTTGCAATTAACAACGTAAATCTTGTCCTGTTAAATAATTTTTATCACCTCAAAGCTAGTTTTGTGGTTGATTTCGTAAGGCACTCAGCTTTGGTTCCAAAACAAATATCGAAAATGTCTAAGATGCTTACTTAGCATATGTTCAATGAATTAAACCCCTCATACAAATGTGCATCGTTCGAGTTATCGAAATTGTAAAAGAGAAGTGCTTGCCTATAAAATCGATTCAAAACTACTTTTATTATCTAATTTGAGATAACCTTAATCCTCAGAAATGTTGCAGAAAATATTTACGTTGAGCGAAACATAGAGCATGTCCAGGCTTCGTGCGTTTTAATTTTTTTTTCCTCCCCGAGAGGAGTTCACGGGACTTCTAGGGTCAACACTTAAAAGCAGTTAGCTGCAATCGTGAGTGACATGCAAATTGCGAAACAGCATCAGTGAAGTAAAACTCTGATCTTTCTGTATATAAAAAAGTATACACCTTCTTCAAAATAAGTGGCAGGGACAATAATTCTTTGTTCCTGACCATAAATATGAAACAACTGTAATGTACCTTGACTTCCTCTCTTCTCCGAAAATATCTTTCCATATTCCGATAGTATTGAAAACTCTGTACATCTTTTACTAAAATAATGTAACTGACTTTTACTATTCTGTCCACCCTTTTATGGTTATTCTTATCTAAGTCCCACCTTTTTTCTATTTTTAGTAAAAGAGTAAGTACTCACATGTAGTAGCGAAAATATGCTCCTCTTCTCCCCAACTTAATTCTGAATAGTCCACAACAATGATATCTAGGAATGAATCAATGAAGAAATATGAGGCCATTATCCTGTGGACAATAGAGGAGAGTGGATTTTGAGGTTTTGAGGACTGGAATTGGAGTACATCTGCTGATGTAGACTTAGAAAAGAATATAATGCAAACAGTAGGGAAGAATGCTTTTTGAAGTCTTTGGAATTGCAGCTTATCCGACATAGGCTTAGAGAAACACACAATGCTGATATTAGAGAAGAATGCTTCGCATCTGATGTGGAGGATAAGAGGCCTAGAGCTATATTGCATCACACAGCACTTCATATCTGCATATTTTTTTTCTATCTGATTACAGCTAGTTTCACCTTGATGATCTTTGCACACCTAGATCAAATACCGCCACTACACTCTGGTGTGAAGCACCAAGCTGATCGATACCAAGCATTATTTGAGATGAAGACTTACGGTGTGAGAAATCTGAACCACTCCTGTTACAGCCATCAAAAAACCTATTGGTCTGCCATACTTAAAAACAAATCCTAGCCCTTCAAATGAATTAACGTGAATGAAAAGAAACTAAAAAGACAAATAAAATAAAAAACTAGACTGGTGCTATAGAAACATGAACAGTAATTGTGCTTTAGTATCATGAATTACACTCCTTTACAATGGTCCAAACTGCAACCTGACGTATAATTATAATGGACCCCCTTTATCTTTCAAAGGACTGTTTTTTAAATCAAGAAACTGAACTTAGAAGGTGCGTTAAACTTCTGAACAGGATTCATAGGAAGGCATTTCTCTGTATTTGGTAATTGAGGGAGGAGCTTGAGATAAGATCTATAGAAGGAAACACCAGTAAAATACAAAATCTAAATTCTACAACTCTATGGAAACGAAGCATTGGATAGAATCAATCATACAAAGAAGGGACTCTAGTTATTTTCTCTTCTATTATGATTTTGAAAGATGAAATTCCAAGAAATCTTAGAATCTTGCTAAGAATAGGAAGTGCAGATGGATAGTTGATGTGGGGATGATGTCCCGTATTAAATGGTAAATGGTTTCAGCTTCAGCCCTTAAATCAAAAGGGGAGCTTTTGCAAGTATTAAATGGTAGCCTTGGTTAGAAATTACAAAGCACTTATGTAATGGTTTGAAGTGAAAAAGTTGTATCGTGTCATATTGTACTATATAATGTTTAATAGTCTTTCCTTATGTTCAGTTCAATTTATATTGCCCTGGGCATTTCACACCCATCTTCAATTAGAACTAATGAAACACAAGTGCTTTTCTTTATTTACTACCCAACTTGTAATATTCTTTCATCTTTGATGTCTCTCCCTTCCTTGACACCATAGTTAGTGTTGTCGCCATGTGAGCTGAGGCCATAGGTTCGATCCATGTAATGATCCTATTGCAAATGCAAAGTAAAGTGGCCTGCTATAACCCTTCCGTGAACTATGGGCAAAATAACAATTTAGTTGCCTTTTATCTTTTGTTTGGTGTCCAAGCCGATTTAATCCGATTCAAGCATTATTGAACCCATATTGGGTGCGGCTCTTCTAACACTATTTCTCCATTCCTTCAAACTCGAAATAGTCTGCCTTTTATCTTTTATTTTTGGTTGTTAGGGGGGTGGGGTGGGGGTTCATGAGATTATAAGGTTCCCAACTATGAAGCACGGACCCGTATTTGACAATGATGTCAAAACAATGCAACGTTTCATAAAATACTTGGCACACTAGTTTTTGATGTTCTTCTTGTTCTTGTGTTTGTGTCTCATGATCATTTGAATGTCGAAGCTTTTGAAGTTTTATAAATTTTATTTTTTTAAGACTTCAATACCTGGTATCAGTAAAATATGGTTACTAAAAAGAAAGGGAAGAAAGTTTGTTAGTTGGAACCCTTGCATGGTGGTTCACTGTTCATGGTTGATGGAAGTAAAGATGAAAACGAATTGATTGTACTGTCTAATTGATGTGGGGAACAATTTGGGTGCTATAAGTAGACTGGTAGAGTGAAGTGTCATCTAGCCAGAATGATGGGCAATGTAGTTTAATAACCATGGTGATTTATGCTTATATTGCCTTAATTTGGGAAATGGTTGAATTCTACACTAAAGGATGCAGGAGCAATGAGAAAAACCAAGCAGGCTGTAACTTCATGATACTGTAGCTGTTACTGTTTGTGATATTGTTCAGCACTTGTGTAGTCCAAGTACTGCGTGCTACTATTTAACTCGAGATTTTTATCCTATATCTCAAAATATAGCTTTCACGTAAAGTCCATATGCATACTGCATTTCCTGAAAAAGTGACTTTATTTTCAATTGTTTAAATGCTGAATCCATAGTAGGGGTTGTGCCTTTGTATAGTTTGAAGCAAAAATACAATTTGTTTTTATTAGTATCAATTTTTTTTTTTATTGTAACGTGTTTGTTACTTTTTTAGGAATATCTGCTTGTAGATGCTAAGATCTGTATTCTTCTAATGTATGTTTAAAATTAAATTACCCAAAAATCCTGATTTCAGGCAAAGCCATCTAAACAGCTTTGGGTGGGTGGTATTAGCCCAGCTGTTACAAAGGAAGAATTGGAAGCTGAATTTCGTAAATTTGGTAAAATTGAGGATTTTAGGTTCTTCAGAGACCGAAATACTGCTTGTGTTGAATTTTTCAATTTGGACGATGCTACTCAAGCAATGAAAATCATGAATGGGAAACGTATAGGTGGGGAGCATATCCGTGTCGATTTCCTACGGTCACATTCTACAAAAAAAGTAAGTTTATGTGTTTTTTAACAAGTAGGAAATAAGTTCATATTTTAGAATGTTGGTTTTGTTTCTTATTTTTTCACTTCCTTCTATTATTTAATTACCTATTATACTACACACATCCTGATGCCTCGTGGTAGATTCTATAGAGTAATTTCAATTAGGTTAGTGGGGAGTGGTTCTTTGAAAATGACGCAGCCTGGAATGCTATTTCTTGCAATAATAAATAATCCATATTTGAGCAAACGACTATTTATAAAGCTTTGTACTGTTAAAAGTGGACTTTGGTTGCTTTTATTTTAAGGCTTGTCTGATCATGTCAATAGTGTTTTTGGATGTGAGCTATATCAGCTTCATTCTAATTAATTTTGTGTTCATGTTTTCTAGGAGTTGGCTGGGTTGTTTCCGTTTTATATAGTTTTTGCTTCAACTGCATGTTATTCTGATGTAGCTAATGTTTCCTTTGCTGATTGCTGTAGGATCAATTGCTTGATTATGGGCAGTTTCAAGGGAAAAGCTTGGGTCCTGCTGATTCCTATTCTGGACAGAAAAGACCACTGGTGAGAGTCCTGTGCAATGTGCATCTGATTGCAAGTGTATTGTATTACCCCTGCTCATCTGTTTTGTCATTGTCTTGTTTGATGTGTTTGTTTTAGGAAGACATGACATTGTTAAGACTTAAGACCGTAAAATGGTTAATGTTTTCTCTGTACATGTAGCTTGAACTTTATTAGACTTCCTTATAAATACTTGTTCTTTTGTCAACAGTATTCACAACCTTCAATGGGGAGGAAGGGTGATGGTCAACCTAGTAATATTTTGTGGATTGGTTATCCTCCTGCTGTTCAGATTGACGAGCAAATGCTCCACAATGCCATGATTTTATTTGGTGAAATTGAGAGAATCAAGAGCTTTCCTTCAAGGAATTTTTCGTTTGTTGAATTTAGAAGTGTTGATGAAGCTCGACGTGCGAAAGAGGGCCTTCAAGGACGCCTTTTTAATGATCCTCGAATTACAATTATGTATTCAAGCAGTGACCAGGTACCTGGCAAAGATTACCCCGGCTTTTATCCTGGAACTAACGGGCCAACACCTGATGTATTCCTGAATGAGCATCCATTTCGACCATTACAAATGGATGTATTTGGTCATAATCGTCCCATGGTTCCAAACAATTTTCCTGGACAGTTACCACCTAGTGGTATTATTGGACCCAACGTACCAATGCGGCCTTTTGGTCCTCAAGGTGGTCTCGAATCCCTTTCTGGTCCTGAGTTTAATGAGATTGGTACACACGACAAATTTCAGGATAGTAGCTCCAAGAGTAAGATGGGTCCAAACTGGAAGAGGCCATCTCCTCCTGCACCAGGGATGTTTTCTTCACCTGCAACGGGTATTAGGCTTCCTAAAAGATCAGCGTCTGGTGCATGGGATGTACTTGACATAAACCAGTTTGCAAGAGATTCTAAACGTTCAAGGGTAGATGGTACTTTGCCTGCAGATGATGTTCCATTTCCTTTAAGGAATATAGATGATCGTGGGTTAGCTATAGAACAAACATATGGAATCGATCCAGTCATTGATGGTGGTGGTTCTGGTCCATTTGTAAACATTCAAGGAAAGAATCACCTTGGTCCAATGAATACACAGATTACTGCTGGAGTACATGGTTCTGTCCAACCTGATACTGATCATATATGGCGTGGAATTATTGCAAAAGGGGGAACTCCTGTTTGTCGTGCTAGATGCGTCCCTATTGGGAAAGGGATTGGGTCAGAGCTGTGAGTATAATTTTATCTGTTCATAATGTATCAATTGGATTTTGCAAATGTGGAAGAGGAAGAAAGAAATTGGAATGTTCCTTGGAATCAGTTTCTTTATGACTTGTTTTGCATTTACCTCTTCCTCATTGCTAACATGGTCCATGTGTAGCATATATTCTTTCCTCTACGTGTTGTTTCTTTTCTGCAGCAAATGTTTAGGTTTTAAGAATTTTACTGGTTTGTGCTGCATGCTAGCTTTTCTAGTATATCTATCTTTGTTCTTCCAGAGTATCATCGGGAAGAATGGTGTGTTTATTGTTCTTTTATATTCTGTTTCTAAAAGAACTGTTCTTAACTGTTGCATTATTGGTTAAGAAGCTACCTAACTTGCTCTTTTTATGTTCTTAAACACAAAGAAACAGGCCCTAAATTTTTGGACCTGAGCCATTTGCTTTTTCCTTAGCAGTTAAAATGTATACGTGTGTTCAGGGTACTGTTTTGATGCTTTAATTAAAGTTTGTTTTGTTCTTTTGCTGCAGTCCTGATGTTGTTGATTGCTCAGCTAGGACGGGGTTGGATATACTCACAAAACATTATGCTGATGCAATTGGTTTTGATATTGTTTTCTTTCTGCCTGATAGTGAAGATGATTTTGCCTCATACACTGAATTCCTACGCTACCTTAGTGCAAAAAATCGTGCTGGTGTAGCCAAATTTGGTGATAACACCACCTTATTCCTTGTACCCCCTTCTGATTTCCTGACAAAAGTTTTGAAAATCACTGGACCTGAACGTCTATATGGTGTGGTTCTTAAGTTTACGCCAGTGCCAAGTAGTGAACCCATGCAACAATCACCGCATTTGCCTATACCATCAACTCAGTATATGCAGCAGATTCCTCCTTCGCAGGCTGAATATGGTTTGATTCCTGTAAAGGAGGAACAGGCTTTACCAATGGATTATAACAGAATGTTGCGTGATGATTCTAAGCTTCCTGCTAAACCGGGCTATCCAGATACAGGTGGGGCCCCTTCAGTTCAGTGTGTGCCTCCTGATTATGCTCCTAATACCACTACTGTGTCCCAAGCGGGAGTTGCTTTAACACCTGAGCTTATTGCAACTTTAGCTTCTTTACTCCCTTCGACTACACAATCATCTGCCAGTGATGGTGCCATGTCAGCAGTAGGCTCCTCAACTATGAAGCCTCCATTTCCTCCTGTGGCACCTAATGATGGAAACCAATCTCATTTGTGGAAACAAAATCATCAAATTGCAGATCATTCCATTCATCCTCCTCAACAGTTGGGGGGCATGTATAGCTTTCACACTGCTCACTATCAGCCTTATCCACCAGCATCTGCTCCTGGCCACACTGCTCAAATGGTCTCTGGCAGTTCTCATATGCAAGACCATGCTGCCAACCTACAACAGCAAGGTGCTGTTTCATCCAGACACGTGTCTAATTTCGTGATACCTACTCAAAGTGGACAAGTAGCTGTATCTCCCCATCTCAGTGATCATTATCAGGTCGAAGTCTCCCCCAACACTCAGAAAGGCTTTGGAGTGGTTCAGGGATCAAATGCTTCTGTTTTATACAATTCTCAGGCATTCCAGCAACCTAACAACAATTCTCAGGCTTTCCAGCAACCTAACAACAATTCTCAGGCTTTCCAGCAACCTAATAATAATTCTATTGGCTTATCTAATCAAGTTAACAATGTTAATCCTTCTCAGCAACAAACTGTCATGCCATATGCAGTGGACCAAGTAAACTCAGACCCTCCCAATCATCAGCAACTTCCTGTCTTTGGAGTTGGTCAAGGCACATCAGAAGTGGAGGCTGATAAGAACCAGAGATACCAGTCAACATTACAGTTTGCTGCCAATCTTCTCCAACAAATACAGCAGCAGCAGCAAACCCAAGGAGGACATGGGCCAGGAATTCAACAATGAGAATTGTTTTCTGTAAGTAATCATCCCATGACTAATTCTTTTCCCAAATATTCTTTATGTCATAGATGTAAAACTACATTGCATGTGTCATTCGGGCTACATACCTTAGGTGCAAATCTTAGTGTAAATGATCTGTTGGTTCTAAGCCTGAAATCCTGAAAACCATATACATGGAAAATATGGAATATCTTAGAGCAGATGTTTTGTGTCAAGAACTCTTTGTAGTCCAAATTTTTGTGAGGAGTATCTTAGAGCAGGTTGCACAGATTTTCATCTTGTTTTGTGCGCTATCTCTAATTCTATTCATTATTATCTTATTTCTGATTGGTTTACATCTGTTAGGCTTTAAATTTCATCACATATTGTTTTTGATTTCTGTCTCTGATGTGTCATAATGTTTCTTTCTGTCTTTGTCATTGCTATAACGTACCTTCTCAGTTTGTTGAATGTGTTCATAGATACCATTAGCGTGACATAAAAACTTGGCATATTGAGTCTTGTACTTAGCTCAACTGCGCTTGCACAGTAATAACTTTTTGCTTCTAAGTTTTGACCCCATTATTTTTTAGCGATTGGCTGTGATCTCTCTCCGGGTTTTTTTCCATCCCTTGGAAGGTAGTTTTTAGGGTAGGAAATTCAATCACCGTCTAACTTATTTTACATGAGGTGTAATTTCCACTATGTAAGAATCTTGAATGTGCTTCTAAAGATTATGTGAGGAATACTTGCTGATTAAATTTGTATATTTAGAGTTACCGTTGTTTACTACTTTCCTAGTTAACCATAATCAGGGATTCGTTGGCTGAATCAACAAATTTGGTACCACATGCCAATTGTGACTTTCCGCTAATTTTTCCTATGTTTCTTTCGTTTTTATTACTCGAATACTGAGAACGCATAGGAATTACAAATTCTGCTTCGGGTTATGAAAGGTGTAATAATGTGAAGATTAATAACCTCAAAGATCTTGACACCCATTGAAATTTATAGCAACTGTGAAATTTTGGTTTAGAGATTAGTTTAACTGACTAGTAGCTTATGAAATTTTGGACAGGAAACTTTAGCTGAAAGCTTGAGGTCATAACTGCACTTAGTAAATTTAAGGACTATTATATAATATTCACGCAGTCAGTCTCATTATTGCAATTGGTATCTAATGGCATATGCTAAACTCAACCTCTTACCTCCTAATATGAAGGCCAACTTAAAGGAGTAAGAGTAGCGCCTATTCTTAGGAAAGACCAGCACCTGGATATCACTTGTTTGCTTGTCTTTATTAAAATGATTTGAAATTTTTTTAGGAACTTATTATCATGGAAAGGCTTGCAAACAGTTCATTGTAGCATTTTCATGAATGTTCTAATAGTCCTGATGGCTTTGTTTGAGGAGACATGGGAACAAAACAGAGTCAGATGTGTTATGGTGGTCTAGTTGGAAGTCCATTCCTTGTTATTACATGTGGAAATTCAACAAGATGACAACAATGGTCAACAACTTTGAAATGAAATTGAATGATAAATACATACTTAGGTAAAACTTCTTCATGTCCGCTATTTAATTGACTTGGTGTAACTTAGGAGGAAAGAGGAGTCTTTTAGACTGTAGAAAAAATGAAAATCACTCATATTTTTGTTTATTAAGTAAGTCACTTCAAATGACTTCATGTCGAGTATCAGGTTGTTGCCGTGGTATTATTGGTTTGTCGTTAATAGTTCAATGCTGATTCTAACCGATCTATTAAGTTATGCATTCAAAGCTTCATTTCAAGGTTCAGTCTTCAAATTGTTGGACCTTGTCGTTCATGGTTTGGCATCAAGTTCGCAGCGCTGCAAATTTCTGTCTGATTAAGTTCTACATTAATCACAATGGTTATATTCAATAAATAATGACTGATTCAATGCTCTATCAATATTAGCGATTAAAATGGCTCTTTGATTGCGATTTCACCAGTTTAATTTTATATCAAGAATTTATTTGGAGTGTTCAGGTTTGCAGGATTGTCATTCATATTTGGGTTATGGTCCCGAGTCAGAAAGTGCGATGTGATTTTTCCTTTCGTAACATCTTTTTTCTGGCTCGTTGTATGTGTGTGAGTTTGTGTTTTTTTTTACCCTCTTCTTAAACTAACCTTTATCCATGGGCTAAAATGTTGATTCTGTTAATAAAATGTTGATTCATAATGGTTTTACGCGTATCAACACACAACTTTATTTGATTTATTATTCTCTTTGTATTTTGCGACAAGGTAGTTTCTGTGCAACGGGGTTATGAAGTTGATAAGTATTGTTAATAAGCTTATAAAATCATCATATCCTAATCGTGTCGTTTATTTTCTATTCTTTATGAACGCGTAGGTAATGGCTGTGCTTAGAGAGATGCATGTGTGCTTGCGACCGAGGTGACGACGACTTTACCAGCGTTCGACAGTTATTTCTATTAATTATTTCGAAGAACTCGCTTTTTTTTTTTTTTTTGGTACAACTTACTGTCCTAACATCTTTGCTCTCTACGAACTACAAAGGTGTAAGGTTGTTTTTTTGTTGTTTCTTTTTGTTGAATGTACATAACAATTTTCATCGAATATCTTGTTCCAATGGGAAAACGAGTTTTTTTAGTAACCTACGCGCGGCGTGCATTGTAATCGCGATTGTGGGTCTAATTAATTACTACTCAGATGTTGCGTTTGAAATGTTTGCGAGTATTTTGGAATGAGAGTACAGTTTCAAAGGCTGATGATATGACACTACCGGTTGTGCTACGTGTTATGTCTTATTATTAGATTTCACTTGAATCAACTAAAATTTTGTTATAATTTAATGGTGGATGAAGTGAGAAACAACTGTGATGTTTGCTTTTGAATAGATAATACCAAAGGAAGGCAATTATTTCCGCAATATTTTGACCAAATCAAATAATTGACTTCAAATTTGGTATAATATACCAAATAAGAAAAAAGTTAATGTCAAGAATGTCTTCTTTGAAGTGTTGTTGATGTTGCATATGAGATTATTTCCGGTGCTCTAGTAGTAGATATTCTTTTATTTAATATAATAAAAGTGAGATTTATATAGCATCAATTGTAAAGGAGGGAGTATAATAAATGATGTTATTATTATTATTATTATTATTATTTTATTATTTATTTTCACAAATTAATCGCTTCGTGAAATTTGAATTCTTGCAATGAATAGGTAAAATTCAATCATAAAATTCAGGTTACTAATAAAATTAGTGTTTTAAAACTCAACCAGTCATCAATTCAGTTAAGGTAGTGAGTCTTTGATTCAACCGTGGATTACTAATTCAACTAGTTTAATTAAATTTATATTAAATTATAAATAAATATATTATAAATTCAACACTACTTATCATAGGCTGAATTAGCCACTGACCCGTCGGCTTTCATTTGACCCACGAGTCAATGAGACCTGATCGAGGTAACCGGTCGAAATCGTTTCAATTGCATGACCGATCAAATGACCAGCTCAAACTAGTGCCATCACCGGATTAACGAAACTCGGGTTGACCCACCCGATCCGATCCAAGTTTTAAAACATTGAATATAACTATACCTCGTTGTTATTTAACACTAGGTCAAATATGCTAAAAGCAATGTTATTAAACTCAACTCGATCATCGGCTCCGTTGGGATATTAGTTTAACTAGTGGATCACTAGTTAAACCAATTGACTCAAATAAATATATACAAATTTATATTTTATGCTCACAATTTCACAAAAATATTCAAATACTTATATATATATATATATAGGGAAATATAAGAATCATGTTGCAGGAATGACACTGTTCATTCCTGCAACAAGGATCCGCTTCCGTATCTTAAGGATACGGCGTTGTATCCTGATTTGGTTTGATTTTTTTTTTTAAGCGTGGGACCCACACTTGATTTGTGTGTGCATGAAAGTGCTCTAGTCATGTCACTTGACAAAAAGCGAACCCATATATATATATATATATATATATATATATATATATATATATATATATGAGGCAGGATCCTTTGACACCGGTGTCAAAGAAAAAGTTTGACACCTCATCTGAGAACCGTTAGATTAAAAAAAATCAATGGTGTCACATGTTTACAAATCAGAATCGTTGATTTTTTTTAATCTAACGGTTCTCAGATGAGGTGTCAAACTTTTTGTTGACACCGGTGTCAAAGGATCCTGTCTCTCTCTCTCTCTCTCTCTCTCTCTCTATATATATATATATATATATATATATATATATATATATATAGTCATCATTTTACACCAGTGTAAGTTACACTTTTAATCTTATCCGTTGATCCCACTTATATCTAAATGCTCTAATATTTTAGTAATGTAAGTCATTGGATAGTGTAAGCCATTATATATCTCAAGTTGCTTGAGATATGTTTATCTCCGGTCAGCCTAAAACTACGTCGTTTTGTTTATTTATTTTCTTATATTTATTGATTCATCTTTGGATGGTTATGATTTTCTTTTTCTCTCTCTTTCTTTATCACCATTGATCCAATTTTATACGGTTATGATTTAGTAGCCAGAGATAAAGTTATCTCAAGCAACTTGAGAAACGATAAATCTCTCTCTATATATATATATGGTGTGTCTGTGTTTGTTACAATTTAGGGATTTAAGTTGTGAGTACTAGTGTTAAAACATAACATTTAACAGTTTTTTTTTAAAAAATTGAAAATTGCATGGCCAAAAATCGGTCAAATTGAAATGAATTTTATCGGGTTGTTACATAGCCGATCCGTTGAATGACTCAAAGTGATTATATCACCAACGCGGGTTTAATAACACTGCTAAAAGGTGGTGGGACGTTTTCATGACTTCCATTTTAGATAAAGAAAAAAAAAAAAGTATATGTGATCATGATACCAAGGTTATAACATGTTTGGCAGGCTCCTCCTTGGGAAATCTCTTATCAACATCTATCAAAATATTCCGGTGAAGTTTCTTTTCTGTATAATCTCCCATCTCAATTATACAATATCTTCATGGGTAATGTTTTTATTTTTGCTATAGATTTTTTTTTTGTCACACTTATATAAAAATAAATGTTTATTAATATTTTCTCTCACTTTTCTTTATAACGAGATCCATTCACTTTTATGACAAAAAATTTTTTTTACTATAAAATCACTAATATTTTTCTCTAACTATCAATTCACACAAATTTAACAGAAACAATTAAGTGTCTTTTTCTATATTTATCAAAAAGTTATGGAATTAGCATTCTTTTTAAAAAGTCAATTTTAATCAAAAGTTTAATATTTTTTTAGTTAATTGAATAATTTGAATAATACACGAGTAATGTAAAACATATTAAAAAGAAGGGTTTAATGTTTGAGATAAATTTATATCATTCACTCGTAAAACTTAAAAGTATATGGTGCTTATGTTTTTTCTTTTTTTCTATAGTAAATACCTTTTTTTCGGTCCTTAGCAAATTTTACGATGCTCGCTTTAGTCCCTAGCAAATAAAAATGCTATTCGAGGTCCTTAAGAAATTCAAAATGGATCCATTTAGTTGAAATCGTGGTCCCTCACAAATTCAAAAAAGATCCACATTAGTCCCTCAAAAGGACTAAAATTGGTTCACTTTGAATTTCTTAAGATCACGAATAACCTTTTTATTTGCTAGGGACTAAAACGAGCATTGTAAAATTTGATAAGTACAGAAAAAAAAAAAGGATATTTACTGTTTTTTCTATTCTCCTCATATGACACCCCATATTTCTAGGTGTGGATAAGAGATAAATCAATATAAGAAATTTTAAATCCTAAAAAGAAATTAAACCATAATTGCAACATTTTGCTAAAATCATATAAAATTCCTTTTTTTTTTTTTTTCTAAATAAAAAAAATAATAATAAATGTGAACCCGTTTATTTTATGTTGTTTTTATTTGACACTGCACTAGCAGGGCGATAATGTGATAGAGGCAACACTGGTTGTGGAGAGAGCGTGATTCTGAAAGATGGGGTTGGAATCAGTGGGAGATTTGGCGATTAACGAGATTCTGAAAAAGTTAGGACCCGAAGACATTGCCAGAGTTGGCCTTGTGAGCAAGAGGTTTAAGGTTTCGGTCTCTGATGACACTCTCTGGTTCAAAATCTGCTTCCATGATCTCGATTTGACTCAACCCGTGGATCATCTTGGAAACCCTCTCCCTTCTTTCAAGGTCACCCCATCACAACCCTTTTTCATTTTACCGAATTTTCCTCCTTTTTTTTTTTTTCCGGAAAAATAATTATATGAATAACGATGCTGCTATGCTATCAAAGTTGCTCTCTCTATTTCTGTTGGGTTTGGGTTCTTTCTCGGGTCAATTTAGATGTGTCACGTAGTAAAGTTTCCATCTTTGTTTTGTTCTGTATCTTTCAATTTCAACCACATGATGGGTCATGATAGTTGTCCCTTGTGTGCTTCAATTTCAACAACTTCACTACGTTGACTGGTTCCAAGTATCAAACAAGCTAAATCTATTGTCCTGCTGAAAAGTATACGTAGCTGTTGTACCTTATGTTATGTTGGATGTGTGGAATGAAACGGAAAGCGATGAGATGAAAGGGAATGGAATGAAATGAAATTACCATGCCATTGTTTGGAGTTTTTTTGGTGAGAAGGAGTAAAGTTTAAATTTTATTGTTTTGGGAGGGGAGTGGAATGATAAAGCATAAAACTTTATTAGTGGTTCCATCCTATACCCCCAAATTATAGGAGAAAAAATGAGAGTATTGGATGGAATTGACTCCATCATAGAGCCATTCCATTCCGTATATTTTATTTTATTCCCACCAAATGCTAGTGTACTTACTAGCATACTATCTTTGTGCTACTTATAAAACTAACTTCTGTCTCTCCAATATGCTGGTTGATGAGCTTGCTAAATTTATGGGTAATAGTGTGACATCTTTTTTTTTTTTTTTTTTTTTGCTGAAATGGAAACAATTATTAAGGATGCTAGAGTTAGACATCAGATTATCTTTTTGTTGTGCAGGAAGCTTATCAAACTTGGCGAGAAGCTTTTATTATGTATCCTTGGTCTCTTGTTAAGCGTGTTAAAAGGTGCTGGGACAGAATAAAGACCTGGCTGACCAATAATTTTCCAGAAGCTGAAGCCACACTTTGTAAAGGTGCATCAGAAACTGAGATTCAAGAGTTGGAGAATGCCTTAAAAGTGAAATTGCCTCTTCCTACAAGGATCCTTTATCGCTTTCATAATGGGCAAGAAATTTCGAAAGCAGATTCTTTGGGCTTAATTGGTGGCTACTCCTTCTACAGTCATTTGGTGAATGTTTTTCTATTACCTATAAATCAGGTGATCCGGGAAACTCAGAAAATTACACGTCGCGTAGGCTTTTTCAGAAGATCCAAGTATGTGCTTGTGGCCCATTCGTCCACTTACAGTGCAAAGTTGTTTTTCCTCAACTGTGCCAATGGTCAACTATATGTTGGAACCAGGAAGATTCTTACCGATGGAGAAATGATCCCTTGTGTGCCTCATGATCTGATTAGTTTACGTCATGACTTGAATAATGATCAGCAACAGGATGCCATGCTGCTGTGGTTAGAAGAACATGGTCGCCGTTTACAAAATGGCTTGATTAAACTTCATGAAGAAGGAAATGAAAGAAGCATTAATCTTTTCCCAGAAGAACCCCCTCTTTGTTCAACGGCTGTAACCAATGGCGTGAAGGTAGGAGATTGTAAACTACCCTTCATGCTTGCTCTATTATATCTGTGTCTTAGGGCATGATAAAGAGTACATCCATGATAATGGTTGATGCAGTTTGCTAAGTCATATTGGGATACATGGAATATATATTGTCACGTCATATAAACTTTGGCATGTCATATGCCTTCATGAGGTTTTGACATTTATGCCATATTGAAGTTCCTAAGATCTGCAGTTAATTATATTTTCTTTGATCTTTATGCATTGAGCAAGAGGAACAGTTGGTGACTTTTGCTCTTTGTGGTGCATGGGATATTCCAATTCACTTGCCTATTCTCATGATTACTGGGTACTTTTATAGGTATTACTTATTTATTGTGATTAATTTTCACATGGAAACTTATAAGTATTGCTCATTTCTCAAGGTTCGTGCTTCTGCGTTGGTTATCCCTGAGTTGGCTGATCTTCAAGATGACCTTGAAAAGTTCTATTTTGCTTATTCGATCCGCATGTCCCTTGAACCTAAAGGATGCATTGTCAATGGAATGTCCTTTACCTCTTGCCAGCTACATTGGAGGCACTGGATCATCTGTGCTAATGATACTGTAGTATCTGATGTCAATGGAGAAGCTGTTGTAGGACAGGTATTATTTTTTAGTGTATTTATTTTTTATATTGTACTGTCTATTTAATAAACTTGAATTTTAGTCTAATGAATGCTTGGCTGTTGGGCATGTAATCTTTTAAAATTGCAATTGCGTCAATTGTCTTGAGATGCTATATGAGATATTAGCTAAGTAGTGAGTAGGTCTTAAATGCCTGGATAATTGCTTTGTTGCCTCCACTTCTCTTGGATTTTACATATTTCAGGATCAAAATTCAGATGGAACATTCTAACTGATCCAGGTCTAGTTTCTTGGTATTAATCTAAATGTTTCACCCGGATTTTGATGTGTTAAATTTTACAACCAGAACTTTCTCTTCCAGCAGGCAGGGAATCAATTTTAGAATTTCCTGAAAATCACATAATGACACTCCACTATAGCCTTGCTTATGAGCTTATATTTCTTGCCCAATTCTTGTAAAACTCCGGAGCTTTGTTGTTTGGTGCATATATTGGTTGAGTTCATCCAAGTCATGCTGCTAGCTTAGTTGAGCCAGTGGCTTATAGCTTGGAAGAAGATAATCTTCCTCAAGTTCAATTTTTCAAACCAGATAAAAGCTGTACTGATTTAGTGTTTCAAATTTCCAAAAGTTGTGAAGGTTTATAAATTGTAGATTTTGAAGCAAGTTTAAGAACTTTCATTTTATTAGAAAATAAAAGAAAACTGTCTTGGTCTTTTTGAATCCTAGTAGTTGCAGTTGAATAAAGTGGTCAAACTATTGAGTTCTATGATGTCTTTGCAGTTCCCACTTTTGTGTCCAGGTGATAAAGAATTTGTTTATCAGAGTTGCACTCCTCTACCAACATCATCAGGTTCCGTTGAAGGTTCTTTTACATTTGTCCCTGGCAGGTAATGCATTTGTGTTCTTTTTATTATTATCGGTGACAAGTAATTTGATTATCTATGGTTAGTTAGGCAATATATGAATCTGTAAATTGGGTAGACAAATTTTCTATGACAAATACATACGAAACTTTTTCATTCCATTCTGATACATGAAAAAGACATGAACTTGTGGATTTGTGGCTGGTATGGGGATGCCTTTACTTTCAAGCATCAAAACTCATAACTGTAGAGCCATCAAAACGGGCCCGTGCGGCCAGGGCCAAAAAGCCCGCATATTAAACAACCCGCACGGGCCAAAAATTATATAATCCCACAGGTTAGGGCCAGCCAGCGGGCCAAAAATCAATTTAGAAAAAATCAATTATAAAATTCAGAAGCCAATGCAACATAAGTAATCTCATACAACTAACCCAGAAATAAACCAATGTGATACTTAACAGATTAGAGAGGATAAAAGCCACCTCAAACTACAAGTAATCATGGTAAATTTACTTTAGATTAATTACAATAAGTAATGCTAGTTTGCAGTAAAAAAAACTGTGGTTTCTTGAGTACCCTGACAATCCTATGAGTTCTGAATCACGCACTGCTCTGTAAGTTGAATTGTTATTGTCACAATGAGCTAATGTTTCTTATTTTTGTCTGGTTTCAGCTTGGCAACCCCAAGAGGAGACCCTTTCCTAGCTACAGTGGCTCGTTTCCCTCTACAGCTGCCAGACTATGTTTTCTGATTTTGATTCTGTCTGGTATTTAAGTATCTCTGGGATAATGTTTGGGTACATTATTTTACTTTCGTGTTAGTTGCTTGGTTGTTGTGACAGGTTTTTAAGTTGGTTGTGCACAATTTCCGTGTATATTTTTCTATCAACCTATAGTAATATCGGATTTCTCGCTTTCTTGATTTGTGCCTCAACTTTCAATCCTTCATTCTTGTACAAATTTATATGCAACTGAATGATACATATTTAATATTTTCATTTATACCGTTATGGGAACGTGAATATGTGATATGGTGGTGTTTTGAAATGTAATATTTACAATGTTAACGAATGTTATTAAACTCGATTCAGTGTTTCACCCTGGCGGGGTGCTGAGTTTTTGGATAATTGGTTCAACCGTTGGGTCATTGGTCAAAGTAGTTGACCCAAATAAGTACACTATATTTTCTAGTTAAAAATTCAGTGTAGAATTTACAACAAAGCTCTTTCACATTAGTTTTTATAAGAAAGTTGCTAAATTTATTATGTATTTTACACATCAAATTTTACAAATTGTGTAAAATTAGGGAAGTTGTATATCAATTTCGATTCAAAACAAAGTAATTCTGATATAGACAATTTTTACAGTATGATTATCTTGACTACACAAATTCACACGTGGGAATTTAGAGTTTTTGAAATGAATATTTTAATAATATTTTAATAAAAACCCACACTTGGATTTTCTATGATTCAAGATAAGACACACTAAACAAATATTTCACTAAGGACTTCATTTTTAAAATGAATTTTGGAGTTTTTTTTTTACCTAAATACAAAGATAAAAAAAATACCATAGAAAAAACCATAAACACACTTACTTCTCGGTGTTGAAGTGATGCTTGTAAATAGTGCAAAGAAAGTGATAACGCTAAAATAAGGATGACACTAAAGAGACATTGTCGTGGTTGGAAATGTGGCAAGGTGGGATGACACTAAAGAGACATTGTCGTGGTTGGAAAGGTGGCAAGGTAGAGAGGCTCGAGCTCAAAGTTAATGACCCTGTGGAATAAAGATAAAATGAGAATTAGCTATTGAGAAGGGAAATGTTGGAACAAGTAGTGGAATTGATGATTGCTAATAAGAGTTTCGTTCGCGAGGAGTTTTGATTTTTTAAAATTTTGTTAACAAAATAATATTATTATTTAAAAAAAAAAGCATGACCCATCAATTTTTTTTTATCTGATCGAGTAATTGATTTTGATAAAACTCGGCCGGTTCCAATACATGACTGATTAATTGATTGGATCAAATCGGTTAGAGTACCAATTTATTGAATTTTGAGTCGACCTAACAAGTTTTAGCCGGGTTTGATAATATTGATGTTAACGTAAAAGAAACAAGAATTATGACTATATACTCTTTCATGTTCCCCTTTTGATATAATAATTATTCATTGAGTAAATTTTTTTGGAAAGTTATTTCTTAAAGTTCATATAAAATTCCATTCTTAATAAAAAAAGTGTTAGGCACGTGCTTTTGATCTCAAAGTGGAAGTATTATTCTCGATAAATCACACAAATCAGCGTTGCAAAAGGTTTTCTTTTCTTTTCGTGCTCACATCCTGCGTAATTCAAGTACTCAACAGATATATGCTTTCAAAAGTGCACCCTCATATCAATTATATTTAAGGAAAAAATTATTCTTATGTTACATGTGATAATTTTCTCTCTTACACACTCTTTGATAACTGTGTTATCTTTTTCTTTTTTAATTTTTTTATTTTTCAGGTGGTGGAGCCCATAAATTTGTCTCTATAACATGAGATAACTTATCTTCTTTAAAATGTGATTAATAAAACTTTATATTTAATAGGTAAATTAATATAATAAACAATAACGGCCATACGGCCATTTGGGGTTTTGGACAATAAAATTTCCTCTACTTAGCAATATGCTGATGATAATATAAATAATTATTTAGAGTGATTATTTAATTTAAATTTAAATGAATATTTAAAAATAGGGTTCTTATCATTAAGAAGTATTTAATGAGTAAATTTTAAATTACTTAAACACATAATATTAAATGTTTAATTGTATTTAATACATGCTTATGTGGTCTTTGGTCTCTCTCTCTCTCTCTCCTCTGTGTGTGTGTGTTTGGTTTGACCGTTGAATTCAGTGTTACACATGACATGTGATGTGATGTGGTGTGAGAAGCCAAAGCTGTAGTTTCGATTCTCTTAACCTTTTTCCAAACGTTCTGGATCTTCCATGTCTGATCTAATCTAACTCAACATTCTTCCACACTCAAAGGTACATGTTTTAGTTTTAGTTTCCATCACTCTTCTCTATTCTAATTCCCCATGTTTAATTAACTATATGATAATTAACCTATGCTTTATATTCAACATAAGCAGATTCAATTGAAGTTTATTTTTTGTTTCTAGGTCTACAATTCCATGTTTTTTTCATTTAATAAATTTATACTAACTAGGTTTGTGGAGTGATTGAGGTGATAATGGATAAGAACAAATCCACTGGTCTTCCACCTCCATGTGGCCGTTACTCAACAACAGCAAATGTGAAATCAGAGCCATCACCAACATCATCATCATCAGACTCAGCTACCTTTAGCCATGATATTAACACAATGAGTGATAATCCTCCAAGAAACAGAGGGCATAGGCGTGCTCATTCTGAGATTCTGACCCTACCTGATGATATTAGCTTTGATAGTGATATTGGCATAGTTGGAGCTGATGACAATGATGAAGATTTACTTTCCATGTACCTTGATATGGATAAATTCAATTCTGAAGACAACAACATTGTTGATCAAAGTCATGGTTTTAGGCACAAACATAGCCAGTCCATGGATGGATCATCAACCACAATCAATCCTGACATGTTACTATCCGTTCCTGATTCTAAAAAAGCAATGTCTGCTGCTAAGCTTGCAGAGCTTGCCTTAATTGATCCCAAGCGTGCTAAAAGGTATCTTTTTCTTTTCTTATAATTAATGCAAGGTTGTTCTGTTGGTTATTAGTTAAAGGGAAAAATGTTTGTAGATGAGTTATCTGCATTTATTCTCAAAACGACATCGTTTTGGTATTGAAATCTTAAAAAATTATAAATATAAAGACTATTATAACCCTAAAATAAATTAAAATTACAAAAACATCATGATTTCCGCCCAAAACGACATCGAATTGGGTTTACTGCAGATAACTTATCTGCAGTAACTGCAGAAAAAGTGAACCCTTAGTTAAAATCAACTTATTATCTGCAGAAAAAGCGAACCCTTAGTTAAAATCAACTTAATACCTATGGTTTTGTTTGCTTCATATTAATCTTGCTCGGCAATTACATTACTCTATCAAATATCAACATTGTGGTTGACATTGTTGAATTTAGTTGCATCTTATCTGTTAGCAATAACAATGTATTGGGCTGTACAGTAATATAGTGTTGGAAGTTCTGTTCCCAGTTCCCCATTTTCTCCCTTTTCGCTCTTATGCTCACCTTTCCTGGGGTTGTTGAAGTATATTGTGGAATAAATTTCTTATATGGAATGCCGTCCTTAGCAGAAACCATCTTTTCACCTTTCTATTGTAGTCAATTAACATTCCAACTTGTATAGTTGGACATGCTTGACCTTTTTTGGTCTCACCTACACTTTAAAATTGGAGGGTGTATTGCCTATCTGTCATTCTTTCTTGTTTTAAAAAAAGTTTCCACCATTCTTTTATCAGAAAATGAAAAAAAACAATTACAGTTTCCACCATGATGACTAATACTGCTTAGTTGTGTGTAATAGGGTATGGGCAAACAGACAGTCTGCTGCAAGATCAAAAGAAAGGAAGATGCGTTACATTTCCGAGCTTGAAATGAAGGTGCAGACATTGCAAACTGAAGCAACATCCTTGTCTGCACAATTAACTATCTTGCAGGTATTGCTTTAACGCATCATCTGCATCTTAAGCTGTATAGTTTTCTATTCTATTCTACTTCGGTTAACTTGTGACTGGTGTTTAGATGTGTTTGACCTTCTGTCCTCTTAGTGGTGTACTATTGTCACTCTGTCACCTTCTGATTGAAATGCTGATAGTAGGGATTATATTATAATCAAAGCGTTTTGGTCTCTTATGAGCAGAGGGATACAAACGGACTGAATGCTGAGAACAGTGAGATGAAGTTGCGATTGCAAACCATGGAGCAACAAGTTCACTTGCAAGATGGTAAGTTCATACTGTTATAAACCATGGTATCTTATGTTTGTTTGATTAACTTATATATAGTAACTTGCTTTCACCTTACATTTAAGGTTTATGCATATCTTTTATGACATTAGTATGAACTGCCCTTGGAATTAATAATTTGTCTTAGATAAAGACACATGTCTAGTGTAAAGCTGGCTGCAAAATCCATGAAATTTAAATTTGCATGTGCGTGGAGAGTTCATCCTGGTCTTAGTAGCTCTGTCATAAGAATTAATTCATTGTTTTGACTTGTAGCATTGAACGATGCATTGAAAGAGGAAATTCAGCATTGGAAAGTACTGACTGGGCAAGCTATGCCGAATGGAGGACCTATGAACTTTTCTTCATTTGGAGGGGGGCAACAATTCTATTCCAACAATCAGGCGATGCACACTCTTTTAGCTTCACAACAGTTTCAACAACTTCAAATTCATTCCCAGAAGCCGCAACATCAACTTCAGCAGCAACAGCAGCATCAGCTTCAGCAACAGCAGCATCAGCTTCAGCAACAGCAACAACAGTTTCAGCAGCATCAACCGCAGCAGGAACAGTAGTATCAAAAAAATGGGGAACTTGAAAAGGAGAGGGACCCATAAATAGCTTCATCAGATGCAAATCCTTCAGCGGCCGATTATTTTAGAGACTTCACATTGTCTTTATCTTCTCCAATACCTTTAATTACCCTTTGTCTTGTGTCTAGAGTTTGTTAAGGTCAGAGTCATATATTTCTTATTCATGAACAGTTCAAATGGTCCTTGTTAGAGATTGAGAATTATGTATTGTTCCTTGGCTTTGTAAAATTCTTCTGTACCTTTGGTTATAGATCTGTGAGGCGGATTTATGTTTGTTAAGTCTGCCTTCAATTGTTCTGTATTCCTATAAACTAGAATTTCCCCACAAACACTCAAATGTAGTGTTCCTCCCTCCATTTGTCACTACGAAGTGTTCTACTCAATGTGGGAACATGGCTTTACAAGATAGTTGCATCTTAGAGTGGAAGATTATTGGGGACATATTAAATCTAAGTACCACTATTGCAATACTTGGAGCTTGAACCTTTCAAATCTTACATTGACTAGAGAAAAAAATTAACTTATAACAAACAACAAAATTGAATAAATAAGAATATAAAATACGCAATCAACACTAGCTCACTTGGAGTATGAGAGCTGAACAGGTGGGAGTGAGAGCATGATTTCGATCCTCTTCAGTATCATCTTTGGAAGGGGTTTAAAGTCTTAATCTTAGAACCTTTTCGAATAGAATTACTTCAAGTGGAAAATACGTGATTTATCCAAAATGAAAAATACCCAATCAGCTTTCAATGATCTTATGATCATGCTATGTTTGGATGGGACTTGATACATAATTATAATCAATTTTTTTTATTTTTTTTTGTAAATAATTATAATCAATTTTTAAGAGTGAAGGCTATCGTGATTTTACAATATTGTTTAACATGAACCTTAAAACTTAAAAAAAGGTTTTATTTTCTTAAGAGTATCGAAAACAAGCAGAATCAATGATTTTACAATATTGTTTAAATGCTTTCTCCGTTGTCCTTCGGAACCAACAAGGTAATTTTCCAAAAATTAAAAATAGAAAGAAAACAAAAAAAATAAAGAAAAGAACCTTTGGCAAATAATAATAATAATAATAATAATAATAATAATAATAAAGAGAAGAACCTTTGGCAAAAATTAAGGGGAAAAAATAAAAGGAAAGCCTTTTGTTTTGAGGTCTTCCTAATCCTGAAGCAAGCTTGTGTTCTAGATTTGCATAAAAAAAACCCTAATTTCAGATCTCAAATGTAATATAATTAGTACATGCAGAGGCTCATCGTAGTTCAAATACGTATACGGGTATGTCTATCTATCTAAATACGTGACATACTACGTAGTACGTACATATACGTAGTTCATATACGTATCCCTTCCCTGCATGATCACGCATATGGTGTTTCGCTTTGCAGAATGATCCATAAAAGTCTTGGCATTTATCTGCATTGGTTTCGCTTTTTTGATAAATCAGCCAATTATTATCTCTTAACGATTTGGTATATAGGATAATTCATTGCTAAAAATTGCCATATTTTGTTAAAACATTTCTGGGGTTGTTGCTGAAGCAGATGAAGTTCTAAATGTGGGTTCTTCAGGGGAGGGGGTTAGGAGATTGCACTGCACATGTTTACTCTACTTTCTTCCATAAGGGTCTAAATGATTTCTAAGTTTTGAATTGATTTCATCATCATAAAATAGCTCAATTTCAATTGTTATTATCATTTGGATGACAATGGAATCAATGTGATAATAGCTTCCTTATTTATGCATAGGAAATAGGCTCCGTTTTGCATTGAAGTTGACGAGTAAATTTCCCAAAAAGCTGTTTCTCTGTATAGAAATTTAAGGGGTGGTTACAGTTCAAGTTATTCCATGCAAAAATTTGTAGGTAAGGCATGATCATGAACAGTATCTGATTAGGTAAATTGAAAGCCTCCCAGGAGTTCTGTCATATCTATCCATTGGTACTGAAACTTTTTAAGTGACATACGTTTCTGTTTCTAGTTCATCTGCCAATTTTGGAATGTATTTTTCTTTCCTCTTTACTTGCATTTGGTGAGTCTTGTACAGTTTTAGATGACTGCTTGACACATGCATGTATCATATTTTTTTTTATTTTAATAATTGTGTTTGCAATCATTAGTGTTACCAATTTACTTTCGTTATTATAACCTTAATTATATTGTATATTGCTTGGAAACAGTACACATTATGGCCGGCCATGGTGATCAAAAGGAATCTGAATGGATAGATAGAATAAGATCTGAAGGAGCCATTCCACTTCTTGATCCACATAACTGTTCAAATGGTTGGGCTACACCTCCTGGAGCATCATTCATGGTTAGAGGTCCTGAGTATTTTATGACAAAGGTTAAGATTCCTGCTGGTGATTATCTGCTCAAGCCTCTTGGATTTGATTGGATTACAAGTTCAGTGAAAATTAGTGAGATATTGAACCATCCAAATGGTCGAGTCAGGAAGGTCATTGAAAATGAGTTTCCAGCAGGTGATAAGCCTTTTGTGTGGGCATTCAATCTTCAACTCCCAACCAAGGATAACTACAGTGCTGTGGCATATTTTACAACCAAAGAGCCTATTGTTGCGGGGTCGCTAATGGACAAGTTCTTGAAAGGTGATGATGCTTTTAGAAACTCAAAGCTTAAGATGATTGCCAACATTGTCAATGGTCCTTGGATTGTGAGAAAAGCTGTTGGGGAGCAAGCGATATGCATCATTGGGCGTTCCCTTTCCTGTAAATTCTGTGTGGCAGAGAATTTCATAGAAGTAGATATTGATATTGGATCTTCCATGGTTGCAAGTGCAATAGTTCATTTGGCATTTGGTTATATAACAACTTTGACTGTTGATTTGGCCTTTCTTATTGAGAGCCAAACTGAATCAGAGCTTCCAGAGAAACTCTTAGGTGCATTCAGATTTTCTAACCTTGATCCTGCTTCAGCTAGACAAATTGAGCCATCATATGTTTTGGGCACTGGTAGGTTACAAACACAAAGATCTTTACCGACAAGATTGTGGAAGTCAATAGGGCAGATTCTTTCAGGTTCTCAAGAAGATGGCTCTGCTTCTGGCTCACAAAATGCTAACCACTGACTTCAAGAAATGGTGAGCATTTGGAATTGTGGTCATCTTTAAATATTATGACAGATGCTTTAGAAGTTAAGTTCACCCTCAAAATATTCTCTTTAGATTTAGAAACTTATGCTTCTCAGTTGCCATAAACCTTATTTTTCCCTTTACTTTGTTCAGTATCTACGAGAGCATCCTTATTAGTTTGTTTGTATTTTAGTAAATATTATGATATTTCATTGTAGGCTTGTAGCACAAAAACGGATACCATTCTGTTTTGTCACTAACTTATCTTGATTACAGCATCTTATTATTCTTTCTGTTCTTATTACAGCATCAAAAGAGCATGAGCATAATCAGTTGTAGTGTCTGTTAGGAATTAGTTGTTCCCTAACTATATTTTGCTAAATGTTTTAATCATTTTGTATTTTCTGTACTGTGGTATTGTCTACAGATATGCCCAAGGAATTGAAGGGAAAGGAAGTTCCATTTCTGGTGGGGTTTTTTTTTTTTTTTTTTTAATGGTAGAGTTCAGAGCATCCGTCGCAAGACTTAATTTCTGCCTTTGGTTATGGAATTGTTTATGGCTACAGAAAATTAGAATGGCCTCAAATTTTGTTTTTAAAGCTGGTTATTATGTATATCTTTCTTAGTAATTTATTTTTGTAGTTTTTATGTATTTATTGTCGACAAATTATTTATGCAATTTTTTTTAGTGTTTTAGTATATTATTTTGTTATCATGGGTGAGCTTATCATTCAATTACTTATCATATATGATATGATATTTGCTGAATATGTATCATCTTTAATTCCAAGCAACGCATTATGAAGAAAACCCTTCTACAGCCGAAAAGTCAGAGCAAGTCTGGTTTTATTTATTCCTACTATAAATCTGAAATTGTTCTTTATATCCTTCACAATCCTGATATAGTTTCAAATTTATTTCATTATTGTCAACTACGGAAGAAAATTAAGAATGGATAATTTTAAATCCTTTTAATAAATCTTACTAATAATCTTCTTGATTACTAAATAAATAAATATCAAATACATTTTATTTTTATATTTAATACTTTTTTTCAGTAAGTATTAAGAGAATCATCAAAAAAAATATTTTAGGAAGATATAGGAAATCTCCTTAAGAATAACATCCTAAGGGAGTACTAACACCTAAATCGCATATTCATGGGAATTATTCTTCTTATGTTAGAAGGAAAAAATCAAATCCATTTATGCACTAACAAAAGCTTGTCAGCGCCGATAAATAAATAAATAAAAAAGCAAGGCAATAAAAATGTCAGCAAGAAGGGTGTTATTTTTTTTGAAAATGGATCCTTTTATATTTAAAAATATATGATATGATCACGTGAGAAAATCACAATCATACAAAAGTGAATCAACAATTATAATTTTATAATTATTTGTTTTAATATTTTTTTCTTCTTTTATCACCATTGATTTACTTTTATATAATTATAATATCTCACGTTACTATACCATGTTTTTTTTAATACGAGAGAAACTGAATCCTACTTTTTCAGGGAGAAAAACAACACCCTTCATTTATATATGCCTCGATAAGTAAACTACCGACAGAAGCTTTATTGACTAAGACACTATTAACTATTGACTTGAGCATCAAAATCACTTTAAAAAAAAATATAGAGAAAGGGCTTGATCTTTTCTTGACTATCTTGGAATGAGTTAATCGCTGATTGTCATACACACGTGAAATTAGGACTTTACATAATTTAAACTGCCAATAGAGCTTATTTAACCTTTCTTCTTCTTTTTTTGGTGAGGGGCTTATTTAACCTTTCAAAATATATAAAGATTCAACTAAAAGCTATATGCTAATAAAATTAAAAGGTTATGAAATTTAGTTGATTTTAAAAGTAAATTTTCATTAAAAAAAAAAACAAAAACCACTGCCCTATTATGCAAGCCAGGTTAAGTCAGATAAGATCTTCATCATAGAAGCCTAATATTTAATGATCAAGAGTAAATACTCATTTTAATCCTTCAAGAATTCAAGACATTCGCGTTGGTCCTTTAAATATGTCAGGCATCAATTTCATCCCTCCATATTTAGAATAACATCAATTTAGTTCATCAATATATCTTTGGATATCAATTTAATCCATAAATCGAGGTTTATTATACACTATGAAAAACCAAATTAATGTTCAAATCTTCGGAGGACCAACTCAAATGTTCCATATAATTTTTGGAGTACCAATTTGGTTATTTACTCAATGGTTAAATAATAATAACAACATCAACAATAAACTTTGCAAGTGAACAAAATGCAATAAGCGGTTAATCAACTATATAAACCTGAATATTAAATTCCCTAATAAGATACAAACTGCTCCCCCATCGTTCTGGTTGAGTAGTTCCAAGCAGCAGAAATCATGAAAAAACCAAACCAGATCATTCAGTGATCATACGTACAGTCAGTAACATACAATCAACTTCAATTCCATAAACTTAGTCACTTATTTCTATTTATCTAGCAACCAATTAGGCAATGGTGATAATATATCTTAATATGATCTTATCATCCATGAACACAACAGAAACTGATTCTAGCAAACAAATTAAATAAGCAGAAAGTAGCAGCACATTTGCGATGAGCAGTATCACTTCAGAAAATTGACATACAGAATCATCTGAGAACATTCATTATCACATAGATAAAGATGAAAACTCTGAAAACGGATGTGAAGAAGCTTTGAACAAATTCTATATTGGAAGAATTAGAATCATATTGCTATCAATATTAAGTGTGTCAAGGCAACATCTGATATCACAATGATATATCAGTTTAACATTAGACAATTTCAACATTTCCATTTGGCAATGCACTCATCTGCAGTGTTCTGCCATTGCCTGATGCTAAAAACCGTACAGATGGTAAGGAAGGATCAGTAACAGATTCAATCTCAAGAAAGTTTAGATCAAGTGCTCCAGATTTCTTCAAACTCAAAACAAAGACAAGTACAGTCCAACCCAATAAGGAAAGTGCCCAGTAGTTGCTCATCCCATGAATCAAACCCCAAGCTATAGCATACCCAACAACAATCCCTGATAAATGGCCAAGAAAACTTGCCTGAGGAACAATAATTGAAGTAAAAACAAGCGATTCAAACGGCGCAAAACTGATAGGAAGAGAAAGAAATCCAAAGAGATCCAACTTGGAAGAAGGTTGCTTCACACTCAGAATTGTCATCCAACCAAAAACAACACAGGAATACCCAACAGCCGTCACACGACGAAAATACTCAAGCTTGAATCTTTGAATCAACACGTGGTACATGGCCAGAACCAGCAATCCTGATAAAACAACCAACACAAGCGTGTACTGCAAATAGTACTCAAAACCAAGGCCTAAGTGGCCTAGTTGCTCTACCACCCCAAGACTCCAAAGTGCACTCATATTAAAAACAAGATGAATAACACTTATATGTGAAAATGCAGAGGTGATTATCCTCCAATAATGCCCTTCAATGGCAGTCTCATAACTCAGACCCACATGTGAATACCCAATATTTTTCTTCTGTATATAGAACCAAATCGCACTGCATATTCCTATAACATAACTGGTGGCTGGTTTTTCCAAGATCTCATAAAACAAAGGCTTCCCCATTTCTCAAAATCCCTTCTAAATTTCTTACTGCCTTTGAGTCTGAGCTACACTTGTGCAATTCCAAAATTAGAACTTCAGCTCAGCAAGAATGGGGAGTAATTTCACAATCAAACAAGACAACAAAGTCTATTCAATCCAATGTTCCCAAATTCAAGGGTTTTTTTTACCCCCCACAAATTCCCAGAAATTATTGAGACCCACCAAATGAAAATTTTGCGCAACCGCTCCAAAAATATAGAAACAGAAATCTTATCAAAAAGGAAAAAGGATTGCACGAGAACCAAACCAGAAAGGTTGTGTCTTTGTCTTCAGAGAAGGACAAGGAGTTCGTGTACAACACTGAACAAGTTCAATTCTATGAAATAGTTATGGGATTTCTATTCAGATTCAATAAACAGAGATAAGGGAAAATGGGGGGTTTTTGTTCTGAGAAATTAAGAATCGGATTGAGAAGAAGGCTCACCTTGATGGTGTTACTAGACGATTCCAGTTCTTCGATGGCTTACGCTTTCTGAAGCATATGGATACATATACGCATTTATCAATTTATGATCTGCGTCTTCATAATAATTTGTTAGGGTAAAATTCTAAATTACAGAACTATATAATTGAAAAAAATAAATAATATAATATCAAATTACTCTTAGATTGATTATATTCATGGTTCTAAAGATTCTGATTTAATTTTATAAAAATATTTTTCTCTATATTTTATATTTATTTTCATATTTTATATTTATTTTCATATTTATATAGTTATATTTCTTCATATTTAATATGAAATAAATTAACATAATCAATATAACGATAAAATATACTGATAGTAATATTAGTAATAACACTAATTAACCATATCTTTTGTGCAAATTGTTTTTGTTTTTAAAAAATGTTATTTCACATGTAATAATCATTATAGTCATTTTTTTTAGGAAAATATTATTATCATTTCACGTAAGATAACTTCTTTCATATTTTCTCACTTCAGTTTTTCCATTCTATTTTTTTCTTTTGTAATGATGAAGCCCACTCATTTTCTTTTTACAACATAAAATAATTATCTTATGTGAAAAGAAACTAATAAAATCTATTTTTTATTGATTTAAACATATTGTTCTTATAATATGTACTACCAAAAAAAAAATTATGCTTACAAGTTACAATGAATCAATACAAACTAATTGTATAAATTTCATTAATTTTTTTTTAATTTATGTTATTGAGCCATTCAGACTCAATGGCTATACACTTTTATCTCCTTTAATAAGTATTATTGTCCATGTAGCATTATCCTTTTTATTTTAAATCTAGGTACAAAATAAATTGGATAGTTAAATCTCTTCCCATCCTTTTTTACTTTTGTGCTTCCCTTATGAAAGAAATATAGTTTTTGTAATTTCAATTGTAATTATTTTCACTGCACTCTCGCCTTCATAATCTGTCGTTATTAATACAGAATTTTAAATTTTCAAAACATTATGATTCATCCATTGATGACTAATCTTCTTATTAAAAAAAAATGCCATACAAATGAATTAATATTGAGCACAACAATTTATGATTAAATCTTTTCATTATTTTAAAAAAATCAAAAGAAATAAAATATCTCCTATTGTTAAATAAATCATAAGAGTTCAATTTTTATAATTATTTAAATTATATATTATTATATTTTTTAAAGAACATAAATTTTGAGATAATTATGATAAAAAGGATATTTTTAATAATATATTAATGCTTTATTGAGTAATATTGTAAAAAAAATTACAGTTTGTGTTTGAGAGAGAGAAAAAATTGTGCCTGCAACCAAACTTAAACTCATAGATTAAAGTAAAATTAATAGAAATGATTCCTACACATATATCAAAAGTATATCGTACTTCATAAACGTATTATCTCAGTCATTTCTTTTTGCGAATTACTTTTCTCATCTTACGTAAAAAATTATTATCTCCTACACTCACATTTGAAAATGAATTTCACAAAAAAAAATTTCTATCACTTTCAACTTTTTTCTCTCTCCTAACTATTATTTGAGCATGAGATAATACTTCTCTTATGCAATATAAGAGAAGTATTACCCTTTCTTTTTTTTATTTAATTTTTCTCATTCACTTTTTCTCTTAAGAAATTAATTTTGAAATAAGCAAGAGACACGTACTTCACACATCCAGACGGCAGATGCATGCGACTGAGCGAAATTGTAAGAGGATTGAAAACAATACGATAACGACAAAAAAATATAAGGACTATGAAAAAAATGTATCTGAATAATTGTATTCTTTTTCTCCTACCGTTTGGACTGAGATTTTAAATGGTTTTAATGAATTATATTTAAAAAAAATTCATTTGTATTCAATTAGTATCTTAAAGAATTGAAAAAAAGTGATACGATATTCGATTAGGATTTTAAAATATTATTTTAGAGTTCATCCAAATCCATTGGTATTCAATCAAAATTTTAAACAAAAAAAGAAAATCTTGTGGTATTTAAATATAAATAGGATGTCTCCATCACAATCTCATCATAATCCCAAAGATTTCTTGAGATTTCACTATTGCAGTATCTTCTCCTTCCTTTGCCGAGTCGACCCGCTCGAAAGCATGTTTCGCCATGGGAGCTTCGTCAAAGCTCAAAAACAACAGATTTTTTAGCGATTTTTGAAAGTTTTTAAAAGTTTAAAAAACAATTTTTTAAGTTATTGGTCGCAATTTTTCTTGGTACAAAAATGTGTAATTTTTGTATTATAAACAATATAAAACAGTGGAAAAACAATGGGAAACAAAAACCCTCCAAACAAATTTTTGTTTTACATCAAAAAAACAAGATCGATTTAAAGAAAGATCAAAACTTTCATAGTATGGCACTATGTTTCATAACAATACATTCTTGTACGAAATTTCTTCGTTATAGGAAACGATTCCAAACAATTTTTTTATTAATAAATCACTAAAAACTTGTTTTTTCAAAGTCTCAAATCAATTTAAGGTTTCAATGTATAGATTGAAAATAATTTCAGAAATTTTCTAAACTTTCATGTAATAAAATCCAGAAATTCAGATTATAAATTTTCTTGGAATACTCAATAAAACATGCATATGATATATGATTAGAAAACTCTTATCGCGTATAATAAAAACCCTAAGGTTTACGAGATCAATTAAAAAAAATTCCAAGCAAAATTTTATCATGAATTTTACTGATTGAAAAAATTATATTAGGTTTTACTTTTTTTTATTAATATCATTACATTTCTTTGTTATTTTTTTTATTGACCCCTGCAATTTTGAATGCTTATTAAAAATTCATATGGTTTTTAAAATCTTATAAATTCATACTGTCCTTTAAAATTTTATAAATTCTATTAAAATCCTTTAAAATCCAATCTCATGAAATCTTGATTATAAAAAAATCTTTTAAAAAATTCTTTAAAATTCATCCAATTCTAAATAGTCTTTTGAAGTCCCACCAATTAGTCATTTTTTTCTTTGTGGGTCCTTGTACAAAATTATTTAAGCATCTAACACTTTTCTAAAATTAAATGATTTTTTTGTTGAAAAATTTAAATAGAAAAAATAATATTACTTACACAAATTTGTAAATATATCATTTTAGGGGAAAACTACTCTCATATTGTTAGAGAGTAGTTATCTTTCTACACACCCATCGATTTTTATGTAGTTCTATTTTTATTTTTTTTATTTTATATAAATGAACCGGCTTCACTCATGATTATGTCTATAATAAGAGAGAACTATTCTTCAATAAAAAAAAATTAATAAAACTCATCATTTTATATTTATACCATTTTTACTAGTGGGGCGGTTCTTATGAAGGTGGGAAGCATAAAGCATTAAGATGAAGGGACAACAAATAGAACAAGAAAACACATATCCCTACATATATTCTTTTTAAGAGGTTAGTATTTTGTCAAACTCCATAGACAATAATAATGAGTGGGGGTGGTTGAGGACTGCAGTACTCCAAACCTAAGCTGCAAATCTTTTCCTTTTAACAACACTCACGGAGAAGTTAGAGGGGCAATTGCCTCCTAAGTTCTTATAAATCTTTGTCTTTTTGTTGCTAATTTCCGTCGCTATTTATCTATTTTTTAGTAGTGCATCTCGCAAATCCAACTTTCAAATTTTCATCCTTATCATTTTTTATGGATAAAAAAAAATTAAAAATCTTCAAATTTGGTTACATATAAATTCATTATAGTATTATATACCCTACCTAAATCAAAGTAAATTTTATTTTATTGGCCCCCTCTCACAAATTTTTCTAGCTCTATCATAGATAAATGTGAATGTGAACCACGGCAAGCCTGAGATTCCATTCCAATATTACTTAACACAGCTTAGGAAGGATTTCATGTCAGCATAACATGTAGTAGACCTTAGAAGACAGAACCATGATTGTTGTGAATGCCATCATTGATTTGTTTCTATTTCTATCTCAACCCAAATCTTATTTTACTAGGGAAAAAATCTCCATGAGATACAAATAACATGTAATATAATGAAATATATGGAGGGATAATGAGAGTAGAGTTACCAAAGTCTAGATATTACTATGAAAACATGTTTCAAAATAGCTTAAGACTCAATACTAAAGTTCATTCTTTTAATTGATTCATTATATTTTGAGAACACAATGACTCTGGTATATAGTATGCTATTGTGTAAACAATGAGTGGAGACTAGAGATGGACTGGGCCAAGCAGCCCATTGAAAACCTACAACCTAACTCATTTAGCAAAAATGATTGATTAAGATTTTTTTTTAAAACAAGTTTTGATGCGATTCATGAACCACCAATCACAATCAACACATACAATTCAATTGTTTAATTTTTGGTGAAACAGGAAATAAACAACAAACAACTCTGATTTTCACTTTATCCATTGAAGAAGGAAAAATTGCACTCAAAATTAAGTTACTGTTAAAAAAATTACACTGAAAAAGACTCTATAGAGAACAAGAAGAATGTGTGTCGACTAAAGAATAATTTCTTCACATCAAAACTTTAAGGTTTAGTTAGTTAATCTTGGGTGCAACAAATCAACCAACCTCAACACATTCGATTCCTCTGTGGTTTAACCACTAAATTTAAGCGTATTAAAGCAAACAAAACAGTCTTTTTTTTTTTTATCTATAAATCCTTTTATAGCAACAATTCTCTCTTCACTGATCCCACATTTGCTACTTTTAAGTGTTCTTATTCATCTTATCCTTTCCTAATGCGAAATTCCAAAGTTCGTCCCATCAAATTGTCTAACAATTTCAATGCAAGTTCTGATAACTCCTCCCTCCATGTAACACCTAATAACTTGCAACTTGATCATGGAGCATGTTCTCGGCGAGGTCAAGAATTTTGGTACGCAAGGAGGGCATTTCTGAACAGTTACCATTTGAATTTGGAAAGAAACAATGGTAGCTTCAAAGAGAAGTTGAAGAAGTATGTGAAGAAAGTCAATGAAGCTGCCATGAGTGTTGTTTTGGGCATGCATAGAGGAATGTGCAATAGAAGGCTAGGAATCAGGGCTTATAGGGTCACCATGACTTTACCATCTCTTGTTCTTGTTACAGTTAGATGTTTTATGCCATGGTTGAATCAAAGAGAGATTATGTAACAAACAACCTATCAAGTATCAAGTGGATGTATAATGGTTGCTTAATTAGGAAAAAAATAAGTATCAACCTGCTTGAGAACAAGTTCTGCAGATCATGATGAATTCCTTAACACTGAGATTATGGTTTATGTAAAAAATCTGTTCATTTTCTTTGACTATACATCTCATTTAGCTTTTTGGTATTGATAAGAGTGTTAGTTGGATGATTTCGTAAAATCTCTTAAATTCAAGGCTGAATTATATTTTAAAGTCTGTTTATAGTTAGATAAATACACAATTCATATTGGACTAGCAAGTTACTTTTTCAATTCAAAAAGTGTATAATATGTAGTAGTAATTATCAAGTTTAGTTGAACCATATAGGAAGCTAATGCAAGATACATACTTTATTAATATCTAGCACAAGTCTGGGATGTTCTTTTCGGCAACACAATCAGAATTTACTTACCCTTTTTTTTCATGTCTAATTTTTAATATTATTAGATCAGAATCTTAACTAATTTTTATTCTTTTTTTTTTTTTTTTGAGATTTCGATCCAATGCATTTAGAGATGAAATGAAGAATAAGCATAGAAAAAAAAATAGACATGATATCCCTATATATAGTGTCGAATATTATCTAATTTATCTTAAACGGTGGAACAACAACATTAATCTTTCTGTGTGGAAAAGAACAGTTTGGTACTTGCCACTTTGTAAGTAGCGATTTCTTAGATTTCAAGTTTTTGTTTTTGAGAAATATAATCATCATGTTACATGATACAAGTTAGATCATGTTGTAGAGATAAAGTTAGTGAGATCCACTATTTAATTTGTTTTTTATTTTTTATTTAAATAATAGACCTCACCAATTTTATCTCTACAACGTGATATAACTTATATCACGTGACATGATCAAATACAATCCCTTAGTTTTTTTTTGTTGAAAGTTAGACCCTAAGAAATGGTGGAAATTCAAAAGGGTTGCTGACCAACACGATTTTATTTTATTTTTCATGAACCACCACTCTATTCTATATATAGGTTTTGACTTACGGGGATAACCAACCACCATTCATTCTAAATATGGGTTTGACTTACGGAGATATTTTATCTCTCCTCCAAACCAATCAGATTTCTTAAAAAAAATTTCAAATAGTTAATTTTTTTTTTTTTTGTAATATGGAGGGGTAAACCCTACAAAACAGAAATTACATTGTACAGAAACAGAAATAGAGGACCTGATTGTGTTCTAGTTTTTTTATTCTTAAAACTGTTTTGTAAAATAGTTATAGAAACTAGTTCAGACATGTTCTCTAAATTTGATTTAAAAAAAAAAACAGTTATAGTTTTCAAAATATTTTTTACAAAACAAGCTTTACCAAACGAGTTTTTTAATTTTTTTGTTCTGAAAATTAAAAAACTGTTTTTAAAAACAACAATTAGAAGCAGCAGAAACAGAAACAGCAGGAATGCTCCTTGCATCCTTTAACAGCAAATCCAACAAACGAAGAGGAGGAGAAGAATAGACTTGAACCATGCTATTGTTCCTGTCAACATTCTTTGCTAACCAATGGGCACAAGTATTATTTTCTCTGCAAACATGGATACAGCGAATCTCCCAATCCATAGCAAGCCATTTTCGGATCTGCATAACTACCCTGGAGTCCCTAAGGTCATCCTGATCCATTTGGAGTCCCTAATAGTTAATTTGGTTAATAAATAATTTTAACTTTTTTTTAAATAATCAATGAAGCTGCCATGACCGTGAACATAGTAGTTAAAATTAAAATTTTATGTAAAATTAGAGAAAGATAAAAAATTATAAAACATAAAATTCTAATGTAAAAAAAATAATAAAAATCATAAAAATATAAAAGTGTTTAGAATTTTGATTAAGAAAAATCATAAAATGATAAAAGTGTAGATTTATCGAGATTTTAACTACCATGATCATAAGTATTCTTTTTGTGTGATCTATATCATTTTTCTTTTATGTGTAAATATTTTTCTATTGATATGGGTTTCTTACCCTTGCCTTGAAATTTCAAGAAGAAAAATAATTTTATTCATACTCACACACACACACACATCAAGTCATAGTAACCCAAAATTTATGATGAAATTATACCTTACTAATAGCAAAGTTACTTTTTTAAAATAATTTTGATGTAAAACTATTAGCCATGTGATTCCTATCTCCAATGTCCTAATTTTGATGCACTCCCTCTGCCCATTTTAGAGAGCACAGGATGCATCAAATTGATGACAGCAGTGATTAACTAGAAGGACCACATAGAAGAATATCTAGAAAACTTGGGGGACACTACAACTTTGTTCTGTTCTATGTGGTGCCTCCACAGCCACAAGCATGGTAAGGTGGCCCCACTCTTCTTGATGTTGATACGAATATCTTGATCTTCGCATTTACACCTTTTTATAAACTTTTTGTTTACAAACACTTACAAACTATATTAAGTATGATCAGTCATACTTCAATCAAGAGTGTATGATCGATCATACTTGGTGTAATTTATAAAATAAGTTTGTAAACGGATCCTTCGTCTGCCAACAATACTGTTGTCCAGTCACATCTTTTTCCATGGTCCTAGTAGTTTCTTCCTACATTTATTAGTTAGCATTTTCAATGTTATGTTTGTTTTTCACATTCTCTTTTCCGTTTGTTTTGGTGCTCCTCTTCAACTTGTCCTAATCTTATCTTCCCATATTTTTCTCCGTATTTTTTGGCTTAAAACATCTAAAGGGTTCGGAATATTTTACCAGAAAAGTAGTTCTCGTAGTGGCTCTAGACCAATCCAGTTTTCTGTGCATATTGATATTGGTATTCTTTCTCTGAATCTCAAAAGAGAAGGTCAAGTTTCTAAGAGAGACTACCAAGAAGAACATGAAAATTCAGTGTGATGTGTGTGAGAAAGCTCCAGCAACGGTGATTTGTTGCGCTGATGAGGCTGCTTTGTGTGCCAAATGTGATGTTGAAGTTCATGCTGCAAACAAGCTTGCAAGCAAGCACCAGAGGCTTCTCCTTCAATGTTTATCAAACAAGCTTCCAAGATGTGACATATGCCAAGTACCTTTCTTTTCTTTTTGTTTATCTTTTAGTTTTTTTTTATATCATAAAATATTCTTTCTCAAATTCTTCCCATAAGGATTGTAATGTTTGATTCTATAATCCATATAGATTATATTGGTTTTAATCCTTTCATATTTCTTTTATGCTTCTGCAAATCTTGAAAGCCACCCAAGTTTCTGATGTTTTAAAGCACAAAGTTTATAATAAGTTTATGAAAGATCTTTGTGGGAGCTTGTTACAGGAAGATATATTAGGGATATTATACCGTTTTACCTAAAGCTTATGTATCTTTGGTTATTTCTGTTATTTGAAGTACAATCTATTTAGACATAAAATGGGAGATTCAAAAAATCTTCGGTTGGGGGATTAGTCTCGTCCTTTCTCCGGTTGCGAAGCTTAGTGTACCCACTGTTACAATGAGGGGCTAGCCCAAACGGGCCGTACCCCGAGGGCATGGTGCCCGAAGAAGGTTGAATGGGGATACCTCCTGGCAATGTACCAAAAAAAAAAAAAAATGGGAGATTCAAATTTTTGTGCCTGAAAACCTTTATTAGTAAAGTAGATAGACTTTCATCAACCCATTGAGGGGTGAGAATATGTTTGCTTGCCCAAAAAATTGCATAATTGATTGATTTATCCACATGCTTGTGAAAAATAATTGCTTGTTGATTGAATTTTGCAATTTTCAATAGCAACTTGAGCTGTGTTGAAACCTGATTTAGTTTATTTGAAGTAGAGGGTATGAGTTGAAATCTCTGTTGAACAAGGATGATTTTTTTATTAGCTTTCTCATGATTCTTTCCTTTCTCAATGTAACTATAGGATAAGGCAGCTTTCATATTTTGTGTTGAAGACAGAGCACTCTTCTGTAAGGACTGTGATGAATCGATTCATTTAGCCGGTAGTCTTTCTGCAAACCACCAGCGATTCCTTGCTACCGGTATCCGGGTTGCTTTGGGTTCTAATTGCACCAAAGGCAATGAAAAAAGTCACATGGAACCATCAAATCCAAATGCAAAAGAAGTTCCTGTGAAAATTCCTTCTCAGCAAGTGCCTAGCTTCACATCCTCTTGGGCTGTTGATGACTTACTGGAATTAACAGACTTTGAATCCCCAGACAAAGTAAGACAGCTTTATTTCACAATTGTAGTTGCATATATGAGCTAGGAAATTAGAGTGCATATTTTATATGAAAATAAGATCCACCAATGAAGGACTTTTTAAATCATCTAAGTCGAATTGTGTAACTATTCCTCAGTTTAATTCTTTTGGAAAACGATTTACTAATTTAATGTAAAAAGACACGTATTCTGGCAATGAACGTTCAAGTCACGTATCACCCCATATGTGATTTGTGCAAAAAAACCAACTCGCGCTTGCCATGTGTTATGCATGCAAGACAAGCATGAGAGTGATGCGCGTCTTGCATACCAAGATGTGTTTTTTTGCATTAGATTGGTAAATTGTTTGCTAAAAGAATTAAACCAATGAATAGTTACACACTTTGCTTCACATGGGTCAAAAAGTCTCAAAGAAGAGGCTAATTTTTTAATGTAATAATTAGCAGCAGTAGGTTAACTTCTTTGTAGTACACTCAAGCACTTGATTCTGAGGCAAATTCTTTTAATGCAATAATTAGCAGCAGTAGGTTAACTTTTTTGTAGTACACTCCAGCACTTGATTCTGATTTGTTTGATTTTTGAGGTTTTGAAATAATTCTTTGAACCATAATTGCACAATATTTTGTTGAGGGCTATTATGGTAATGAGATTTTTATCCTTGACTTTATGAATTGTTAACTTGTCACTTAATTATGATATTGATATAATGTTGAGAACTGTTTTTATTATTATTTTTTATCTGTTCATTCAGAAGCAATCCCTGGAGTTTGGAGAGCTGGAATGGCTAGCAGATGTAGGTCTTTTCAGTGAACAGTTTCCTCAGGAAGCTTTAGCTGCAGCTGAAGTACCTCAGCTTCCAGTAACACACACTAGCAATGTTGCCTCATACAAAGCCTTTAAGTCCCATATGTCTCACAAAAAGCCTAGGATTGAAGTCCTAGGTGAAGATGATGATGATGATGAGCACTTCACTGTGCCTGATCTTGGTTAAAGCACACTTTCCATCTGGACAGTTGCATGAATCTGTTAGATTGATGAGTTGTATATGCAATGCATATATAATAGGTGTAGATGATGATGAGCACTGCACTCTACATGATCTTGGCTAAAGCGCATGAATCTGTAGATTAATGAGTTGTATATGCCACTCTTCTCTAAGGGAAGATAAGCTTTGAAGTATGTTGACTAGTTGTGTGGTGTGAAGTTGATAAATATCACATTTAAGGAGTTTCAAATAGCTTAGAATTATACTTTAGGGGATTAAATTTTCCTTGGTCTTTATGATCATTGTTTATATCCTCTAAAGGCGCTCACACCCTCCATACGAACTTGGATGGTTAATTTCATGTGTATGCTTGTCTTGAATTTGCGGAGTATAATTTGGGTGTCAGGCACCTAACTAAAAGTTTTTTATTAGCAGAAAAATCGTAATGGTGGTGGCATAACAACTAGATATTGATTCTATTTGGATCTAACTAGGAAATAGTTCAATGTTTCTACTCATTAACTGGACCTAGTTGTAAATATAGTATAAAGATGCCTGATTTGTTCATAAGCTGAACTTATTCCTCATTAAAATAATGGTCATATCTTTCATTATTTGACGAGAGATCACTCAAGAAATCTTACCAAAAAATATAAATAAATAAATGAATAAAAGTACATAAATTATAGCAATTTTGAAAATTTTATATTGTTATAAAAAGTCTGTACGTTTTCATTTGATTATATATTATTTTTGAATTTAGTCAATTGTATATAAAGTTGAAGAAAAGTGTTATTATAAAATTAATCTTTTAATAATATGATCATTTTGAGAGGCAGATTTTATAAGAGGGATATTTATTGTCCTGTGAAACAATATATTGGTATGCAATAAATTCAGGACATTAATATCTTTGTAATCAACTGATTATTAATATGGGGTAGATTATATTTATAAATTTTTTATATAGAAACTATATTGTGTACTACATATAGTACATGACCAATTAGTATGTATTATCTGTAGTATATAATGTAGTTTGTAAATAAAAAATTTGTAAATATAACCTGTTTTATTAATATAATGATAAAAGAATCATTATTTATTAATAACAAAAAAACATTATTTATTAATAACAAAATAATTTAATTTTTTTTATGGTCATGTTAAAGATATATATTTGACAGCAAGAACTTTATGTTTACAGTTTTTGTCATACTATTACGCCAATTTATTATAGCACGCTAATTTAAAATTTTAAAAATCGGTGAACAATAGCTGTACATAAAAAGTAAAATGGAAGAGACTAAATAATAAATGAAATTTGAATCTACATTTTTTAAGCTAAAATAAATTTACAGAAATATTGTCACTTACATAAGATCAAATCAATTGTGGCTAAATTTTTTGTTGAGTTTTTTTGATTTATTAAAATTGTTATTCATGACTCTAATCAATATTTATGTGTAAAGTATATGATTAACTAATATCCATGTGAAAATAGCATAAATAAATATATACTTAATAAGTATAATTAATATTTGAATTAATTTATAATTTGAGAGGTGGAGTAATTATAAACTATTATTTAAATAGATAATAGATATTTTATCACTTAGTTAATACGTATAATTAATATTTTACATTTTACGTTTTTTCAATTAGTTTTTGATTGTTAAAGTGGCTAATTACTCTTTCTTAAATTCCTTTTTATCATTCAAAAAGATATTTTGTCTTACTTGACAGAGTATCATTTTTTTTCTTTCTAACTTTACATTTACTATTGATAAGTGAGAGGAAAGGTAAAATGTCATGTTAATAGTATTTTCAATAATTAAGTTAAAAAATATAATTCAATCAAATGTGTCTATTTTTTTCTTACAATTAAAGCTACTTAAGTCTATCACAAATAAGAGCCGAGTTCTTCAGTTACACGCTCCTTAGTCCTTCCTTTCTTTTTTGCAGTAAAAAGAGAAAATTAAAAAATGAAAAGAAAAGAACCATCTACACCCTTTAACTTTCAAGCATTCGAATTCATTTTACGAGAACCATAATAGCATTCATCATTTTGCCATTTTCCAATTAGCTAGACAGGCTCTCCATAAATATTTTAATTATTCAATTGAATCATTCGAATCATGAACCGATGTATCAATTCAAACATTATCCAATTCAACTATTAATTTATCTAGTTAAAACTTGTTCCCCCATGATCCAAAAAATTCACACATTTTTTATACATTACCGGGGGTTTGCAGCACAAATTAAAGCAAGCTTTAATTAATAAAAAGGAAAAACGGTTCGAGTCTCGAAGAAGCTGCAATTGTGGGCTAGGCTGATCAGGGCTCAAGTTTCATTCAACAACTACTCTAAAAAAAAATTAAGAAAAATAATAATCTGCCAAACCCGAAATCATATATCTTTAATCTTACCGTTATTGCAGAAAGGAAAATAAAATAACAAAGAAATCCGAGAGTAAATTTCCTCTTAACTCGATGGCAAGCAACTCAAACGGAAAAGTAAAAAAAAAAGAAATATACATATAAAGTAAAGGTTAAACATGTCTCCTTTTATTTTTTTCCATTATATACTACGGGTAGTACATAATTATAATATGAAAAAAAAATAATTTTTCATATTATAACTATATGCTATTCATAACACGTAACTACATAATATTAAAAATTAAAAATACACCAACTTTCTTCCCATAAAGTAAACCAAAAGATGTACTAAATTTCTATTCTCCTTTGATGAGGTTGAGGACATCAGCCTCTGTAGGAAGAGCAGGAATTGCTCCTTTTTTAGTAGTTGTAATTGCTCCACATGCATTTGCAAACTTGAGTACTTCCCTCAATATCGGTTCATCCTGCAATTGAAAGCGTGACAATAAATCAATCAATAAAAATTATGAAAAATTATGGGGATCGTTACAAATCATTTTCAGATTTTACCAAAACGTGTGTAAGATTAGAAAATCACTAACAAAACCATACACGTGAACATGCATAAACTTAACTTCATTTTCAAAACTTTATCATTTTCAAGGAGGGAGCTAATGTGAAAGGTTTATTAAGGTGTAGTTAAACACTCACTTCAAGTATGGATTGATCATCGACAATCTTGCACAATAGAGCACCAACAAAGGAATCACCAGCGCCAGTTGTATCAACTGTATTGACATGAAAAGCCTCCACTGATCCATGGAAATTCTGGTTTGTACAGAAAAGGAGAAAAATCATTACAAATTGACAGAGAGTAATCAGCCACGCAACATACCTTTCAGACCATAATTTTTTGATGTGAGAAAAATATAGCTATCATACGCAAAACATGACAAAAATAAAATCTAATTAATACAGAAAGGAAAGTTTATTAGCATATGTAGCAAGTCATTTTACCATCTGAAGTTGATTGAGGCCATGGTAGGCCACAGCACAAAGATGATTATAACATATAGGCTCATACAGATGAAAAGCATATGTGCTACAACAGAATAACTTCCACCCCTTGGTGAAAATAAATCAATATATTTTTTTTTAATAAAACTCTGATTGAGCCTCAGTGTTTTTCACCCTTCAGCAGAAAAACTGGAACAAAGAAAATCAACACAAGGGGCCAAGGAAGTTGCACGTATTTAAACAACCGCCTACCCATCATTACGAATTAAACGAATCATCTAAGATCTACCACAGAGTACTACTGTACTGGAGAGAAGCTAGGAGTAAAATATTTGAAGAGCCAACACAATAAACAACAAAGTTTAGTAAGGAAAAAAGAAAAGGTAAAATTGAAAAGTGGGCTTTTACCTTGGTATAATATCTGCAACCATGTTCACCAAGAGTGACAAGGAGTAATATCAAACTGGGGTGCCACAAGGAGAGAGCAGAAGCATCATCAATTTTGTCACTCCCAGTTAGGAATTCGAGCTCCACATCACTGACCTTGATGACATCAGCCTTGTCCCATATACTGAGTATTTGCTGACGAGCTTCCTCCGGTGAGGGCCACAAGGGTAGCCTGAGGTTTGGATCATAAGAGAGCAAGCACCCTGCTTCCTTCGCAACTTCCATTGCCTTCAGGTGTGCCGATCTGCATGGCTCCACTATCAAGCTTATCGATCCATAGTGGAACACTTTTGCCTGAAAATTCAAGTCCCATTCAATTACTCCAAATGAAAAAAAAAAAAATATATATATATATATATATATATAATTCAAAGTGAATCAATTAATATAAGAAAATAAATAAATTAAATGGTGTAGTTTTGGAGTGGCCATCTTGAGAAATATTTTTTCATATAGAGTTTTTCATTTTTCAAGTTGCTTGAGATAATTTTATCTTCGGCTACTAAATCATAACCGTACAAAGATAGATCAATGTGACAAGAGAAAAAAAAAATAGTAACCATTCAAAAATGAATTAATTAATATAAAAAAATAAATAAATAAAACGACATAATTTTATTTATTTGAGAAATATTTTTTTTATATATATAAACAATCAATTCAACTCAAAAGATGAACCAAGTTTAACTGTTTGTTGAACGAGTTTATATTAATGATTTGGCTTGTTGGGCTTTAGGTGAAGGCGAATGATGTATTAGGTACTGCTAAAAAAAATTCTATAATATGCCAATTCTAATATTATATAAAAAAATTAGTTTAATGCAAAAACTTAAATTATAAGGAGATATTAATAATTTTATATTTTTCTAATAAATATAAATATGTTTGGAGAATTTAGAGAAATTAACACTGGGAGGAGTTATATTAATAAATTTTTTTTTTACAAACTATATTAAGTCTAAATAGTCATACTTCAATTAAGAGTATCTGACTAATTAGACTTAGTGTAATTTATAAATTTATAAGAAAAAATTTATCAATATAATCCTCTCAAAAATATTATTGAAAATGCAATTAAACGAGATTTCAAAACTTCAAAATGTCAAAGATTTATTTTTTTATTAAAGTTTGAAGAAAGAAAAAATAGTGGATCCATTATGCAAATTTAATAACATTCCTATTATGTGATCATGGGTCCCACCCCGGATTGTCCACCGATAAAAAAACACGTGAGACACGTCACGTGACAAGACACCAACCCTACCAGCTTTTGCGATCTAATATTATATGATTTTAATTTTAATTTAAAAATTATGTGCTGCGTAATTTCGGGCATCATAGATTTACCCATGGGCCCCACTGCACTCAAGCTGACTCAGCAATATCCAAACGAAAGCTGACTCGAGGTTTCAAATTTTCCGGGAAAACGGGGAAGGAAAAAAATAAAACAATTTTCTCAAGAAAGTTTGACAAGAAGGAGATTAGCATACAGATCTGATGAGTTCAAGATTGAGATCTTCGGGTTTGAGGAGCATATCAGCGCTGGGATTTCTGTAGAACATGAACTCACGCTCTCCGTCGGCGCGTAGGGTGACGAAGGCGAGGGCAGTGCGCGCGCCCTGGTCGAAGTTGATGCCGTCGGCTCTGACGTCGTTCTCCTTCAATATTCCGGCGAGCATGTGGCCGAACTCGTCGTCGCCGAGCTTGCCGACGAAGGCGGATTTTCCGCCGAGCCTGGAGACGGCGATGGCGACGTTTGCGGGAGCGCCGCCGGGGGCTTTGACGAAGCCGGGAGCCTCGGCGAGGGAAACGCCGGAGACGGTGGGGACGAAATCGATGAGCATCTCACCGAAGCTGACGATGAGGCCGTTGCCGGTGGCGGGGAGGGCATTGTTGGAGGCCATGATATTTTGTGTGTAAAAGGAAAAGAGAGTGAATTGAATTGAATTGAATTGGAGAGAGGAAGAAGAAGATTGAAAGAGATAGAGAGCTGAGAAGTGTTTGGTGGAATTTATATGAAGAGGGAGAAGAAGATTAGGATAAGAACAATAGAAAAACAAACAATGCAGTCATTAACTTTCAAATTTCAGTGATAAGTTATTGAGATTAGGTTGGAACTTCCAACTTAGCATTTTTTTTTTTTTCTTAATTCTATTTTTTTTTATTTAGTATTAGATAATTAAGACCTTTTCTTTTTCATTTAACACATAACCTTATCATTGAAATTACATCTCCCTTTTGTTTTTAATTTTTATAATTCATTATTTATTGTTTATTTTCTATTAGATTTTTTATTTTTTATCTACATTTTTTTTGTTTTTTATTAATTTTCCAAATGAAATTATTAGACTTCAAATGAAATTAAATATTACATCTGAACTAACTAATAAATAATTACAGTAATTTATATCAAGTACATTAAATGCATATTAAAATTAAAAAAATTATGCATTAAACAAGTTATTAACTAAATTAAATAAAATGAATCAATCATCATTTTATTTTATATTTAATAAGAAATTTTTAATTATATAGAGAGAGATAGAAGATAAGAGTAATGGAGAAGTTTTAATCTTTTCGCTTCTTACTTAATAAGTCATCCTATATATAAAATAAAATAAAAAAATCTATTTTTATATTATTAACTATTTTTAAGGTAACCACATTTTTTATTTCAAACTTTTTTACATTTGTTACAAATGTTCGATCTTATCTAAACCTTGTAATCGAACTCTATCTTAATTTTGAATGATAGAACATACTCAAGTAAAACTAATTTATAATTATATTTTAAGGATTCATTTTTTCTGCAGTCAATGTAGATAAATTATTTACATTGAGCTCAAAACGACTTCGTTTTGGAATAAAAATTAATGTATTTTTATAATTATAATTTATTTTATGGTTATAATAGTTTTTTTCATTATAATTTTTTAATTTTTAACCTAAAACGATGTCGTTTTAAAAGTGAATGTAAATAATTTAATTACATGTAAAAACATTAAAGCCATATTTTAAATATAAAGAATGAGAAAACCTCATTAATGGCAATATATTTATTGAATTTAATATTAATTATTTATGCCTATAATATTTTATTGAATTAAACAAGTATATACTTTAATAACTTACACAATTTATAAAATAATCTAATGTTTTCCATTTTTTTAAAGATATAAAACTGATAAAGAATTTAAATCTGATAGTATTGGACAGCGCAGCTAAATAACTGACGTGCCTTTGAAGAAAAGGTGCACCTAAGTTGCACTTTTGAACCACCCTCCGGCCTCCACTCCCGATACCACACTCTAAACTTTCCAAGGCCATTAAATGTTGGGTTAAAAAAAATGAGGTGTCACCAAGCGGAATAACACTCTCGAGTTCACCATCGTCTTCACTGTCCATATCCTCGTCATGCCCATCCTCATCCTCGTCTATTTCCCTCAGTGGTATCTGACTTAAGATAGGTGCAGGTGCAGATAAACGGACCACTCTGTCTTCTTGACTTTGACTTCTTCCATGCACAGGTGCAGATGAAGATTGACCACAGTCTATTTCAACATATATCTCAATAAAATTTTGAAATTTTCGGTCCACAATTGCATCTATGACACAATCCACATCTTCATCGTCACATATATCATTACCAATGTAGAATATAGCATCTTTACCAACTGTAGACTCTACCCTGGCGATCATCCGTTGAACGCCATGGCTGCCGTGTAGCCCCAATTTTTGGTTAATCCTCCCCTTCAGCTCATTGTACGTAGTGCCCCGTTTGATTTTCAACATTTTCGTTTTTCCTTCAAATTGAACACCGTTGGGGCCTTCATAATGCTTTCCATCATAGTAAATCATGGTAACATACATGTTTGGACTTGAGCTCATCTTTCACACGAATTTTGGGGTAGGAATCAGATTTTAGGGGTTAGGGTTCGGATTTGGGGGAAACAATTGAGAAATAAAGGAAAATGACAATGATTTCACAATTACTATGTCTTAGAGGTGGTGGGATGAAATGGAAGGGTGATTGGAAGGTTCCCAGATGACAAACAAGAGAAAGAGACCAAGAGAGAAGTTTTGATTTCGAATATTTTGAAAATGAGCCCAAGAGAGGTCTGGATATATGGTTTTTCGCGATCTTTAGTCGACTAAATAATGTGCTTAGTCGACTAAAAGTGCAAACAATTTAGTCGATTAAGGTGAGTTTTTAGTCGACTAAAATTCGCGTTTCATAATTTCTGAGTTTAGCCCATTTAATCGATTAAAAGTGCAACTTAATCGACTAAATGGGGGTGGATAGTTCTGGGGAGGGACAAATTGATTATTAATTATTTAATTAGAGGCAAAAGGGTCAAAAACCCAACTATATTGCCTTGTATAATATCAAAACTTAGGAGTTACGACAAGGACATGCATGGCAGCTTCAGGTGACTCAGATGCCAATACAAATAAATTATGAAATTGCACAATTTGCTGCTTATAATATGGCATCCTACAAACAAGTACTGTCACTGACGTATCGGCGCCATTTTAAAATCAACTTGTTATGATATCACGGGCAGAGTCATCAATACCACTTACCATTATAATTATATAAGTGGCCATATAATATATCATTAAAGGAGCGTTGGGTAAAGGAGAAAAAAAATTTTATCCAAAAATTTCGATTTTCAGAAATATGATAAAAATATTCAGTTTACGAAAATATTTAAAAAATTTAAAATTTAAAAAAATTAATTTCTCAAAAATCCTACAAAATGCGAAGTACCAAACGACCCTAACTTAAATTTGGAATTGGAATTAAATGGTGCTACTTTTAAGTTTTCACCTTGCACACGTCTTGGACCCAGACTCTTTTAAGTAATGAGCAAAAAAAAAAGCGCCAGGTTGCTTCTTTCTGAAAGATAACAAGAGACAAATTCTCCTTCTAAAGTTGACGTAACTGCTACTAATCTCCCAAAAGTTCTCTTTCCCCATATTCTTCTCATGAAGCTATATTTGCCTCAAATTGCTTAAATAGTTTTGTTGAATTTATATATAAAATTAATATTTCTCATGTTATAAGAGATAATTTAATCTTTTATACATACATAAAAATGTGTAAAATTCATATAAATCCATATATAGAAAAAAGAGGGGAAAAAAAAAGATAAATTCCGCATATTTTTATATATATAATAGATAAATTTACTTCTTACAATATAAGAAATACTAATCTCTTTTGTATATTTTAAGGGTTTGTTTTTTCTGATGTTACTTTAGATAACTTTATCTAATATTCATCAAAACGACATCGTTTTGAGACGAAAATCATGGTATTTTTGTAATTTTAATTTATTTCAGGGTTATAATAGTCTTTATCACTCTAATTTTTAATTTTTTAACTCCAAAACGACGTCGTTTCGATGAACATTAGATAAAGTTATCTAAAGTAACATCAGAAACTTTTTTCCCATATTTTAATATTAGTTCCTCATTTGAAATGTTATAAGAGCCCGGATTCCATACATTTTAATCTTGTAACATATGAGAATACCTACATTCCGTGTACGTAACTGCACATGGTCTTCAGAATATATTGGACGAGACTGATGATGGAACCAGAAAACTTTTTAAGAGGGGCAAAGGATCAATATAGAGTCAGATTGTAAGAATTCTCCAACTATTCTTTATAGATGAGAAATAATAAGATAAAGATTTAGTAGATTGAGAGCCTGTTTGGATTCTCTTTTTTTTAAGCTATAAGCTACTTATAAGCTCTAATGTAAAGAACTTTGGAATACACCACCCCAAAAGCTAGCTCAAAGGGTGAGAGTGCCCAAGACCTTATAAACTCCACATTAGTTGCACATACAACCAATGTGGGACTATATATCTCAACACGCCTCCTCACACGAGAGCCCATTGGGCTTGAAGAGTGGACAATGCAACAGGCCCAGCCTACCTGTGCTAAGAAACGCCACAAAAGAAAGTGGGGGGGGGGGGCGGCGAGGCTCTGATACCATGTAAAGAACCTTGGGATGATACCATGTAAAGAACTTTGAGATACACCACCCCAAAAGCTAGCTCAAAGGATGGGAGTGCCCAAGACCTTATAAACTCCACATTAGTTGCACATACAACCAATATGGGACTATATATCTCAACAGCTAAAAAAAAGAACTTAAAAAAAAGCCAAAAGTTATTTGGTAATTACATAAAAATTACTTAAAAGCACATATTTCAAGAAAATTATTTCTCTCTCTATCTTTATAACTCTTCATTTAAAAAAAAAAAAAGCACACAATTCAAGAAAAATTGATAAAAACTTAAAAAAAGCTCTTCCTATGAGCTTTTAGCTTTCATTTTTTTTCTTCATTATAAAAAAAAAGAGTTTTTCATTATAAGAGTTTTTCTTAAAATCTGTTTGGTCTAACTTATGCTTATAAGTAACTTCTAGCTTAAAAAAAAGATGATCCAGAATTTGAAGGAAACAAACTTATGTTATATTACATATATATTAAGTCTGAATGAGACTTAATATAAAGGTTTATATGAGATTTAGGTGATTGCTCTCCCTAACCCTTCCCCAGCTCCACCATTGGATGAGACAGTAAAATTAAAATCCACGCAGAGGGAGCTCAAGTTTTGGTAATTTCTGCGCTCCATTTGAAACATTTAAGACACGAAAAAATGAAACAATTTTTCAAATTCCTCCAAGGAATACTTTTATGGACTATTTGGTTTACTCAAGGTGATAAACAATATATATATTCAATCCCTATTCTCTAGTGATTGGTATTTGTTCGGAAAATAAACATTGATTATAATAATGGTGGCTATGTTTAGATATTGATGATGAACCTGTGGATGAACTTACACTTTGATCTTGCATTTTAGTAAAATATACCTCTCTTTCTTTATCATCATTGGAATCCAATACGCAGTCCTCTTCAGAATCCGATTCATTCATTAACAAGTTTTCATCTTCAAAATTATCTTCAGTTTCTGATAGCTCCATCTCCATGGAATCTGCTTCTGTCTCTGAAAGATCGGATGAAAAATAATCACTACTCAAATCAGGGTTTTTCTCATCATGAATTCCTCTTTCCCTTGAGTGGTTGTCCAGCATTGATAAGGGATTACGGTTGTTTGGGTCACCATAAAGTGCAATGTGCCTGTAATATAGCTCTAGTTCTTTCTCAGCAATAGCAATGAAGCGCCTCACTGACTCAAGTGATTGCTCATACTTGGATTTTTCAAGTGCCTGCATAAACAAATTTACACCATTCAAAAAGCATGGCATAAAAAACTGTAACCTTAAGGTAAAAAACTAAGTACTTAAACACCTAAGCTCAACCACTTATTTTCTTAGCCTTTCCCCCATAATATTTTCATTCTGCATTGTCCCGCTTAAATCTTAATGGCTTGACACATCTTGGAACACTGTCCTACTCCTGTTTCCAACTTATTATTTGTTCACTGCTTGATTTCACAGTTTTCTAATATCATTCAAATATATTCACAAGAAAATGCTGAAGAACATGACAAACAAATGCCCTATAAGGAGATATATTATGAACGTAATTACAAAGAGAATAACAGTTTAGATCAGAGACTCTATAATTAAGCTGAATGTAAACAAAGCTTTACTGTTTGATTATAGAAGCCTTGTCCAAAACAGAAAACAGTTGAACAGAGTGAAAGGGGAAAAAAAAAGGTCCTCCAAAAACAGAAAGTGAACCAAATAATGGCTCAGTGACCTTTAGACTGAGGCTAAAAGGATCGTAAACTAATATGCTGATTATAGCTCGGTTGCATAACCAAAATGAGTAATCAGATGCTCTGACAATTCAACAGCTTTTACGCAGCCTAAATTTATGGGGAGTGTAAATGCTTATAATTAATTTTGATTGGATAGGACATATATATCAGTACAATTACATGGGTTCAATATAATGAACAAACAAATAGTTTTGTACACACGAGCATATAATGAAAATATACAATGCTGATTCTGATCAATGTTAGAAATGAGAGGCAATTTTATTTTATTTTTTTCAACTTACACCATATTTAACAAAATACTTCCATAATAAGAACCCTTTCAGCAATGGAAAATGCAGGTGGAATATCAAAACAATTTTCATTTCCAATGCCTTTATACAGTAAACAAAAACTACAGTAATGGTGCATTTGAGATAAAAAAATGCAGAAACAGACCTTTTTCTTGGATAATGTATCTATTGGTGACATGACCTCAGGCTGTTCATAGTTCTTTCCACGATAAAATATTATAGTGTCATCTCCAATTATTTGAATTGGAATACCGCCACTCAATCTGGCAAGTTCTTGTGCATACTCATGCACTTGACCAGGTTTACAAGGCTTGCATATGACCTTAACAGTCTCGTGTTTCTTCCAATGCATATGCATATTAAGAATAACCCCTCCAAATAATCCTCTTTTGCCAACTTGTAGATAATTAGACCTCTTCTGAGCCATTTTCTTCAAATAAAACCGTTCCTCCCCTGTCAAGCCATCAGGTTTTACAACAGGACCCTGAAGCTTTGGAACTTCATATCGTTTGATTCTTTCAATGAGCAATGCTTCCTTAATTCTGGCCTGGGGTTAAAGCTAGAGTTATACAAAAATTCTGTAGAATGCCTAGGCAAATAAGCATTTCATGATATTCATGATTATTGATGAAATTTTTTGTAGCATCATCATTTAAACACTATAAACACACAAAATCTCCATTAGAACAATGCTAAAAAGAAAGAAGAGATCTATTATTCCAACTAAAACAACATATGACAGGGGATCATATATCATAATTAAGTAAAACTTAAGCATACAAGCCTCCACACCCATCTAAGGATATCCCTTTCCCTCAACATAACTGCCACTGTCAAGTCTAATGGGCAGTATAACTAGCATAACAGAAAAATTTGCAATTTTTTAAAAATAAAAAAGAAGTATATATCGTCTAGAATCAAGAAGTACAATAAAAAGGATATTGTAAAAGATCATAATGCTTCTTAGTTTCCCACGAAAGGGAAGAATATATGAGCAAACACATTTATCCTCCGGCTTTAAGTAGATCCTAGTGGCCTAAAATTGGGAAATATATTCGGTAATGGACCCTTTCATTTGACATGAGGTCATATGAGAGAGTCTCAACCATCCAGATACAAATGTAACTGTTATCCTTTTCTCATACTTTATCTAAATGCATTCTCTTATTACTGTTGATTTCCATCTGGATGGCTGAGATCTTCTCACATGACCTCATGTCACATGAGATCATCCATTATCAATTTAATCACTCGTGAGATCAATATATATCAATACAAGAAAACAAAGGACCATTAGACTTAAACAAATGAAGAAGCATAATGCTGCAATGGGAAAAAAGAAAAGAAAATCCAATCACAGTGATTACTTTTTCAAGCTTGTACTTTATTCTCTCTTCCGCATTGTCAAACTTCTGATTCTTCTTCTTCCCTTTGACTCCAAGTCGACGGGGGTCTTTCCTATTTGCTGCTCTCCTCTTCTCCTTCTCTCTCTTCCTCTGCATCTTCAGCCTCTTCTTGGTCTTCCACTTGTCTTTCTTTGGAGGCTCAGCCTCCTGAATATCAAACTTGGTCTTCCCTCCCTCTATCACAAGGTTAACAGTGCCATAACTCAACTTCCTGAAACCCCACCAAGAACTTTGCTCTGAGAGTGGAATAGAGTGCCTGAATGGAGAGCAGATAGACATTTGGGTCCTCCCAACTGACCTAGAACACATAGGAATTAGAATAAAATAGTACAATATTCATGTCAATTCAAAGCCTTCAACTTTCAATAACCCAGAACCAACAACAAGAAAACCAAGCTAGCCCAAGTTAGGTGCTTGAATAAATTGTTCATAACAGTGCTCCTGGACTAAGAAAAAGATTGATTTTTTTTTTCTGCTTATTGGGTAACACATAGGAATTAGAACAAAATAGTACATATACATGTCAATTCAAAGCCTACAACTTTCAATAACCCAGAATCACCAACAACAAAAACTAACTAACCCTACTTAGGTGCTTGAATAAACTGTTGATAACAATGTTCCTGGATTAAAAATAATAATAATTTTTTTTTTCTGGTTCTAGGGTAGTGACTTAGCAGATAACGATAAAAAACAAAACATGTGACAGTGAGAGGGATGGGAGAGAACCTGGGAGAGACCGAAAACGAAGAACCGCACGAAAATCTGAGAACAGAGGAAGCTCTTCGAATGCTGCGGAACAACGAAGAAGTTGCCATGATTGAAGGTGAATAAGAAGAAACCTCTTTTCTTGTGTAGTGTGTTCTTCAGGTGCCCCCACCCGTATTGGATTGGATCGGGTGGGTTATTGTCCCGGTGCTAATTTTACGGGCCAGTGTCCACTTCATATGTAACGTGGCAAGGAACCATTGGGTCAAGATAAAAAAGTTGACTTTTTACGAGAGCATATCCAATAGTTTGTTGACACGTAAGGGAGTCACCAGGGTCCATATATGCCGTGCCTTACTCAAATCCATTCCTCTGTATTCTGCTGCTCTCTCTGCACCCCGTAACAGAGGATTACAAATAATTAGTGGAATCAAGGACGGTTTCTGAGACAATCAAATTTTCAGTGAGTTTTTATTTTATTTTTTGATTAAAAAAATATTTTTTTTTTGGTTCATTTTGGGCTGTGAAAATTCTGCTGAAGATTTTGATTCCGGTGGTGTTTTAGGGTTTTTGTTTCTTGTGGTTTGGGAAATAACTGCATAACTAGCGGAATTGGAAGATACTGAATCCTCCTCCTTTGCTTTTCTACAAAGAATTTCAAAGGGTATGGGGCAAATAACTCAAGATTGAAGCTTGACGTTGTTGTTTTTGTTGTTTTGTTTTCCCCTATTCTAATATGTGCCTCTGTTTTTCCTCTAACACATTTTTGTATTCCATTTGAACATTTGTGCTTATAATTTCCTGCTCAGCTTTTTGTCTGATAGAAATGGGAAATTGGAAAGAAAAAACCACTCAAAAATAAAAAAAATTGGACAAAACTTAGATAAAGCACCACTCTGATGTAGGTTGAGTTTCAATTTTTAAGATGTCATTGGCTTTAGTACATTTTTAAGATTTGATTCTCAATAAGATACAGGACATATGGAAACTTAATATAGAATAACTTTTGGAATGCTTGTTTTTGTAGATAAAGATATTATGAGTCACAGTTGTTGAGTTTTCTCCCCTTTTTCCTTCCATTGTTTATGGTGGGAGAAATTGTGAAGTTAATATTTGTGAGACCATATAAGTCAGAAACTCATGCCTTTTACGTGGCACTAATGCCACGGAATGTATGCAATAGATTATCTTCATTTCGAGATTAAAGTGGGTTTGTTCACAGACGTGGCGTGGAGTTATTGTTCACTCATTTTACTGGGGAAAGAGGAAGGAAAAATTTGTTTCCTGTAATATACATAGCGTTGTTTGGTTGTTGTATAATGTGGAATCTTCTGAAGGACAGAAACTCTTCCTGACTTAGGGATGAGTGTTTTTTGATTCACTGTGATAATCTATGTTGTTTGTTTTGGAGGAGTGTATTTGACAAATACTTGTTGTGATTTAAAGGCTCTCTTCTATTAGTTAATTCTATGGCCGTTGTTGTTTCTAGAACTTCTTGTAAACCATATTGCACTCATTGTATTCCCCTCTGCTAGTAAGCTTTCTTCTTGTTATTACAAATAAAAAGAAAATTTTTGGGATTTGGACTATATTTATTAACATGATCTTTCTTCATTTTTATTTTCAATGAAAGAGTTATTTATAAATTTTATAGACTGTTCTGTAGAATTTCATCTAAGCACTGAAAATCTAAAAGCAGATTTTTTGTTGCTGCAGTGGAGTTTGGGATTGATGGCTCTATTAATGGCAATACAATAGTAGGAAATGCTGCTATGGGTGAGGTTAGTAGCATAGCTGATATTGAAAACAGAACAGGTGGAAGTTCTGTTGAACCGACTTACAAACAAGATCAAGATGATAATATGACTCAGGATTCTTCTGGAGGGGTTACAATCCCATTAGCAGTTCCCACAGTATCAGTTGTTTCAGCTGATGAGCCCTATGTGGGTCAGGAGTTTGAGTCGGAAGCAGCAGCACATGCTTTTTATAATGCATATGCCACACATGTTGGATTCATCATTCGTGTAAGTAAACTCTCACGATCAAGGCGCGATGGATCTGCTATTGGACGGGCTCTTGTTTGCAACAAAGAGGGTTACGGAATGCCTGACAAGCGGGAAAAGATTGTAAGGCAAAGGGCAGAGACAAGGGTTGGTTGCAGGGCAATGATTTTGGTGAGGAAAGTTAGTTCTGGTAAATGGGTTGTTACAAAGTTTGTAAAGGAGCACACACATCCTCTGACTCCTGGAAAAGGTAGAAGGGATTGCATTTATGAACAATACCCGGTTAGTTCTTTTTCTTTCATTAGTGAAACTTGTGTGATTTATATATATTCCATTTAGCACTCCTTTTCAGTTCCTTCTTACCTCTTTGTTTTTATGCTATTTTCAGAATGAACATGATAAAATTCGGGAACTATCTCAGCAGTTGTCAACGGAGAGAAAGCGATCTGCGATCTATAAAAGACATCTCGAATTGATATTTGAGCACATCGCGGAGCATAATGAGAACCTTTCTAAGAAAATACAGCACATAGTAGACAGTGTGAAGGAGATGGACAAAAAAGATCAACATAGCCAATGATAGGTTCAACTTTCTATTATCTGGTCTTCTAATTATTTTTCACTGGATGAAACACAGAATCAACTGTCACTGTCCAAAAGTGCTGCAAGGTGAAGGGTGCAATAATATCTAATAACTGCTGACCTAGGGTATCTGCTTTGTTCCTTCTTTAAGCGTCTGGTGGGTTCGGTAGTTCAGTTTGATACAGTGGAATTCATTGTATTGCTTTTTATGCTTTGATACTTTAGTTGGTAGAGGAAACTAGTTCAGTCGAGGTATAGATAGGTCTTTGAGTCCATTCTTGTAAAGTTGTGCTAATAATGTGATAGTTCATATCAGGCATTCAAATGCCTTTATAGAGTTTAATTCTTCCATTGTTGATTTTGTAAAAAATTGATCGAAGGCTGTCTCCTTTGTATAGATTCAAATAATGATTAATCATCCATTTTGTATAGAATGAGACCGTTTGAGAATGACCTATCCGGATGTTCATATTTTATTTACCATCCAAACTTCCATCAATGGATTTACTTTATTGCTTGCTTTCAAGTTATTATACAATATCATATAGGCTTTAATAGCTCTCATGTCGCTACAGATGGAAAAATGTGCAGCAACACTTATTTTCATCAGGATACGGTTCCGTATCCTGATATGTTTTTTTTTGTTCTTTTATTCCAGGATACGGCTCCGTATCCTAGTGTTAAAAGTTTGCTGCAACTTTTCTCATCCGCAGCGACAGCAGAAACGAGGAACCCTATCATATATGATTCTTTTGCTGCAATGAGAATTTCATAACAATTTATTAGACTTCCCTCACTTCTGCTCAAACTCCAAGTACATAGCATTAATTAAGCAGTACCATTCGATAAAGAAAATAAAGTAAAGCATAAAATATAATGAGAAAAAGAAAAGTAATTTTTCTGGTGAAGTTGATGACTGGCATGAAAGGCCAAATTAATGTACCATGCTACATGCCACTACGTGAGAATAATATCTTGAATCAAGCTTCAGCTCATGATATGGTGCAACCAGTACCATCATCATCACGAAGATAGTGAACTAAACTATTACCGAATGATCTATGACGAGTATATATGGTTGGCTGGGGCTGATAATAATAGGGATCGGGTGCAGGTGGTCCACCATAATAAACAGTTGGATGAATAGCTTCATAACTGTAAGGTGTTACATATGGATATGGAGTCACTGGCAATGAAAAGTTACCAGCATAGCCACCTTGCATGGGAAATTGTTGCATGTGAAATTGTTGAGGATGATTCCCAAGCATAGCGGCACTGTCTCTTACACCTCCATAACCATTGTAGTGACGAGCATGAACATCCTCATCGTCAGAACTAACGTATCTTTCTTCTTGATGTTTGGGGTATCTTTCTTCTTTATGTTTGGGGTCTCTTTCAAACTTCCAAAGCTTTGCTTCACTCCCAGCATTTTTAATGGCCTCTATAAGTATGGAAGCATCTGCCACACCAGAAACTGTAACCAGTCCTTTTTGGATGTCTATGTGGACACGAGTCACTCCTGCTTAGAAAAATAAGGATGAAAAACTAGTATGATACCAAAACACATAAAAATTAGACTAAAAGAGGAATAAGAATGATAATAATCTTGTTATTAAAAAAAGCCGATTTTCAATATTTAAAAATTCAACAACCGATGAATATAGGTCTTAAAAACCTTTTTATATGGAACCAAATAAGCATAAAAAGCGATTGAAATTAAAAAATGCAAAATTAGATTATGACTTTATGGACCTTTTGCAAGTGATGTTATGGATTGAAAACTTTGTATCCTTTACTATGGGTACTCAAGGAAAGAGTGATAGAGATCAAAACTCGAAGAGAGTCATCCTGAGTGATGTCACATAGAAAACTGCAAAGGGCGAATGTGTATAAGGTTACAGTGACTCTAAAATACGGCAGAGTAACAACTCATAAATGTGTATGAGTTCTGGTGTCTCCCCTGTTAAAAGAATAGAATTATATAAGAGGGAAGAATATTTCATAATCATGAAAAAGAGAAAGAGAATGAACTTTAACTTTTCAATGGAGCTCTATCTCACCATCATGTGTATAGGATGGGTGAAGAGGATTTCCTACAATGAAGTCCATGTGCTCAACTGTGAGATGTTGTTAAATTGGATCTCTAATGGGCCTTGGACGACCTGCCCAGCTTATTGGGCCTGGGTGGACCGGCCATGACAAATATTATAATCGGTATTTGACTTCATCAATTATCATTCTGACATTTATAGAATAAAAGTAGGTGCAAATCAAGCCTATAAATCAACCACACATAATGAAGAAATCAACAATGTTGAATCGATATTGTTGATCATCAGCCCCTCTAGACTCTAATTCTAAATCTCCTTTACTACAAGAGCAAAAAGGAGATCGGGTTTGCTTGTTTTGAACTTATTCATCATAACACTAATTATCATCAGATACAACGCCAGACACAATAAGTTATCAACTTCATGATTTTTGTTGTTGTTGAAAATACTCATTTTCATATGTTTGCCAATGATTAGATCGGTGCTATACACTTACGTTTCCATCAATTTCCACGATACCTTGATGTATCATAAGATTTAAAATAATAATAATAAAAAAATCATTTCGCATCAAATCTCTACTAACAAGAGTGGAGTAAGAGTAATCCTTATTTTTGTAGTCTTATCCTTGCAGTTGCATATATGCAAATAGGTTGTTTCCTGAATTTGAATCAGTAAGTACTTTTCATTAACAAAGGAGTAGCCTTTTCACTACTCAAGGGTCGGTAGGATAAAAAAAACTAGCAAAATTCTTTCACAGTTTAGTCCCTCATTTTCTCAAACCAAAACTTATATGAACACAAAAATCCATATACATATATCCAAAAAAAAATTGCGAATTCTGTATTTACGTACCCTCAATTTTCTTAAGGTGCTTCTTCACGTGGTCTGGCAAATCCTTACTATAATGCAAATTCACTTTCAGAACCCAAGTCTGCGAAATATTCAAAAGCATGGTTAATCTCTATATCACACAATAAATTTTTAATGGAATGTGAGAAGAAATATGTATATGTGGGGTTCGTATGTGTTACCGGACCAAGACCTGCCATTGAGAAAATTCTCTGATACGTTATGTCTCAATGCCACAATCACAGGCAATTGCTAAGAACTCCTCATATATATATATATATATATATATATATATATATATATATATATATATAGAGCAGACGTGTACTAAATGATTTGGAGAAGATTGAGGCTTGTTATTGGCAATAATATAAAACGGTTGCCTTATATGTACAACCAGATATTTTAAATTTATTCAAATTTAATGGCTTTATTAATATATTGATATTGGCAATAATACATATCTGTTATTTTTACTTATCACATTATATCATAATCTCAATTACTTTTATTATTTTTTCTCTTATTGAAATTCTAATTTAATGGTGTTGAAGAATAGTGAATAAAGATGGACAGAAAAAAAAAAAAAGAGGTAAATAGAAGGCAAAAAAATTAATTTATTTCTTTTTTAATAAAAAAATTACGAAAATGTAGTCGTTTTGAAATTAATTACGAAAATATAGCAGTCAAACACGCCCATGTGGGGCGTGACCTAAGCGTAAGTCACGCCCACATGGGGTGTGACCAAGTTGGAGAGAGACACGCCCCATCTGGGCGTGACCGAGGAGAGAGACACGCCCCATTTGGGCGTGACCGAGGAGAGAGACACGCTCCATCTGGGCGTGTTTCACCAGGTGCTGCCACGTGTCACAGAAGTCAATAATTTGACCGTAAAACTTTGGAAGTCCATAACTTTTGACTCGGGTATCTGAATTAGGTAATTTTTTTTTCGATTCCACATAACTTTTCGAGATTTACGTAATGACACCTCATTTGGCATATTTTGTCTCTCACAAAAAAATTGAATTTACAACAATGTTACCATAATTATTAAAAATGACATGACTTTGTTACCTTATAATTATTACTAAAAATAATCTAACATTTTTATAATCATGAACAAAAACTTAAAAATCAAAATAAAACGAAAAGCACTCAGTTAACTTTTTAATATAAATTATTCGATATTCTGTCACCGACAGATGTTAACCGAATAAAATTATAAATTTCATAAAATTCTTCATTCGAGTTTTTAATATATATCTCAATAATATACATAATTAACCTTATCATAACTTACCATAATCATAAGGATATTTATTTCGAATGTTTCTAATCATAACAGTGGTTTTCTGCTTATTAATTTGAGTTTAAACGTTCTTATGGTATTATTATTGTAAATTCAATTTTTTTTGTGAGACAAAATATGCCAAATGAGGTGTAATTACGTAGGTCTCAAAAAGTTATATGGAATCAAAAAAATTTACCTAATTCGGATACCCGAGTCAAAAGTTATGGACTTCCAAAGTTTTACGGTCAAACTGTTGACTTTTGTGACACGTGGCAGCACCTGGTGAAACACGCTCATATGAGGCGTGTCTCTCTCCTCGGTCACGCCCAGATTGGACGTGTCTCTCTCCAACTGGTCACGCCCCTATGGGGCGTGTTTCACTGCTATATTTTCGTAATTAATTTCAAAATGACTACTTATTCGTAATTTTTATTAAAAAAGCAATAAATTAATTTTTTTGCCGTAAATAGAATAATCTATTCCTTTCCTGAATTGATGTAATTTTATTTTATTTTTATTTTTTTGCAGTTAAAGAGGGCCTAACTCAGAATATAACAAAACAAACTAAAAGTAAGGGACATTAAAACTAAAGAAAAGCATTTTTCATTTTGCATGAGAAATATTTTCTCATATTGCGACCTTTCATTTGTGTGCAATTTTTTTTTTAATAAGTGTGGGGTCCATCATTAATTGAGTCACAGGGTGAAATTGAGAAAATCAAAGCCCTCAAAGCTAAAGCGTGAAACTCTAGCTAACTTTGCTTCGTAAATTTCCTCCTGTAGGGACAAGTCTGTACACTTGGTCCTTAACCTTCAATCTTCTTCCTACTCTAGCAAGCCAGTGTGCTCATCTATTGTATTCGCGGGAGACATAATGTAAGTTGACTTCCCAATCTCTGTGAAGCCCGGCTAGAATCTTAACCACAAATAGTGGTTTTCTAACAATCTCACCTCCAGAGGTGAGTATGGAGATTAGTTCCATCGAATCCCCTTCCAGACACACATCACGGAAACCCATTACCAATCAAGCTAAAGACCCTAGAATTGATGTAATCTTTACGATTCACTCAAGATCTTCTTCCCTGACTTTACTCCAAATTCACTTTGTACATAGATTTTTAATTAATTAAAATCAATCCAAATCAAATCCTAAATTGGTATTAGGGTTTTATACTTCTCTTTTAACAAGAAAAGTATGTTCTTCTGTCACTCTCAGATCGAAAAACGAGCCCAATGGGGCTCACATTCTTTGTATAAACATGAAATGACACTCTTCTCCTAATCTAGGAGAACTATAAAACCCTTGATTTTATATATAATATCGAGCAAGATTTTACTTACACTTTTTGTTTACAAACTTTTACAAATTATACTATATACTATGGATAATACATATTACTTGAGTATGTACTACCTGTAGTACATAGTGTAATTTGTAAAAGTTTGTAAACAAAAAATTTCACTACAAGAAAAAATGTAAATTACGACGAAATATCTGAGGCGGTTTCAACGGAACCGCCTCCAAATAATTATCAGAGGCAGTCTAGGAGGCGTTTATACTAACCGGCTGTAAATTAGTATATTACTGAGGCGGTTATAAAATAACCGCCTAAATATATTGAATACAAAGGCGATTGAGGAGGCATTTATACTTTTAGCCTAAAAATTATGTTAATACTAGGGCGGTTTTAGTACAACAGCCTCCAAATGTAATAATTTCAGGCGACATTAGAGGTCGATTTTTCGATTATATGTACTTCATTCAGAGGCTGTTATTCAAACCGCCTCATCTATTATCAAAAAATAGTAAAAAATGTATGTAAGAGGAATCGAACATGCGCCGTCTTCATTGAGAGACTACGTGTAACCACTAGTCCAACTAAAAATAGCAACCGTGAAATGCAATATTTTTTTGTTATTTAAAAAGTGTGTGTTTCACTTTCATTGGGCGGACTCGTTTCCCTCCGTGTGAAAAATTAGAGTGACTTTTTAATTTAGGGTTTAGGTATTTCCTTTTGTCCCTAACTTTGTCTCTTGAAATTGAAAGCCCTCGTTTTACCGTTTGTAGACCATATACATTTATCTATGTGGTCATCGGTGGTGAAGGACGTCAAGGTCACCGGTGGTGTCTGTGTAGTTCTCACGGTAGCTCTCAAAGGTCACCGGTGGTCCCATCATCCAATACTCAGGCACGATTTTGTCAAAACTTAGGTGCCTTCATAATACTCTTACCTGGCAATGGGTAGAGACTAGAGAATTCTTATTTTTCATTTAATTGTTTTTTAATCTTTGAATGTGTTGTGCATGTATATTTAAAAGGAATGAGGAAATGTGTAGTAAAATGCATTTTACTTGTTCAGGTAGCTCGAAGAGACGCATGTATAATAACTGAGGTTACATTTCTAGTGACAGAGTCAAGGTTGAGGTTAGTCTCTACAACTCCTCATAACAAGATTTAGGTTCTCCAGGGATTAGGAGATCTTCTCATGCAAGTCATGACCCTGCTTGTGAAGGACCAGATTCTTCCCCTCAAATTCCACCTCCACCACCAGAGTTGAATATTTGATGTAGTCATTGATGTTGGATGTGTTCTTGACTTGATGTCATTATCATAGGGATTTGTTCAAGGCTTTTACATAACAGTTATGACATTGTTTATGGTTGTTAAACATATTATGTTCTATGATTTTGGATAATATATGCAATTATGCACTTTTTATCTTGTTATGAATTTATATATATATATATATATATATATATATATATATATAATGCATGTTAATTATTCAGGGATGATGCTAAAATTGTATGTTCAAATGCAACAATTAAAAAAAACAAATTAAATGCACTGGGTTTTGGAGGGTTAATGTAAACTTATATTAACAAAATTAAAATAAATATATATATATAAAAAATAATTATTTAAATATGGAGGCGGTTCAACAAAATCGCCTTCAACTTTCCAGACAAAGTTCAGCCATTTATAACCGCCTAATAAACCACTTAAGTACATTAGTATGAGGCAGTTTGCAAAACTGCCTAAGAATAAGGACTACAGGCGGTTAACTAAAGAGCCTCAAAGAGTTTTATGCAGGCAATTTCGTAAACCGCCCAAGTAATTATTAAGTGAGGCGGTTTCTAAAAAGGCCTCCAAATGTAATATAGAGGCGGATATCTGAATCGCCCTTGATTCCTAACCAGATTCTTGTCTTGCTAACTGAGGCGTTAATATCCGCCAAAAAGTATGCCTCTATTTATCTGTATGCGGTTGTACCAGTGCTTTCTTTTAACCGCCCTAGTTAGCGTCTCGACAGTGGTAACTGAGGCAGTTGTTGCTGAACCGCCTAGCGTTGAATACAAAGGCGGTTAAAACCGCCTCAGTTTACTTGTATAACCGCCTCAATATAGTTGTTTTCTTGTAGTGGAATTTGTAAATATAACTTGGGGTAGGATATTGTAATAACCAATTAGGGTTACTATCAATGTTATTACCAATCAATTTTACCGTTAGATCAATTACGTTGATCCAACTGTTATATTTATTTTCATCTTCGTATGGTTATGATTTTCCATATTTAATGTGAAAACATTAAATATGGGAAATCATAACCATACAAAGGTGGAAATAAATATAAAGTATTAAATATGATGAATCATAGCCATACAAAAATAGAAATAAATATAACTGTGAGATCAACATAATCGACGTAACGGTGAAATTGATTGGTAGTAACCCTAATTGGTTGTTACAATATCCTTCCCCATGATTTACATGGCTAAAATTTTAGACTTTTTGAAAAATTGAAAACCGATCAAATACAAACCGCATAAAAATGTATTGGATTAGATGTAAAAAAAATCTAAACTAAATGGATAATTAAATGATCAAAATGAATAGATTGGATGGGATAATTTTTACTTCAAAACCAATCCAATCCAAACCGCGAACACACTACTCTTAATGTTACATACTTACATTATTCTTTTAACGAAATACTAAAGGGGAATTTAAATATGGGTCCATATCTCATATAAGTTAGTAATACTATAATATTATCTCATACAATCAAAAGACTAATACACTAAAATTAATATATCTTTATTTGATTTTAGTAGATTGTACTTTTTTATATCAATGTCTTAATTGTTGAGACTTGAGAGTTCGTTTATATTCTTCTTTATTTTTGCTCTATATAATTTGGCTTTTCTTCTTCTACTACTTTATTTGAATTTTTTCCTGATTGATTGATTATTCCATTAGTTCGATTTTATTGGAATCTTTTAATTAAATATTTAATAATATCTCATATATTAATATAATTATATTATGGGAAGAATATTATCTCATATAATTGAAAAACTATTGTATCATAAATTTCCTTTTCTTTCTCATTAACTATGATGGATAATCTGACCTGTTTATTTCTCCCATGGGAAGATGATATATAACCAATCTGGCCTAGGGTTTGATTGAGATTAAAGTGACCTTGATATGCAAGCAGAAATTAGTGAGATACTCGACAAAATAGAAAATGAAATTTCACCATGACTTGGAATTATATATGTGCAGGCAAAGATTTAAATTTGTTCAACAATGTGTTGCAGATATTTCACCAAAGACTTTGAATTTACATTGCCTATGCTAGATGGAATTGGACTTACAGTGAGAAAACACCATAACCGTCGTTTGCCAGTAAATAATTTCAAGATTTTATTTGCTCAAAACTCAAAAAAAGGCTTTCAGGTTAAAGTTCAAATACAAATTGATACAGTGCTTCCTCTCCACCACTCACCCGTCAAGGGACGTGTTTAGAGATATAATATAAAATCCTAACATATTAGAATTATGAATTTTTCTACTTATATATACACATAGGTTAATCATACCATGCAAAGTAGCAAATTCATCATAAAAACTTAAACTGTCAGTGAATATCTTTATAACAAATTTTATATTTCTCTCTCACCATATATGAAACATTTGGTTGGTGAGATATGTCCCCCTCTAAGAGCATAAAAATTTATATTGCCAGTAAAAATTAAATTCAAAATTAGTAATCTGCTACAAATAAAATTTTATAAAAAAAATCATTGTAAAGAAAAATTTCACCACTCCATTTTTTAGGATACCAAACTTACCTAATGAATCACCCAAAAACGTTATGCAACATAAACATCAATGAATCCCAAAATTCAAATGAATTCATCAAACTGAGTTTTACAGAGTGAAAACAGAATCACCTATTCTTGCCCTCAACACAAACCAAAAAAAAAAAAAAAAAAAAGGAAACACAATCCCATCTTGTTACAAAAAAACATTACCAGGTCAAATTTCATCTGCATAATATCATGTTTAAGTGTTAATTAACCACAAAACGGCTGAGATTATGTAATTTGCATTGGCAATTAACAAGAGCTCAACGTGTGCCTTCCCACTAACAACAGCATACATCATCAATACATATTTACAAGATGGGAATTGAAAAGTTTGAAACCATTAATTTGTGATGGCATGCATGTATACATACATATGCATAAGGGTAACATAATTAATTAATTAACCAAGAGCACTGAATCCTCCACCCTTCATCATTTGCTTGAACTCTTTGTAGTTAACCATTCCATCTCCATCAACATCAACCTTCATGATCATCTTCTTACATTCTTCTACGGTTCTTCCCTGTTTGAGTCCCAGAGAAGCCAAAACCGTTCTGAGTTCCTCAACGGTGATGAACCCATCACGGTTTTGATCGAACACATTGAATGCCTCCATCATATCCTCCTCTTCATCACGCTCATGCTCGTCCATGATTGAAGTATATAACTCCCCAAACTCATCCATGTCCACGCACCCATCTCCATTGACATCGATCTTTTCAATCATCGCCGTTAATTCCTTGTCAGGGATGAAGATTCCTAAGTTTTCCAAAGAGTCGTTTAGCTCTTTCTTCGTGATTCTGCCATCGCCGTTGCGGTCAAACATGTGGAAAACGCGCTTGAGCTCATTGGGGTCCATTATTATTGTTGTTGTTGTTGTTGTTGTTGTTTTGTTGGTAATAATAAGGGACCTTGATGTTGTTGAAGGCGCAGTTGTGGTGGTTTGGATGAGGTTGGTTCGATGGAGGAGGTAGGATCTTAGCTTCTTGGGGACCAGAGACAAGACAAATGAATTTACGAGGTTGTAAAGAAGGAAAATCCTTAAGAAAATAGTTGGCATTTGGGAGACTGAAACAGAGAATTTTTTGTGCTTGTTGCTTTTTTGGGATTCCTCATGGAGAGATTTTTGGGTTCTAAATAAGGGAAGCGGAGAGTATGATATATATAGACTAATCATAATAGTATAAAAGTGAATTAATAGTGATAAATAAAAAAAGAAAACAAATATTAAAATACATAGTTGTAAAATTATCAAATTTTTTGTTGGTAAGTCTATTTATTTGTTTTTATATGGTTGTGATATTTTAATATGATCATGTTATTTTTTTTAATATGAGAGAATTTACTTTTTGTTTATAATTAATTATTTTTAAAAAAATTGGAAGAAGTGATACTTTATAACTTATTTTTCTTATAACTTTTCATTTAATTTATGGATTGATAAGTGAGTGAAAATATCATCACACGTAGAACTTATACGCGTATTTGGTTTATGGATTGTTAAGATTGTATAATATAAAATTATTGCCGTTATGATTGCCGCAACTTGTTTTTGTAGTTCAAAGACGCGTTGACGTAAACAACTCCGTTACAGTGCAAATATTCAATTTGGTCCTAGTCAATTCAGTTGGGGAATACCGGAATATGCCTTGTTTGTGTTATTGCTGAGCAAATCACTACATTAATTTAATTTTGAGATTTAATATTGGAATAGATTATTTTTATTTTATTTTTTTATAATTAATTGAGATTCTCATCTAACGATATTATAAAATAATGGATAAAATAGACATAAAAAATATAGACAGAATAACTTATGCCTTACAAAAATTAATTTTTGTATCGAGTGAAGGATAATTTAAGAAAAAAAATGTATGAGAAAAACATATATCATTTTAAAGGATATAACCTTATATCATTTTAGATCCTAACTGTTGATTTCCGTCCATCAACGGTTATAATCTATTGGATCAAACTTAATGGACCAAATTTATTATTAATTAATTAATAATTTTAATCCAATAAATTATAACTGTTGATGAACAAAAATCAACAATTAGGATCTAAAATAATATAAGTTTACATCCTTTAACATTATTCCCAAAAATTTGTAAATATGCTAACGTTAATTCATTACAAACAAAAGATATCAAGCTGCCGTGTGGAATTTAAAAGCATGCAGAGCGTGTGACCGTTGATGACGGATCTAATTGAACGTTGGAGGATGGACCCCGCCAAAAATGAGGCCGGTATAATACAATTAATTAATTATTTATTTTAATATAATATTTGGTATTTGTTATTTCAAAAACGTAGATTTATGTCATTTTAAGCAAGAGAAAGATACAAATTATACAGAAAGAGTAAGTATTTTTTTAAATTTTAATTTTAAATAAAAAATACTAAATTATATTTTTCTTTCGCTTAAAATGACACAACTTTATATTTTTTAGAGTAAAAATATTTTTTCTTATAAAATATGAAAAAAAATGTTTGTTATTTTAAATGACATAAAATTATGTCATTTTCAAGAGAAATAGACACAAAATAAATTTTTTTATTTAAAATTTAAATTAAAAAAATCACTCACTTTTTTTTTTATAATTTTTATTTTTTGTGTCTATTTTTTCCATTCTTTTTTCTAGATGGTCAGAACGTCATCTAGAGTCCAATCCTACTTGTTATTTAAAATTACAAACATCAAATTCATAAAATATATAAACTATGTTTTGAAGATTTGGATTTACTCAACGGCTGTTTACGCGTGTTAGGTGGGGCGCGTTGACACTGTTGTCTTTAGATCGCTTTTAACGGGTACATGGAATAAAATAGAATTGAATGAAATAGTTTTATTTTACACGATCAATTTATAAATAATTAATGTTATACTTAATTTTAAATTTAATAGTTGATTTCCGTACATTAAATGATTATATTTTATTTAGATATATACATTAATTAATTATTAATTTTTCATAAATTATAACGGTCAAATGTAAAAAAGAAAATGACAACGAGTAAAATTGATCCATTTTTTTTTAACAAAAATTAAAATATATTACTTTTTTTATTTTATTTTCAGTTTTATTAGCGAATGGTTCTGCACGCTGGCTTTACCACTTGGTTCTGCAGTAAGTTCTTGAGCTCCATTGAACTAGTATTTTTTTTCTTTTTCTTTTTGGAAATTGAACTAGTCTTTGTACATAGTCTATTCTTGCAGTAGTGAGCTACTGTTGCCCAAGGTAGCTAGCTACAAAATTGTCTTTAGCTCACTAATTGTTTGACTGAAGCAACAAATTCTTATCATATTTTATTTTCCGAGCTAACTTAAGAAATGGTTGAAGACAATTGACCTTTTCTGTTCTTTACCATCACTCAGTTATAAAATATGTAAGAGAAATGTGCCACCACAAAGACCTATTCTATATCTAGCAAAAGCAAAATATATATGCCAATATTTATACCGATGTAATATTAAGAAATTTTATATTTAATTGTAGTTGTGAGGCTTTTTCACCCTTTTGCCCCTTATTAATTAATTAATAACTATTTTGCCCCTGATTCGAAACTATCTACCAATCTGCCCCTCTTTAATCGACTACCTTGCATTTTTAATCGACTAAACGGTTGTTGGGAGATTTAATCGACTAAATCTCTCTACTTAATCGATTAAAATCATACTGACTTATTTTTTTTTTTTGTAAAATATGAAGATTTAGTCGACTAAATAGGGAGATTTAGTCGACTAAATAGGGAGATTTAGTCGACTAAATCTCCCAGCAGCCATTTTTTGTCTGTTTTGGTCATTTAATCGATTAAAAATGCAAGGTAGTCGACTAAAGAGGGGCAGATTGATAAATAGTTTCGAATCAGGGGCAAAATGGTTATTAATTAATTAATAAAGGGTAAAAAGGTGAAAAAGCCGTAGTTGTGATCTACGTGCATTTAACAATTATAATTTATAGAATTATATTCATTAATTAAATATTAATTCTCAATAAATTACGGTGATTGATGGTTTTCCTTGGAGATGAAAAATTCGCCCACCAGGTTTTATCAATTTGCAAATATACCAGTGTGAGCAAAGTAGTCAAAATCGGGATTTTACCTAAAATCAGAAAGGGAATAAAAAATCATAAATCGTAAAATCGTAATACAAATCGTAGATTTTACCTGCACTCTTAAATTAAATTTTTATATACATAGGCTTATGTATAAAAGAATTAAGAAAAATAGACTACCTGCCACCATCCTTATACATTTGCATACAATTGTCACACTCTAAGGGTCTAAGCTAATAAATCATTCAAGTTATTATCATCGAAGACATTCTGTTTCACGTGATCTTCAACTACATCATTCAAAATTGTCTTCGTCTAAACTTTTATCATGAGATAAAGTCCCTTTATTTTCCATAATCCATTCATCTTCGGATGAAACATCAGCAAATGTTATTTCAACAATTTTTCTAACTTGCTTAACATCATTCAAATAGTTAAAATCGGGATTTAAATCTTAAAATCAGGACTTAAGTAAATGTCTAAATCAGAATTTTATATTGGAAACGATTTTAAGTGAAATCTAAATCGTTTTAGCAAAAATAAATCGTTAAAATTGAAATTTTAAAATTTAAATCCCGATTTTAACTACTATGAGTGTGAGAATATACATTTAAAAAGGGTAATATATTATAAATTAACAATTAATCAATAAACGTAACTCAATAGATTGTAGTCATCAAATACATGTAAATCAACGACTAAGATTAAATATAAAACTTCTTATTTGTATACAATGTAAGTTGATTTGGTCCCATATATAATTATTACTATTTAAATCACGATTCAATTACAATCATATTGATAGATTGTGAAGTAATATTTTAACCAATTAATTAATCAATCCAATTTTAAAAACATTGATAATCACCTCAAAATTAAAGTGTAAGTTATGAATTAATAATAATTTACGAGGGAAAAAAAACTAACAGTGATGACAGATGTAAAATTTGCCATCAATGTGTAACTGTTTAGAATTCAATATCTAGTTGGGTCCATCTAGGATACGATCTTGGATCGATATGGATTGGGAAATACATTTCAGATACATTCCTAGGGAGAATAATAGTTGTGTAGATTGGCTAGCAAAGGCAGGGACCAATCCCTGACTAGTTATTTCCTTTTTCTTTCGTTGTTTGGGGCTTTGCCCATCTCAGTTATCAAAATAATAATAATACTAATAATTCATTATGTTGTTTAGCATATATTAAATGATAATGATATTTATATGAGTTTACTCTCATATCATTTCTTCTTCTGAGATTTCTCCTGTGATTTGTTAATTAATCGATTAATTTGGTCAAGTCAAATGAGATCATAAGGGCAACAAAACTCTGTCTATTAAGTTTTTAACATAATTGTGTACTCAAGACTCAAACTCAAGATCATAAGTTGAAATAGAACAATCTCGTCCGAGTTGATGATCACATGATTGGTGATTCATACATTCTTCATATATTCTCAAACAAGCTACCGAATAATAACTTAACTTCAATGTAAACCCCTTATAATCTAGGTTATATAATTCACTTATAAGAGAGAGACCGAAGTGATAAGCAAACATTAAGGAAGATGTTGAAATTGAAGGACTTTTATTATGGTAGCCAGGAGGTTGATTCTGGTGTAAAATTAAAAAAATTTACTTCCTAACTTAACTATTAAGTTATATCTCTTAGTTAATTGTTAATTTTAAATAAATGACAATTGCCAAATAAATAAAAACTAACGGCTGAGATGAGGAGTAAGACTTTTTTAATCTTGTATTAGAATCAAAAGATCTTCTATCTTCTTATAATTATAATTATAATTATTTAATAACTTTCTTATCATACAATATTTAAATATTTTTACTAAATAAAATAAGAGTTTTAATAAACTGATAAAATTTTAAGTATTTTAATAAAAGATGATTTGGTTAAATATAGTTATATTTTCTTATAATTAAAATTATTTAATAACTTGCTTATGATACAATATTCAAAAACAGAAGTTGTATTGTTGTAAACTTTTCCCAAAACGGAGGTAGTGTTAAAAATTCAAACATTTGAATAGCAAAATCCATTATCCACATCCTGACCTTGGGAACTGCGCTTTCTGCTGATGGAAAAGCCCAATCCAATTGTTGTTTGTTCGTGGAATGGAAGGATTGAAGGAAGTCATTCACACGTGGCACACGGTGGGCACAGGAAACTGGTGCTTGTAATAAACCTGTCCGTATATGAACACAACCCAGCTCCCTCCGTTATTCGAGAACTAACGAATTTTCCGTGCATCTTTTCTTTTTATCAAATTTCTTTCTTACTTAATATTAAAATAATTTTTTTATAATAATTTAATAAAAATAAAATACGCCTCACATCACATGAGTCATGAGTAGAAGAAAATTCACGCTCACTGAATTTTTTTTCCGTTATTCACGAAAGTACCACTCTTCTCAGTTTTGAACTTTGGAGTCAGGAACCTTCGTTGCTGGGTCTGCTACCCTACTCTGCTCTGTTCATCTTTCTCGCTAAAACCTCACAATCCCTAGTTTTCGTATTCTCAGCAAGATTTTCGATCAGGTATTGTTTCTCTCTTCTTCTTTCGATTTCTTATCGGTTATAGATTCGAACTAATTTCCTCTCTCGTAATGTATGTTTGCATTGTTGTTTCCGTCACATTGTTGTCTCACACGATATTTTTTTTAGTTTCACGATATATAGATTATAGAGCATTTAAAGAAGTTGTAGATGGAGTGCATCTTTTGCACCTGTTAATGGATTAGAATAATCATTGTCTTGGTGAGGAAGATAGTACGAGTTTCTGTCTTCCATTAATGGTTTATGTAATTGTTTGGAAGCTGAGAACTATGCCTTGGGATCTACTTTAGTAAATTCATAATATGGATTGAACAAAACGTATTGCTCTTGTTACCAAGCATATATGTATGTATACAAGGGCAAGTGTAGATGATGTGTTTGCATTTTTGTTTTTTCGTTGTACAATCCTTTGGGGAAACATGTCTCATGTAATCCTGAACAGCACATGCAGGTGGATTTGGCTATACAACATATCAAGGATCTTTAAAGAAGTACAAGTTCCCTAGGACTAGGAGAAGATTTGATATTGATTCAGGTAAAATGAGAGACAGCACAGTTCAACATTTTCACCAAAATGGCAGAGCTGTAGAAGCATGTGCACCTTCAGCAGAGAGAGATTTTTCTTCTTCAATAAAAACAGCTACTGAAGTTCTTCCTCCTTCGTTTGAGTTCTATGTCTGGTCAGACGAGGGAATTAATCTTCACGTTGATTTAAATTTGTCCCCATCAGATTGGACTAACAGATTTAGTAATGAGCTTCGCATAAGTGAGAATGTGCACAGAAACAAATCCCAGAGTCTTTGGCGGGATCTCGGTTGCTTAAGAGAGAATTCTACGCAAGGGAAATCTTCCTTTTTGTGGAAATCAAATTTGGGTCAAATTGATGATCTTAATGGACAGGCCAAATCTTCCTCAAGCTTGAAATTGACAAAAGATGGTTTTACAGAGTTAGATCAACAGAATAAAGGTGACAATCCTTTAATATCTGATTCATTAACTCCACGCAACATGACTGTAAAAGTGGCAGATATTTTAAAGGAAAATCATTCAGCTGTCTCTGCTGAACTGACTGTAAATGTGGTAGACAAATTAGGGCAAGATCAATCAGCTATCTCAGCTGAAGTAAGTTATGGTGCACCAAACAATTTTATTTCTGGCGTTGAATCTTGTGCTAAAGCTGCGTTTGATAAAATCCTTGTTTCAGATGCTACCGATACTCCAATCATCAAGTCACTTTGTGGTTCTGTTGGCAACTCTCTGTCAGATCCTGGCATACTGGAGCCTCAAAATTCAAAGCCTGATAATGAATGTTCTGAGGGTTGTGCTCTGCAAAATGGTTCTTGCTTTGTGAACTCTGATGTGGTGTGTGCTGGAGCTTCATTTAGTAGTTCTGTGGAACTGCAAAATTCAGAAGTTGCAAGTTGTCATAAATGTGCATCAGTTTCACTCGGTGAGAATGATGGATCCCTGGATTTATGTGATCCAAAGAACGCTTTTGACACGGAAAAGGGGGGACTAGTCAACTCAAGTGAGATTAATTTCGATACTGATGTGAACAATTTCCCATCACTAACTGAAGAATGGGTATAGTGCTTTCTCTAGCCTTCTGAGATGTATGTACACTTTTTCATGTAGAAGGTTTTTTTCATTTTTCTTTCTTTTTCTTTAGGCATAAAAAAGTACATTAGATTTGATGTGGCTGAATTATTCCAATTCCAACTTATGATTTGGTGCTTGGTATAATATTGTATTTTACAGATGTAATTTTGGAGACCTTTTTGAATCATGAAATTGAAGTTATTGAGCCTAAAACTGAAAGTTATATGTCTGCCAGATGTGGTGCTAATGTATTAAGCTTTTGATAATGCTACTTTGCATGTAAACACCCCTTTCCAAAATACATATGCAATCAACTGTTGAAGAATTTGAAATCTACTAGTACAGAAAAAGAAATGTGAATGATTCTCATCATCACATGATCGATGTTATTACTAAATGCCATTGCCCAAATAATAATTCTTCTTGAAGTTTTCAGATTTTGAAATTTGTCATTAGATTAGGATTCTTATTAACTGAATTGATGTATTTTTCATTGTGGTTGGATCATTATTTGTTTGCTGTTGTGTTCTCTCAGTATTTGTTGGTTTTTAAGTAGGTAATAAAGTTCTTCATACTTTTCTGTGTTGTCCTTCCCCTTTGGAATAGTCCATTCTTTTAGCCCCCTGTAACACTTTTGGAAACAATTTTTAACTGTTTGTGATGTGATGGTGAAGATGAAGGGATAGGGTTTACATAGGAAATGTATATTGATTGCTTAAATATTGGCAACATAAAAAGATTTGATGATCCTTGACAAGCTTCTTGACTTGTTGCTCTCATGTGTCTACAATGTGTCTTCTTTTTTTTCCATGTAATCACTCATGTAAAGTATGTAAAAACATCCCGTTATTTGCAGGAGGTGGGCAAGATTGTTGATGGAAGGGAGAGCTCAGGGTAATTACTCATCTTAGCAATTGATTTGATGGGTTTCTGGGTTTTTTAAGCTTTATGCAATTGATTTGAGCAAATTTATACTGTGCTTTCAGATGCTCCCAGTTTGATGACCCACTTAAGAAATCTGGCCTAGATTCTGATGATCAAGATCCTAAAATGAAGCTTCCCAAAAAGAGGAAAAACGGAGACTCTGGCGTTCGTGGTTCAAGTACTACAAGAATTTTAAGAAGCATGAAGAATACTGCTGTGATGGTCCTGCCTAGAAGATCCATGAGGCTAATCTCTAAGGTGATTTGACGTTTTGTTATGGCATTAAAGTGAAATTATATACAATGAATACAAATCCCTAAAAGGAGACAAACTTATTCAATTTATTTTCAGTGTTCAATATCTTAAATAATGTAATGAAAATAGATAAACTCTACAAATAAATAATGCTGCTGGGTCAGTGATCTCGCGATGCTCCTAGAGGAGGAGTTGCAGGAGGTCACGAGTTGATGGCCGTTGCTTCACGGTGTACGCCAAGCGGAGGCGAAAGCTGATGGTGAGACTGGCCATCAGAGGATGGGGAAGTCTCCTGGCCATCCAGAACAAGTGCGAGGAGAGGCGGGCTTGGGTTAATCTTTCTAGTGTCAACCTTGTTTTGTGGAAGTTTAGTTTTCCACGGACTGCCAATGTTGGAATGTTCAGCCTGATTAGAGGATATGATGGTTTAATGTGTTAACCGAGCTAGAGCAACTGGGATAAGAACCAGGAGTCATCAGCGATTGGTCTAAGGTGCTAGATGGTGCTTTTTGTTATGAATAAGGAGAGTAAGGGTGGTAGTGTATCATCTGCAGAGTGCTCAAGTGCTTCTGGGAAGAGAGTACGAGAGAGTGCAATAGCAAATTGGCCAAAGGTCCTTCCTAATGGGTAAGGACGTAGTATATACTATATGTAGATGAGTGTGTAATATTCCAGAATTATGAGGTGGCACTAACAGTTTCGCAGGTAAGTGAGTTTGTGAGCCAAATATGGAGGAATCAAGTTGCAATGATGGGTAGTTATTATTTTGGAGAGAGGAGGTGCATGATGTGGATGTTTTGTTTTCTAGTGGGAGTAAGGAATGAGCCATGTAAGGGGCCCAATTCATCAGTCCATAACAATGGGAACCTGCAAAAGCTATTTTGTTCACATTTTCGTTTGTATATCTACAAAATGGTGGGCCTGGCAGCTGGCTTACGCCCTTCTTGCTTTACTTAGATTAATTTTATGTAAAAAAAAAAACAGAAGAAAAAACTGAGTTCTCTTCTATATGTTTGATTCATCCACGTTTTTATACTGTTTGTTTTTCTTGTCCAGTGAGTTCATGAAGTGCTTTGTGCGCCATTTGGAGGCTTTAGTTCCAGATTTTCAAAGAAATTATAATGCACTGTTCAAAGTGGAAGAATGACATTTAGTAGGTATGAACTATCCCTTCATCCTAGTTTCAAGAAACATATAAGGAATTGAGATAGGTCATGAAATTGAACTTAATACGTTTATACGACAGATTGGAGAAATCAAATAACTCTATTTCATGACTTGCAATTTGATGGGCTTAAGATAATTAGTTAGTTTGTAAGGAAAGTTTCTAGAATATTCTTAGAGGAGGGAATAAAAGGAGAGTGAGTGTGTGTAGTGAGGAGGCATGAATTCAGTATTGGTTTAGTGGGGAATTTGGGGGATCTCTTGGGAACTCTAGGTGCCTAGGTTTGTTGGCTTTGAGGGGGAGTTGAGGTCATTTGGTGTATTTTTCTTGCATTAGTGTTTGTAAGGAGCTTGTCTCCATTACTATTTCCTTCAATTTATAGTAAATCAAATTGGGTTCCATCACAATTCTTTTGTTTTTGTTTTGTTTTGTTTGTCTCTGTTTTTTTTTTTTTTGGGCAAATGAACAACTTAAAACATGTTTAGTTTCAGGTGAATCACTTTGAAGATTGTCTTGTGATCAAGCTTTTGAAGCATATCGATCAGAAATTAGAAATAAATATACATAAAATCCCTAGCCCAATAATTTCTTATTTTGTTGCTGCTCTTAAATTTGTTGTGCAAGCTGAAGATGTTCGCTTTGTTTTTTGTTTGCATTTTGTTTCCTGTTTTTAAGATTTTGTGAAAAAAATTGTGAGAACAAGACACAAGAAACAGAATGAAAAACAAGATGGATGACCTGTTTTTTTGGTAATAGATAGTGAAAACATATCAATTGAAGATGAAAACAGAAAACAAACCAAACCAAAGCCTTTCTTAGTTTCCTGCATCAGACTACATGCTGAGGCCATCTAGCCCTAAACAGTCTAGTTACATCAATTAAAACTTGAGATGAGGCTGTTAATCATGTTAATTGGTTGCAGGTTGCTTCATTCTTTTGGAAGTGTTATACCAACAGAATAATGAAAAGCGAGAGTCTTTCAGGTAGATTTCAGTTCGACCGTTAAAGAGTGAACCAAATAGTTTTTTTTTTAAACAAATCTATTTTTGGTATTTCGAAATGATAAAATTAGTTTGTTTTGATTAGTATCCTTTCTTTGAGACACTATTTCTGATTGTATATTAATAGGGATTATCATTGAATTTGCTTAGCTTGGTCTCGACCCATTTGGGGCATAATTGAATTTGAATATTGAAAACACAAGCAAGAAAGTCTTTATCTTGAATTCAGATACAGTAATTGTAGCTTGTACATTTATCTTTCGCCTTTGTTTTAAGCTCGCTCTTGTTTAGCTATCAAAATTTCCTGAACGGTTTATGTAGTTAGCTAATAGCTAGTTATGTTGCTGAGCACAGGACTCATCGAGCATGTTATTCTAGTTTGATTTAGGTGTCAAATCAGGTATTTTGGTGTCTGATTTGACGTCGTTAATATTTTTTAATATATATTTTCTAAAGAACATTTTATGTTGAAAAGTCAACAAATCCAATAAATATAACGAACTGCGAAATGAAGTCTTGATTGGTAAAGAGCGAAGACCTACTAAGAAAGCAACGTGGGTCACACGCTGGCTATGGCGGAATCTTTCATGATGCCTCTGGTGCGTGGGTCAGTGGTTTTGTGCGCAATCTTGGACCAATCTTGGATTGTGGTACTGGTACCCCTCTTGATTCAAGACATACTTAGTTTGAGGCGTTGCCCCTCCTTGATAGCAACTAAAAAAAAAATCACGCTGAGAAACATGAAGAAAGAATATAATTAGACAACAACAAACAAAGAACATGTGAAATTGTTGAACATCACGTGGAAGTCACGAGATTTAGTACGTACGTGTAACACTCAGGTGAGGACTGGGGAGGATAGCCAGGGATACCACTATAGAGCGTTAATGTCATCTAATTCACGAAATGTATTTTCTTATGTTTTATGTAATATGATTATGGAAAATATTACTCTCCTTTCACATAAGATAACTTCTCTTATGTTCTCTCACTTTGATTTTCGCAATTCATTTTTTTCTTTTTTTTTTTTCTTTTTTTCTTGTAATGGTGGAACTTATCCATTTTATCTTTACAATATAAAGATAACTATCTTATATAAAAAGAGATTAACAAGGCCCTATGATTATGTCACGTGAGAGGAGGATCTTAACCATATAAAAGGTAAATTAAAAAGTGGTGATTTTATAATTATATATTATAATATTTTTTCTCTATCTTCTCTTATTATCATTGATCTATTTTTATATAGTTATGATTTATTCATGTGACATTATCATGTTAACTAACACAAAAGATGATCTACTCTCCATAATCCATTATCTAGTTTCTATTTGAAATTTATGAATTTATTTATTATCGAGTTGAAAGGATTTCAATAGCAAGAGTTACATGCGTTGCCTGGACCATGAATAAGCGATTATTAATTTTAATATTAATTTCCGCAAGTATCCTATTACCCAAATTCAATTCATCAAGCTTGAAGATTAGTTAGCTCAAGTCGCAAGATTGACTGCTTATAAAGGTCCCCGAAAAAAAAGCTTGTGTGTTTCAATTAGTGTATCTCCATCTAAAAAGAGTGATTTTCTACAATTAGTGTTTCAATCTGAGGGAGGAAGCTGGAGTCTGTAAACTAATCGGGTAAGAGGGTTTATTTCACTCTTTATTGGGGGAGACACAATGGAAACCATATTGTGAAGTTAATACTATATATATATATATATATGCAAGACGGATTGACAATATGTTTGGCAGGTAAAACATGTAATTAGTTTTAATTGCTGGTCCCTTTTTCTTTTCTTTTTTTAGTAAAGTGTGTTAATAACACTTCCAAAGTTTTGGACTCGCACCGGTCATTAACTAGTCATTATCATCCAAGACCTGCCTCTACTTCAAAGTTCAAACAAGAAGAGAGTATTTGCACAATTTACAACTTTTCAAACTTCGAATCTTGCACATCAATTTTTTCAGTCCACTTGTACCGCCTCGGAGTGAAACCAATCATTTGTAAAAATAATAGTATAAAAGGTATTAAAAAAGGCACACAAAAAAAGAGTAGAAGAACAACTTTTTCATTTTTTTTTGAACAAATAAATATTAAAAAATTATAAAAAAGGAAAAATTGTGTATCATTTTAAAGGATATAAAGTTGTGTCATTTTTTATATCAAAAAAAAAATGTTGTGTCATTTTAAGTGAGAGAAAGAGATAGATAAAGGTGTGGTCCCACTTCTTTGTGAAAGTGAAATGACATAAGTTATGTCATTGAAAATGACAAACACTTTTTCCATAAAAAAATAACCTACTACAATTCATAAAATGCATACGAAAGATTAGATTATATTATATAAAATATTTAATATATCAATAGTTATTGGTTAAGTGGTAAGGAACTTATTCTCCTTAATCAAAGGTCTCGACTGGAAATAAAGAAAATGATCTTGGAAGAACTGTTTTTTATTATGGGTCGGACAATTCTGAAACCGGACTAGTCGGATAATCGAGTAATCGGTGAATATACTCAAAAAAAAATAAAAAATTAATATATGCAAGAGATTCATACTTATTTTGTACATTATTGCTTTTACCTCTAAACATACACATATATAACAGTTATGAATGGCAATGGTGCATGATCAAAAAAGAAACGTCATTAAGCATAAATTCACCAACTCAAAAAAGAAAAAGAACCTAAGGAAAATTAAAAATGAAATACACAGTGACTGGGTAAGTGGCCGTAAAGTTGGAGGTGGGAGAAAAGAAATAAAGGCAACGGAGATAGGGAAGAATTTAAATATTTGAAGTGAGAGGGTTGCGTTGTATCAAGCGATTATTAGCACACAATACTTCGATACGTTAATTCTAAAAAATATTATATTCTGACACGTTTTGATATTACATAATATTTTTAATATATATATATATATATATATATATATAATATAATTTATATTTAATACATATAACAGCCATAATAAGTCATATAACCAATCAAATATTCAAATTTTATTACATAAATATAAACAAAAATAATTTTTCGTACCTTATTAATTTTTCATGTTTAGTTAATAAAATAAAATTTAGTTCTAAAAAAAAAAAACATGTCAGAAACAGTTGATTGTGTGTCGAAAAAATGTGTCAAATATGTTGGAGCGTTGATCGCATGTCTCAAAATATTGAGCACGGATGCGTGTCGGAAAGTATCGGTGTCCAACACATGTAACACACACATTTTTTTTAAAAATCAACGTGTCCATGCATATGAGATTAGCCATGCCTAATATACATCCTTTCAGCAAAGTAAAATTGGGAAGAAACTGTGTTACCAAAAAAAAAAAAAAAATTGGAAACTGGTGGATAAATAAATGTGCACTGCACTATGCACTAGTCATGCCATGAAAAGATCGAATTGCATTAACTTTATCATTTAATGCATTCACCAAAACTACGCCCATACGTACAGAAGTAGCAATTTTGTGTCATTTAATGCACCGTGATCTCTCTCTCTCAGGTTATTGCCTGCAACAGCTATACCCTGTAACCAACCATTACCTTCCACAATCCGTCCCTTTGAGAAGAAGTTCACTTCATCTTTCCTCCTCCAACATACCATACCATTACCATTACAATGCATTCTTTCTAACACTTTCTGTCAACTTTTACAAAAATGTGGGTTGCCAAGTTAATTCCTATAACATAGACCATAGTTTAGTTAGCTCCAGTTGTTAAATCTAGTGACTTGAAGACATTGGAGCTAGCTTTTTCTTCTTCTTGCATTGCTAGTTATCCATAGAGTTTGCAACACATCATGAGGTAATGGTGTCATCATGCATGGTGTTTGTAAGACTTGTTCTTCCCTCTAAATAGCATTACCAATGAGTGTATAAAAGTGGAAGCTAAAGTATATGTACAAAATATTATTGATGAAGATTCTACTTTTTTAATCCTTTATGATATTTGGGTTGCTTTGGATCATGGGGTTCTCAGTAACACATTTCTTAATTTATGGTTTGAATATGCACCTATGGTCAAGTGGGCTTCTATTTGAACTAGTGGTTTTATCATACTTGTGGTTGCGAGTTTCGAGCCTTGGTTCCATGTCATCCATTGCTGTCTCTTATGGCGAAAAAGGTTCTGTTTTTTGTGGTTTGAAATCAGATGGGTCTCATACTGTGACCTGTTATGGATCCAACTCAGCCATAATCTATGGAACACCGACCCATTTCTCATTCCTCGGTCTAACTGCTGGAGATGGTTTTGTCTGTGGCCTTCTAATGAGTTCTAATCAACCTTATTGCTGGGGTAGCAGTAGCTACATTGAAATGGGTGTGCCTCAACCTATGATTAAAGGAGCTCAGTACCTAGAAATTAGTGCTGGGGATTACCATGTTTGTGGGTTGAGGAAACCTTTGACTGGAAGAAGACACAGGAACATTTCTTCTTTTGTTGATTGTTGGGGCTATAACATGACCAAGAACTATGTGTTTGGTGGACAGGTTCAATCAATCTCAGCTGGTTCTGAATTCAATTGTGGGTTGTTTTCTCAGAATAGGACTGTGTTCTGCTGGGGAGATGAGACTAGTAGCAAGGTGATTAGTTTGATTCCTCTGCACATGAGATTCCAAAAGATTTCTTCTGGTGGGTATCATGTGTGTGGAATCTTAGAGGGGGTAAATTCTAAAACTGTTTGTTGGGGGAGAAGTTTGGATATTGAGGAAGAAATTTCAGTGAGACATGCAGGTCAAGGAAATGTTGATTTGGCTCCAAATGATCCCATGCTTTCTGTAGTGGGAGGAAAGTTCCATGCTTGTGGCATTAAGAGCTATGATCATGTAGTGATTTGTTGGGGTTTTATTGTCAAACCAAGCACACCAGTTCCTAGTGGGGTTAAGGTCTTTGAAATTGCAGGTGGTGATTATTTTACTTGTGGTGTACTTGCTGAGAAATCTCTTATGCCTGTTTGTTGGGGTGTTGGTTTTCCTACCTCTCTACCTTTAGCTGTTTCACCAGGAATGTGCAAGCCTGCTCCATGTCCTCCTGGTTTCTATGAAATTGATCAGCAGCATAAGGGTCTTTGCAACTCACCAGATTCTCGTGTTTGCATGCGCTGCAGTGGTGCTTGTCCTGCTGAAATGTATCAGAGAAATGGATGCAAATTGTCTTCTGATAGACTATGTGAATATAACTGTTCTGCTTGTTCTTCACCTAAATGCTTCTTAAACTGCTCCTCTTCATATTCCACTGTTGCCACTGGAAAGAAAAATGAAAAACTTTGGGCTTTGCAGTTACCAGTTGTTATTGCAGAGATTGCTTTTGCAGTTTTCATAGTTAGTATTGTATCATTAGCTGCAGTGTTATATGTTCGATACAGGCTACGATATTGTGAGTGCTCAATGAGGTCAAAGGTGAAGAAAGTTAATGGTAGTTCTTCCCTCCAAAAGGATAACAGCAAGATCCGGCCAGACTTGGAGGAGTTCAAGATAAGGAGGGCTCAAATGTTCACCTATGAGGAACTTGAAAGTGCAACTGGTGGATTCAAAGAAGAATCCATAGTAGGGAAGGGAAGTTTTTCTTGTGTATTCAAGGGAGTTCTGAAAGATGGGACAGTTGTTGCTGTTAAAAGGGCTATAGTATCTCCCAACATGCAGAAGAATTCCAAAGAGTTTCACACAGAACTTGACTTACTCTCCAGATTAAACCATGCCCATTTGCTCAACCTTCTAGGATATTGTGAAGAAGGCAGAGAAAGACTTCTAGTCTATGAGTTCATGGCTCATGGATCTTTGCACCAACATTTGCATGGGACAAACCAAGTGTTGAAAGAGCAGCTAGATTGGATAAGAAGGGTAACAATTGCAGTCCAAGCAGCTCGTGGAATTGAATATTTGCATGGATACGCTTGTCCACCTGTGATTCACAGAGACATTAAGTCCTCAAACATCCTCATTGATGAAGAACACAATGCTCGTGTTGCTGATTTTGGTTTATCATTGTTGGGTCCTGCAGATAGTAGTTCCCCACTAGCTGAACTACCAGCTGGAACTCTTGGCTATCTTGATCCTGAATACTATAGGCTTCACTACCTCACCACAAAATCTGATGTCTATAGCTTTGGGGTTCTAATTTTGGAAATTCTAAGTGGTAGAAAAGCCATTGACATGCAATATGAACAAGGGAATATAGTTGAATGGGCAGTGCCACTGATCAAGTCAGGAGATATAACTGCAATTTTGGACCAGGTTTTGAAACCTCCTAATGATCTTGAAGCCTTGAAAAGGATAGCTAATGTGGCTTGTAAATGTGTGAGAATGAGAGGAAAAGAGAGACCCTCAATGGACAAAGTAACAACAGCTTTGGAGAGAGCTCTTGCACAGTTAATGGGTAGTCCATGCATTGAGCAACCAATTTTGCCCACTGAGGTTGTTTTGGGAAGTAATAGATTACACAAGAAATCATCTCATAGATCTTCAAACAGGTCAGTTTCTGAGACTGATGTGGCAGAAAATGATGACCAAAGGTTTGAGTTCAGAGCACCCTCATGGATAACATTCCCCAGTGTTACATCTTCTCAAAGAAGAAAGTCATCATCACTATCAGAGGCTGATGTTGATGGGAAAATTACAGAAGTGAAGAACTTGGGCAATGTTGGAGGTGGTGGTGAAGTTTTCAGAAGTCTTGAGGATGAGATTGGACCTGCTTCTCCTGAAGAGAGGTTGTTCTTGCAACACAACTTCTAACCAATGTTTCAGTTCTCATTTTGATTGTTACTTATGGTTTAGATAATTGGGAATGAAATATGGTAAAAAGTTGAGGTAATTTTCCTCTACAGATGCTACCACCACTAATGTACTGCTGTTTCATGTAACTTTTTCCTTTTTTTGAGTTTTATCATGGATGTGTAAGTCTGGTTTATTATTATTTTATGTAACTTTTTTCAGAATCTTAACTATGATATCATTTATCCGATTGAAATGAAAAGTTGACCATGTAAGTTAAATTCTATGACAACATTGCCCCCCCCCCCCCCCCCTTCCCTTTTTTCATTGGAAAGATTTGGATTGTGACGTAAGGTTAAATGATAAATTGGACTTGTGGTTATTAGGAGTAATTTATGATTTCGAGAGCAAGTTATATTTACAAACTTTTTTATTTACAAACTCTTACAAATTACACTATATTCTTTCGGGAGAACACTAATTACACTATATTTTCCGAAAGAACATAATGTAATTTATAAAAATTTCAAAAAAATTTTGTAAACGTATCTCTCTCCTTACCAAAAAGCCCAAAATAAGATAAGTGGGATTTTATGGAATGTCAGCGTGAGAGTAGGGAATAAAGTGGCAGAAGCAATATTATAAAAAATATCATGCCCTCACGCAGGATCGAACTACGGACCTTCAGTTTACAAGACTGACGCTCTACCACTGAGCTATAAGGGCAGCTTATTCGTTGGACCAATTATAAAATTAAATACTATAATTAAATAATTTTCGGATAAATGAATTACTTTGTTCTAATCTTAATAAATGATATAGCGAGTCTTCAATACTTCTATGGTATTGAAAATATTTTCCTCTGCATTAAATTTACATTTGTGTCGTTTTCACATGTAGCACATCAGAAAAAGAGGATGGTTTCTTCACTTCTTAATGATTTAATATGAATCTTTTTTTATATAACTTGGAAGTATCATCATTCAATCTTCTCCGATCACCGTGCCGGATACGTCCCTGTAGGCTAATCCCTCATTAAAACAGCAGGTGCATTGAGCATCGCTACCGAAAGAAATATAAGACTAAATCCTCATTCGAAGAGAAAGGCACATCCTCTGGCCCTAAAAGATTTTTCAAAAATTTGCTTGAGGCAGAATTTGAACCCCTGACTCAAGCAAACCCTTAAGAAATCAGTTGCCAACTGAGCTCAATTTAATACGAATCTTTACTCTCGTGTTGTTGCTTTTTTTTGTGCTTGGGCTTTGTCCTGCTCATTCACTAAAACAAACGTACAAGAGTTTATAGTCCAGCTGAAATAAGATTGAAACTTATATTTTAACTTTTATTCCAGCTTCTATAACCTTATCTTTGGATTGATAGAAAGAAAATAAAGAGCAAAGAAAATTTTCTTGTGTTTGGTTGAAGAGAAAAGTAGAGGAAAAACATACTCAAAATAAATAAATAAAAATTCTCTTCAAGTTCTCTCTCCATTTTAAATTCTATATTTTCTCTCTCATTTTCTTTCCTCGCATCCAATCGAAAGTTAAAAGGTCAATACTCAAATGCAACGTAAAAAGATAAACAAAATAAGAATATAATTTTAACAACTCATCAATAGCTACTTTTATCCGGCTAAATGAATTAAAACTATTTATATACTATTTACTAATGGAAATCACCCAGAAACTCAGAAAACGAGAGAAAATCAAAGAGAAAGAGAAAAAAGCAAGAGTCCGGAAAGTTTTCTGTATTTGCATGTAAGAGAGAGAAAGAAACATTCACAGTATTCTGATACAAGCTCTATTTAAGAGCCTTAGTGATGACTCAGCTTATGAGTCATACTCAACTAATCAGTAACTAAACGAAACTGAATTGATTACATTATGTTACCTTTACACATCAGCATATTAGAACTAGTACACCTTACTAACAGTGAGGGCAGAAAGTAAAGAACACAAAGAAAAGTTACAGTAATATTTACATCACCTCTTTGCACCAAAAAAAAAAAAAAACTACAAAAAATAGAGAGAGAGAGGACAATCAAATAAAGCTGCAAAACTGATCTATATGAATTTTCTTCTACATTCAGGTGGAAGGCATCCTGTTGATAATCTGGTTTACTCAGAATCTATTGTTCAGCTGCTGAATGAAACATAATCAGGTGATATTCAGTATGATCCAAGAACAACTCCATCGTCTACTAATGTATAAGGCAAAACAGTTGAGCTTCTAATCAAATCCAAATGGCGGGGTTTCTAAACTGTGTTGCCATAGCATCCCATAGAAACTTGACTAGGTTTTGTCTTTCGACGTTTTTCTCCTTCTTAAGTTCAAGGTGTCGAACCTGGAGGCAATTTAAATCAGTTATGCAACATTGTCTTAGGATCATATTACATGCTTCATAACCAATATAAGATTAGGACAAGAAAAGGGGACCCCAGTGAACACACACAAATACCCAATCTTCAAAGGAAAATTATTGAATAGTTTATTGATGTAGAACAATAACCCAGAGTTCAATAGTACTCATCTTGGGCAGGGTACTGCCCTGTCTAATAAACCTAAAGCACTTCTCTAGGGCACAGTACTCCTCCGACTTGGTTTCATATGCAATTTAAAGGAAATGAAATATCAATAATTAATAATACAAAAAGTCTAAATACCATATGGCACCTAAAAGGTATTTACAACCCAAAGATAACAAAAATATTAAATAAATAAAATCCTAGATAAGTCTTAACTAGATAAATAATCTTAATAACGAAGCAGAACCTTGTCACAACGATTGGTGTTGTTGCAATGTGATCCCGAGATCACACTTGCGACTTCCGTAATCAGCCTTTTGCAAATGCAAGGTAAACTTGTCTACTATAAACCTTTCCGGGGACCATACATATAGCAGGAGGCTTTATAGCACCCAAGCCTTGCCCCCGCCCCCCCCCCCCCCCCTCCCCTCCCCTCCTTCTCTCTTTCCTTCCTTTTTTCTGTTTTTTTTCTTCTCTTTAATCTTAATAACATAAATTTCCTCAACCAAGATTTGATACCAATTAAACGTTCTCTCTTTCCTTCCTTTTTTCTTTTTTTTTTCTTCTCTTTAATCTTAATAAAATAAATTTCCTCAACCAAGATTTGATACCAATTAAACGTATAACAATAACCAAGAGTACTCCTTCTCGGCAGAATACTCCCCTGAATAATAAAGGGAAAGTACTCTTATAGGGCAGTTTTCCTCTGACTTGGTTTCGAATACTTATAAAATAAAAGAAATGTAAAGAACCAATTCAACCCAAAATTTTAAGGCTTTGAGCGAAGTTATATTAATAATTTTATATCTCTCCAAAACATTCTCTCACGCAAGAGTCCTTTGGACTTGAAGCTTGGGTATTACACAGGCCCATTTTTTGGTCTACCTTGTGCTTACTTAATTCCACCACAAAGTGAAAAGCAGTGAGGATCGAACTTGTGACCACTTGGTCACTTCAGATCTAATACCATGTAAAGAACCAATTCAATCCAAAATTTGAAGTCTTTGGGTGAGGCTACATTAATGATCTTATATCTCTCTAATATGAAATATAAATAATCAATCATGACAAAATGTTTGAATATCAACAAGGGTTAAAATTACAATGAATACCCCTGGAATTTTTGCATATGGAGCAGGTATTTCACATTAGATAATAGAACAAATAGTATTAATCCTGATTCCCACGAAAAAGCCTTAATCATTGTCGCTCACAATCAGAATCTTCCATAGCTATCTGATCCTACATCCCTCTCATACACCCATCCACTAGCCTTCTAACATCCATATTTTTATCATCGTTACTTCCCCAAGTCATTCTTCGTTGTCATCTTCAATTCTTCTAACCGGTTCTTTCAACTCCTCCCTAGTTCAATTTGCATAACTAATGCACTCACAGTCTCTCAGGTTTTATATGGAGTAGGAAATCATGCAACAATATTCTTTTGATGCGACATTCCATAAGATTGTGGTATATGATGTTGTTGAGATATATAAAACCATTAATGTAGCCTTACTCAATAGCTTAAACTTTTGGGTTGAATTGATTTTTTACATGGCATCAGAGCCTCGGTGTACCGGGTTCGATCCTCACCGCCCCCCACTTTCTTTCTAGTGAAATTTCTTTCTTCGCACAGGTAGGTGGGCCTGTGCATCGCCCACCCTTCAAGCCCAGTAGGCTCTCATGTGAGAGGGCGTGTTGAGATATATAAAACTATTAATGTAGCCTTACCCAATAACTTAAGCTTTTGGGTTGAATTGGTTCTTTACAGATGTAAATTTCAATAGAAATCACTAGGAATTTCAGAAAATGAATTGCAGAACATTACACATTACCTTAACAGAATCTGTCAGGGAGAAACCTGTATCTGTGATGGTGACAAGACATTTGATATCATGTTCGTTAGCATACTCATACTGCTCTGTAAAACTTGGATCAGGGGTGGGAACAAATTCAGCCTGATGACATGAAAGATGAGTGAGTAGAAGCTTAAGTAATAATACACAACTATGCAGATTGAAATTGTTTAGATGTCTCAACCTTAAAGTTCTCCTCCCATAGTTCAGCAACTAGTTCCATGCGCTCCTCCAACAGACCACCTCCTCCTCTTGAACAGACAAGAATACTGGTGCTGGCTTCATTTCTGAAACAGTTGAGAAAGTCAAGTGTGTTTTCGTGTAGACCACCAACAACCAAGCCTTATCCTATTAAGTGTGTGTGCTACTTGCATAAATTAAAAATATAACTAAAATGACAATAACCTGAGTGCCAAGGAGTCTATAAAATGTTAAAATAACAAGTCCAAGGAAAGTATGGGTCGAAGGAACTAACCTAATGGGCTTAAAATCCACAGGACAATTCTGAATTATTGTCTCTATTGCAAGGCTACTCCCCACCCCAGTGGGGGAATTTCCTTTCTGGATAGAAGAGAAGGCAAGCAATCAGAAACAATATAAAGTTTACAGACAAAAGAAGCTTTAAGTCGTCTAGGACTGCAAGATGCAGGAAGCAAACACCATCAAAACTGAAGCACAAGCAAGTAAAACGTGATATCATCAGCTATAGATAACTGATACCAGTATGTTCCGGGAAAAGGTTAGCATGAATCAATATTGATAGCATGAGGGGCTCCCTGCACATATCAGTACTTAATCCAATTCAGGCCAATGAGTTTAAGTGTGGCAGGTTGATACAACAATTTGTGATCCAAGTAAATGGCAATCAAATTATTTAATGGTTAATACATAGGAATACATGATTGTTGCTCAATCTAGAAGCATGTTAAACTGTTGTAAATAACTATTGGTTCATTACATAAACCATCAGAGAAATACAGAGAGAAAAAATAGTATAAAAGATATAAGCCATGCTAATGGCAATCAGAAGAAATAAAATGCGTATGCATAACCTACATAGTCTTGACTCCACAACTGATGAAGCAAAAAGTCATATCGACCACCAACAGCCAGCAAGACACCTTCAGAAAGCGACCCAGGACTGTTCTCCTTCCTCAAGTATACCTTCCAAGAAAAGTTCAACTACATTAGAATCATCAACACAAACATATTCTAGCCCTTCTACTTCCTTGATATGCAATTTCAAGAACCATCAGTCAATATAATCATTTCAAATATTAAAATGTACCTAATTCATTATCAATCACAAAAGTACAACGGTCAATGGAACAGGGATAACTTTATCCGACAAGTATTACATGATTTTCCTAAATAATAACAATTCTAAAGGGTCGCAAAAGCACATCATAAAAAAATATATAAAAACAGGTATAAAAGCACATCTTGAATTTTTTATATCATATATTGGACCATGTTACAGTGTCATGCTGATGCTCTTTTTTCATATGGAAAATAAGATTTTAAAATTCCAGTAAGAACCAAGTTAGGATATATATATATATAGTTGGATAAGAAAAAAACAAGGCCAGTAGACAGATGGAAGGGCAGTTAATTCTTCTTTCACAGCAAGCAATATTAAGGACATGTATTTCTTTAAACTTCTTTGTCGGTGCCTCAGACTGAAAATCATTAGTCCGCAAGTTTAGCTCCATACAGTGGCGGAACCAGGCTCTGGACCAAAAAATTATATGTGTATTTATTTTTCTCAATTTTAATTAGTTCATATCACAATATATTTAAATTATATTAAATACAAAACAACTGAGCAGACAATATAAAAAAGAATTATAATTTTATTAAATATTTTTTAATTTTATTAAATATATTTAAATTTTTTTATATAAGTGAAAATGGAACACATAACTTAATACAACTTACTCATCTCTCAACAAATATATTTTATTTTTTTGATAGGGCTAAATTATAAATTTTAGCCCGGGCCAAATTACAATTTTAGACCGGGCCAAATTATAATTAATTATATAATCATACATAATAAATAGAATTTGTTAAAATTTAGCCCGAGCCGAGGCCACCCCAGGTAACATGTGGCTCCGCCACTGGCTCCATACCTTTGGTATGGTGTTAGCGTTTGTGATGTACTTAGAATTGACTTAGGATCGTGCATGTGTGCATACATTATTATGGGATTTAGGCATATTTTTATTTTTATTATTATTTTATTGTTTACTTACATGAGTTATGTTTAATGTTGATTGATTTATAATTGGGTTTAAAATTTCTGTTTTTGCTGCAAAAAGTATTTATCTGCCACACTCACATAAAAGTGAATGGATCCCACTAATTTTTTTTCTCTCTCTCCTCTTCACAATCAGGTCCACTCACTTTTATGTAAGTATGGCAGAGAAATATTTTCTACAGTAAAAATAGAAATATTTTTCCCTTTATAATTAGGGTTTAATGTTCATGCTTTTGCTACAGAAAAAGTTTTTCTGTCACTCACATAAGTGAGTGGGTCCCACGATAAAGAGAAGATAAAGAAAAAATTAGTGTTACCCACTTATTTTTATGTGAGTGTGGCAGAAAAAAAAAATTTGCAGCAAAAATAGACATTTTTCCCTTATAATTAGCTATAATTAATTTTAGGATTTTAAATTTTGAATTGATTTGTAATTGGTCTATAAGAGGGTACTTAAGACCTTTATTGTAGGAGTTGAATGTTCTGTTATTTTGATTATTATAATTGAGAACAGAGAGTTTCTCTTTTATCAAATCCCAGATGTTCTCAAAGCTTGAAGTCATGTTAGTGGTTGAGTCTCCAAGTGTGCTAGAGTTAAGGATGTGTGCAAGGTGTTTGATGGGATGGTTGTAAAAGACTCGGTGGCTCTAAATACTGTAGTTTTTGGGTCTGCTCAACAAGGCCTTGTAAATGAGACATTAAATTCTTCATTTAGTTTGGTGCAATATGATTTTAAGAACATTAATGTCGATTCAAATGCGGTAACTTGGAACACTTTGATATATGGATTTTCATATAGGGATGAACAAACAATTATAGTCTCTAAGATCCTTATGGTGATGATTGTAGATGATGGTGTTGAGCTTGATGTGGTATCGTGGACTTTTGTTATATATGGTATTGTGCAAAAGTTTTGTAATAGGAAAGCATTTCATACATAGGTTCTGCCCACCTTCAGCTACCATCAATGAAGATGAAGCAGACTCAAAGGTGAATCTTTTCCTAGTAAGGGAGGTTGATGCACTTAGAATTGGCTTAGGATCTGTGTATGTGAGCATGCGTTATTTTGAGATTGAGGCGTATTTTTATTTTTATTTTTCTTTTATTATTTCCTTACTTTAGTTGTGTTTAATGCTGATTGATTTATAATCAGCTATAGTTATTTTCAGATTCTTTCCTTATTCTTAGGATTTTATATTTTGAATTCATTTGTAATTGGTTTATAAAAAGGTGCTTAAAACCCTTATTGTGGGAATTGAATTTTTTGTTATTTTGATAATAGAAATTGAGAAAGGAGGTTTCTCTTTTATCATATCCCAATTTTCTGTTTAGCCACTTTTTCTATGTGCTTTCAGTATCAGTTTGTTATTGCAAGAGATTTAATATAAAATCATTCATGTGGCTTCACCTTATAATTGGTTCATGACAGTTATGATTATTATCCTTATCCTAATTGTTCCACTTCTTTTCTCATTTCCCTGGCTTTTTAAATGACATAGCATCATGGAATGATCCCTTTACATATTTTTAATTGTCCAAGATATAGCACTTGGTCAGTGCTATGTTGGATGTCATTCAATATCAATCTCTGAAAGTCACTGTTTTTTGTATAGAATAGGTTTTTAACACTTGAAATGAAGCTTTTAAAAACTGTTCCTTCCCAAATTTAATTCCTATTAAAAAACTATACAGAAAAGAAGAGCTAGGAAGAATGAGAGATAGATAAAAGACAGACAATAAGGATTTGAACAAAATGCAAGATATTAATAATGTCTTTGCATGATTCAATATTCAATCATTCTGTAATGTCTAGGAAGGTACAACAAATAGATGGATACAAGTGATTCATACACTAACGCATAGTACCTCCAACTCCAAGTCTCCAATAGTTATATTAACAACGGACAAGTCATAAGTATGGAGTGAGGAGTCTTTGTAGAAAATGCAATCATGGTATTGATACGACAAAGATGTAATAATTTAAAATAAAAATAAAAGACAAATTTATGGTACCTGAAAAAACAAATCTCTATGATAACTTTCAGTTGGCGGCATTAATGCATCTATATAGACATTTTTGTCAATCCTCCAAATTCTCAAGAGACTGACAAGCTCAGACAATTCATCAAGTGCCTTGAACGTACGTTTATCTGCATTAGTTTACCATTTGCTTATAAGCATGAACTTCCTTCTATAATGTGTAATTGTATATGATAGAGATGTTAATATAAAACCATTAATGTGTCTTTATGTAAAAGCTTAAGCTTTTAAGATAAATAGTTAATGACATTATATTAGAGCCCTTATGAACAACTAGTCTAGAGCTTGATCCTTGTCGCATACATTATTTTGATAAAAAGTTGAATTTTAGTACAAGGTAGATGGATCTGTGCATTGTCTAATCTTCAAACCCAAATGGATTTTACATGAGGGAACGTGTTAAAAATCTTAATATAAATTCATTCATGTGTCTTAATCTAAAAGCTTAAGTTTTTGGAATAGTTGGTTCATGATGCTATATAATCTGAATATAAGAATAGTACCTGATGGAAGAGCTCCTCTTAATCTGGGAAGTGCCTGATCTGCAGATCCACAGAATCTTAAACCTACTGTCTGCAACCTATTTACCATAGCTTCTGCTAAATTCAGTTCCTGGAAAAGCATTTAAATTGTAAACATAACATTAATATTACCTTTATTCCAAATTAGTTGGGGTCAGCAATCGATGAACCCATTTAAAAAGTATTTAAATTGCAAAAAAATAATTCTGCCCGAGAATTGTTTGCTTTGAACATTATGAGTACTTAAATAAGCTAGATAACCTCCACAACAGTTATTGCAACCAAACATACCAAATTTCTTTACAATTTTTCTCACCTGCAAAAGCTGCCGCCTTATCACTACCCATTTTGATTTCCTTTCTGAGGATTGTGGACGCAAAGAACCCATCATTGAAAGAAGCTTCAGAAAATTAAACCTCCGTCAAACTATATCTTACAAACTTGATAATGCAGGTTTCTGATTGCACAACTAACATACCTCTGCTACTTTAAGTCTGTGTTCTACCTTGACTCCAATCCATGACCAAATTGCATCCAGGAGGTCACCGTGGTTTAGATGAATGTCACATGAGTCTGAATGGAAAAAACAAGTGACTATGTCCCTTGTGACCTATAATACGATTGGTAAAACACGCTTAGTTCAACAGAATGATCAACATCTTCATTAGACACAAGGCTTAAATATATTAGAGACACAGAATGAACAAATCATAGGTTGAGTAGTGAAGATTCTGTCCTCTATTTTATCTTGAAAACAATCACAAATATATTTAGATTTATTTACTATGGTAATGAAACCGAGAACTTTCCCTTCTATTGCTAGAAACAGGTTGTATAGTACCAAGCATCATAATGCTATCATGGATAATTATTTATAACAGCGTGCAGAACTTCATAATGAAAAAGAAAAAGAAACCTAAAAATATACGATAGCACCTTTATGACCTCTGCCTCTGTCAATGCTGAGGTACCACCAATAATGTCAAAATCTCCCTGTGGGCAATGATTTCGCATTAAATGGGATTGAAAATGCACTAAAATTTGTTAGGAAGTTTCATGCTAAGCATCATAAACGATTACAGAAGCTTAAAAAAATTATTCATGAAATAGAGGGAAAATCCTACAGCAGAAGGTTCCCTGACTTTGCAAGGATTGGGGCGAGGATTGATGGTACACAACCTTACCTCTGCATTTTTTAAAAGAGGTTGTTTATTGGACTTGAACCCGTGATCTTCAATTACAAAGGAACAATCTTACCACTACTCCAAGGCCCGACCTCAAAAACTTATTCATGAAATACTGGAGAAAATACTCATCATAGTTTCATATTCTTCTTTCACCAAAAACCAACAAGGGAGAATTATTGGTTATCATTTATATTGCTCCTCCAGATTTATTAAAAAAACAGGAAGAAGAAAAACTCATTAAATTATAATATTTAGAATAATACCTGAAGGAAGCGGTTTGGAGATGAATGACCAATTGCTCTTCTGTAGACACAAGATATCTCATATCGTTTGAACGAAGATTTCTACACAACATAGATTTATGTCTCAGACTTCAATCTTCATGCCTTGCTGAAATCCAGCTCATATAATAGAGAAGCAATGCAAAAACTGCTAAGGACATTTTCTTTCTTTTGGATGCAGTTCAGATAGAAAATACTTTTTTCTTCTTCTACATTTTATATTTTGTTTTGATAAGCGGGGTGAAGATGTGATTGACAAGTCAAACTTTTTTCTTTCTACAAAATTATTGTTTTAACAATTTCAATATAGCTCTTTTCTTGAACATCATATAGATTGTGTTTGGAATCATCAAAAATTGCAAATGATTTGATTTGGTTTAGAAATCGAATCTCATGTTTGGACTTATTATAAGAAATTGGATTTAAATTGATTCGGAAATTCTTATGTTTTGAACTCATTAAAAATGGAATTGATTTTAGGGATAGGTTATTCTACCTACTGTTTTTTCTGCCTACCTTTGCCTACCACTCTAAAATACCGTTAGATCATAATCTCAAGAGGAGAGAGAAAGATTATGATCTAACGGTATTTTAGAGTGGTAGGCAAAAGTAGGCAGAAAAAATGATAGACAAAATAACCTATCCCTTGATTTTATTTCAGTTTGTTATTTTACATTTTAGCCTTGTAATTTAATCTATCTTGTTGACAAGCTAGGTTATTATCTCATGAGAGGTAAAATTTAAAAGTAAGAGTAAAATATCCTATCTATTGAAAGTCAAATTGAATTCTAACATATCCCAACATATTTGACAGAATTTATAAATTTAAAACATTATAATCCATGGACTTTTTAAAATCAAATATTTTCTATTTTTTTAACATTCCAAAAACAGTTTGATTCACAAATAAAATCAAATCCCCTTTTTTTACCATTCCAAACACATTTATAAGAACAATTCATTCATTTTGTTAACTCTATGTCTTAACCAATTTCCATCTAAGTAGAAAATCACTTAGTTATTCTCTTTGGAGGATCAAGTCCAACATAGTTATTAGTACTATACAATAACAAAGGCACATTAAATATAAGACAAACCATGGGTCTGTGGGCATTATGCTTTATATACCGTATTGATTAAGTCATACCATCAAATCTTCTATGAATAGTTCAGATAAAAAAATCCATCGCAAATTTTTTTAAAGTGAATCTTGAAGGATCTTGTGATGGTATTGGTTTCCCATTAGCACACTATTCTGCTTGAAGAGAATTATTTATATCCATAAATCTAATTGTCAAGCACCAGCTATCCCCAAAAGCTTAAATTATTAGTTGAAGAAACATGAATGGCATTACATTATATATCTAATATGTTCTCTCACAAAGAGCTCATTAAGCTTAAAGCGTGGATAATGCACAAGCCCAACTACCTGTTGAGAACTCGGTTCTCTCGGATCGGCTCAGGGGCCTTTGTGCGGAAGTCAATCAACAAGATCCTTGATCTCGGATCTCGGCAATACCTCGGCCTGAACTTCACCAGGTCGGGCAGCGCAGCGGAAAAATCAAAACGAAAAACAGGAGAGAGAGAAGAAGAATACAACCAGATTTAACGTGGAAAAACCTTCTTCAAGGAAGAAGTAAAAACCCACGGGACCTAGTCCAGATCAAAAATCCACTATGAAAATAATGGTTACAAATAATCAGAATACACCAATGTGGTGGTTAACTCAACCTCTCCAATAATGGTGATAATCAAACTACCTTAGAGATGTTTCACTCAAACTCTCTCTAAAGATCTCTCAAATGCAAAGCATAAAGCTTTGCTCAAACCTCTCAAATTTTCTCTCTAATCTCTTAACCTAGCCTCCACCCTCAACTAATGAATATATAGAGGAAGTGAGATCTAGGGTTAGGGTTTTTAGGAAAACCCCTCAATGGGCTTGGGCTTAGCATTGAAGGAGGAAGCCCAACAAATCTCCCCCTCCGACTTCAATGCGTCGGCTTCAGCATCAACCCGGCTCCTTCACAGCAGTCTTCAAATTTCCTTGCTGGAACCGGCTTTGTCATCATGTCGGACCAATTTTGGTCAGTGTGCACCTTGACGAGTTCGAGCTCTCCACCTTCCACCACATCCCGGATCCAGTGATACCTCATATCAATATGCTTAGTGCGGGAGTGATAGGTCGAATTCTTCGCAAGATGGATTGCGCTTTGATTGTCACAACCCAGCTCGTACTTGTCTTGATTATGGCCGAGTTCCATGAGGAACTTCTTCATCCACAGCATCTCTTTGCTTGCCTCAGTAGCGGCAATGTACTCAGCCTCAGTTGTCGATAGTGCAACACATTTCTGAAGTCTTGATTGCCAAGAGACAGCTCTTCCGGCAAATCTCATCAAATATCCTGTAGTCGACTTCCTCGAGTCGGCGTCTCCCCCTAAATCAGAATCTGAGTAGCCTTTCAACTCGGCTTTGCCTTCTCCAAATCTGAGACATAAGTCGGTCGTACCTCGAAGGTACTTGAAGATCCACTTCACTGCTTCCCAGTGCTCTTTGCCGGGGTTTGACAGATACTGGCTTACCATTCCAACAGCATACGCCAAGTCGGGTCTAGTGAAAACCATTGCATACATCAAGCTTCCGACGGCGGATTGGTACGGGACCTTCATCATCTCATCTTTGTCTTCATCAGATCTCGGACATTGCTTCTGGTTCAGCTTTATGTGTCCGGCTAGGGGGGTGCTCACTGTTTTGGCTTTGTCCATGCTGAATCTCTTCAATATCTTCTCAATATACTTCTCTTGACTTAGCCACAGTAGCTTCTTTTGTCTATCTCGGATGATCTTGATTCCGAGAATCTGCTTTGCAGGGCCGAGGTCCTTCATTGCGAAGGACGAGCTCAACGCCTTCTTCAGGGCGGCTATCCTCGATTTGTCTTTCCCTACAATAAGCATGTCGTCAACATCAACATCAGCATCAACATCAACAACACATTTATCCCAAATTAATTGGGGTCGGTGGTAGATGAACCCACATGAAAGATACAAAACGGTTGAAAAAAAGTTAAAAAAAATAAATAAAAAAATAAAAATAAAAAAAATAAAAGTAAAAAAGTAAAAAAGCCAAAAATAAATAAATAAAAATAAACAAATAAAATAAAAATATAAAATAAGATAAAATAAAATAACAATATATGTATATATAAATAAATAAAAGTAAAAAAGAAAGGGACAAGAAGAAGTGGGGGAAATGAAGGGGAAAAAGACTAAAAAGGGACCATCTGGAACATAGGAATAACAGTGGGTCTAACCCTCCACCATACTTATAGCTTTTCTCCATTCCGTTCTAAGACATATTGTCCGCCAATCTATATCTCACTCCACTAAATCTTGTTTTACTACTTTCCCCCAACATATTGTCGTCAACATATAACAACAAAATCAGAAAATCTCCAGCCTCATACCTCTGCACAAATACGCAGTGGTCGGCTTCTGTCTTCTCAAACTTATGATTAATCATGAATGATTCAAATTTCTTGTACCACTGCCGAGGTGCTTGCTTCAAGCCATAGAGGCTCTTTTTCAACCGACATACCAAGTCTTCTTGGTCTGGAGCTCGAAACCCTTCAGGTTGCTCCATATATATTTCTTCTTCTAAATCACCGTGAAGAAATGCCGTCTTCACGTCCATTTGTTCTACCTCGAGGTCCATTGAAGCCGCCATGGCTAACACAGTTCGGACCGAGGTCATTTTCACCACAGGAGAAAAAATCTCCTCAAAATCTACTCCTTTCTTCTGATTGCAGCCTTTCACTACAATCCGGGCTTTGTATCTCAGCTTTTGCCCGTTCTCTTCATTCATAATCTTGTAGACCCATTTATTTTTCAGAACTCGTCCTCCTTTAGGCAACTCGGTCAGCTCATAAGTCTGATTCTCGTGCAGAGACTTCATCTCGTCTTGCATTGCCTTTTTCCATTCTTCTTTCTCTGAGCTCATCACAGCCTCATCATAACTCTCAGGCTCACCGTCTTCAGCAACAATGGTGTATTCATCAGATGGGTATCTCGTAGAGGGTCTTCTTTCTCGAGTTGGATATCTCGGTTGTTCTTCAGCTTGACGACCCGGTTCATCATTCTCATCCCGGATCTCATCATCAACTCGGACCTCAATGTCTTGGTCATCTTCAGCTTGTTGCTGATCATCATTTTCTTCATTTTCTCCACATGCTTCAGCTCGGACAAGAGGGATGGGTTCTTCTCGTCTGACAGTAACTCGGACTTTAGGCTTCGAGATGTCATGAATGTTCTCATGCTCATGAAAGATCACATCTCGGCTTCTCACAATCTTCTTATTGATTGGATCCCAAAGTCGGAACCCAAACTCACATCTCGGCGAACCAAGATAGATGCATTCCTTTGTCTTCACATCGAGTTTTGCTCTTTCATCTTTAGGGATATGCACGAAAGCTCGGCATCCAAACACCTTCAATTGATTGTAGGCCGCTTTCCGACCTGTCCAGATTTCTTCTGGAATTTCTCCTTCAAGTGGCCGTGATGGTGAGAGGTTGATCAAGTCAACAGCAGTTTTGAGGCTTCTCCCCAGAATGATTTCGGTAATTCGGCATTAGATAACATGCTTCGTACCTTCTCTTCAATAGTTCTATTCATCCTCTCAGCAAGTCCATTCAACTGTGGAGTCTTGGGGGGCGTCTTCTCAAATCAAATCCCGGGCGCTCTGCAGTATGCATCAAATGGGCCGCAATACTCACCACCATTATCAGATCGGACCACCTTCAATTTCTTGCCAGTCTCCCTTTCAACCATAGCATGGAATTCTTTAAAGGATTGGAGTACCTGGTCTTTAGACATCAACAAATATACCAACACTTTCAGGAATGGTCATCAATAAATGAAACAAAGTACTGAGCTCCTCCAAGGGATCTTTCCGACATGGAGCAAACATCAGTATAGACGAGGTCAAGAATATACCTGCGTCATCTAGGTTGATCCGGTCTCACAAAAAAAACTCGGTGCTGCTTTCCAGCTAGGCAATGCGTGCAACTCTCC